AACCTGACATTCTGGAGTCAACTCTGAAGGATGTGCGTGAAGGTGGTGTATATCTGCTAACTGGAGATAGACTTTTCGACCTCGAGTATGCAGACGATATCGTCTTACTGTGCGATAGCATGCAGATTGCCCAAATCGCACTTAATCAGTTGGCGGTCCGTGTCTGTAAGTATGGTATGTGCTTTGTGCAAAGTACTGTTACAAAATTGGCAGGTGCCTGTACCTGCACTTACTCTTGCGCGTGAACTGCTTGAAGTTGTTGATAAGTTTGTGTATCTGGGTAGTTGTGTGAGTGCTGGCGGAGGGTTGACGGATGGGATTTCCAACCGTATAATGAAGGCTAGGGTGGTATACATCAACTTGAGCCACCTCTGGCGCCGTCACGACGTTAGCCTGGTTTTCAAAGGTCGGGTATGCAATGCTCCGATGCGGGCTGTCTTGCTCTACGCCTGTGAAATCTGGCCTCTCCGAGCTGAGGACGTATGGCGGCTCTGCGTATTCGATCATCGCTATCTCCGCAGGATTGATTGCGTTTGACGACATCATCGCGTGAGTAATTCTGAAGTCCAGCAGGGTGTGTTTGAACAAAGTGATGGAGATCACCATCTGTTGAGTGTTGTCATCTGGAAACACCGGCTCTGTTGGCTTGGACATGTACTGCGAATTTCATCCCAGAGGCTTCCGTATCGGTGCCTGTTCGCTAGCCCTGGGACAGGATGGAAAAGGCGGGGAGGTGGTCAGTCCATGACGTGGCGTCGTGGAATGAAGGATTTTTGTGCTAGATTAGCATCGGTTGGTGCGTCGTCACGACCCCCTGGTTGGGGTCCGCGAGATAGCCCGAATCGATGGCTCGAAACGTTATCGGATATGGCCAAGAATCGTAATCAATGGCGAACGTGTTGTAATTTCCTTCTTTCTTCCCTTCCTGATGATAGTTAACGAATACTGTTTGAACTTGTTAAGCATGACTGTTTTCCTTCCAGATGAAGTTCTTTATCCGTTCTCTACTTATTTTTTTTACTTTTGATCTATGTTGTTTTATTATTATTGTGTGGCTCATCTTTCCTGGTGTCATATTGTACCAAGTTTTTCTGCGTTTAAATAAATAATAAATAAATAAATAAACCCGGCATGAAGTCCATGAAGTTCCTACATAGGAAGGTGTAAACTGCCTGGCTGGTTGAGTTTCTTGAGATGTTAAGAACAGGATTACTGGAGACTGTTGGTAGTAATCTGGCTCAAAACCGTTGGCAATGATACAGATGCATCCCACTCCTTGTAATCTCACAGATCCATGAAATCCTTTTTCGATGTTATTATTCTTTCTGTTCATTATGGTTCTTCTGAATTTCTCTCCTTGTCCCTATCTTGTGTGGTATATTGAATTTGGCAACTTGAAGCGCTACGCTTCTATGCTAATATTCAGTCAGTCACCCAGTGGATGAGCGTGACTGTCAGTAATTTGCGGATATCTCCAGATTCAACAGATATGGTGACACTTGATATATTTTAGTCTAATTCTTAATCATTCTTGTATTTGGTAGTAGTAGATATTATGTGTTGACTGACGGTTAAGCGCATGAATTAATGTTTACCTTACCTTACCATACTGTTTACTTTGTCTATTCACTGTTGTCTCTGTCCTTTTGTTGTTGGGTTATTTCTTTCTCCTTTGCCTTAGTTATTTCACACTATGGTAATGTAAACTATGAAAAGTTTGAATAAATGTGCATAACGAATAATAATAATAATAATAATAATAATAATAATAATAATAATATGGTTCAAACTAACAATCATTTTCATGTTTAGGTACACTATCTAGAGTATTTATATGTGTTGTCCTATAATTAATTAATTATGGTCTTATCATTTTACGAGATAAGCTTATGTCGCCAGTTGTTTTATGCTTAATGGCATATTGCATAATATTAATTAATATGGGGCAACAGTAAAGAATAGACACCAAGGTCAAATGACGCTGAATCTACCAATTACATTCTTCTTGGTGAAAAGTGGCATTTATTTAGAAAAAAAAACCAAGTGTATTTATAAGACATGTAATAAAACTGAATTATACGGGATTTATGTATCTGTAATCTACTGTAAAAACTGGTCCCAGTTTCTCATAGGAGTGGCTGTATATCATATTATATCATATCGGGAACCATGTATTATTATAATACTTTTTTTTAGATGAACCCAGAATCTTCATACAATTGGTTCCCTTAATAAATTTCAATAAAGAAAAGAAGACGAAATTTCGAGTATAAAATGATATCATCATTCTATTTCACAGGTTCTCATCAGCTACAGACTACCTGAAATTACAATGGTCATATAGATGATAATAACATACTTTAATGTTTGAGCGATAGTAGAGAAGAGATACTATAAAATTGACGCATCGAAAATGAAAGCATTACAATTTTTAGTTTAACTTTTCATCACCAATTTATACGCTTTCAAAGTTGAAAAGAGGGAGGAGGGATAAGACAGAAAACAGAAAAATTCATTAACAGAACAGTGTTAGCTTGTAGGTTCACGTAGCAACTCAAAAAACAAAATCGGTTACAGTTTATGAGATTAAGATTTGTTCAGTGAGTTGAGATCAATGAATTAGATGACTAATTAATGTGATCAAAATCAAAATTCAATTACCAAAGGAGTGAGAGATTAATCACACTCTCCTTCTGTATACATAAGTCTGGTTTAAGTCGTTTGATTGCGATCGCTTCGGCAAATCGTAGTAAATTTGTTGTCCTTTGTCTATTTAATAATTTAAAGGACTTAGAAATCTCTACGAGATGTCCGGTATCAACAATACGTTTGGTAATTGCACTCTGAGAATATCTGCTTCCTTTCAGACACAGGTTTCTTGGAATATGTTCAGAAAACCGGATAGAAGCCCTTCTTTCCATCCTTCCGATGTACTCGCTTCCGCAAGTGCAAGTAAATTCATAAACGCAGTGGAAGGTGACATCACCAGGGTATTTACCCACTTTTGAGTGGCTTATAGAAGAAGTGGTGCTGTATAATGTTATGAGTTTTGCTGTCGGGAAGCTTCTTTTTATTGCACCTTTCAGTCTTTTGTCAATCTTTTGTGACACTATATCTCCTTTGAATGGGAAACAAATAAACACTTTTTTCTTTTCTCCAGTTGCGTATTTTTCTTCCTTCTTCTCTTTTTCCCTGCTATACTTCTGTATAAATCCCTTAGGGTATCCATTTTCTGTTAGGCATTTCTCGATGAAATTTAATTCCTTTTCGACCTTGTTTGGTGAACATAGCTTCCTGCCTCTATCATACAACGTCCTCACTAATCCATGTTTATAGCTTCTGGGACAAAAGCTGTTATAGCGAAGATATTGCCCCGTCCAGGTTTCTTTTCTATAGATGGACTTTTCGATCGTGCCTTCGTTTGTTCTTTCTACGAGTTGATCACGGATTGATATCAGTTAGAGAACCATTAAAAACTAGGGGGTACTGGACACCTGCTGTTTCATCCTAGTCTGGGAATCATCAGCAGTACGTACCCACTGGGTTTCTTTCTACATTTAAATCATTCCTTTAGTAGCTGAATTTTGATTTTGATAACATTAATTAGTCATCTAATTCATTGATCTCAACTCACTGAACAAATCTTAATCTCATAAACTGTAACCGATTTTGTTTTTTGAGTTGCTACGTGAACCTACAAGCTAACACTGTTCTGTTAATGAATTTTTCTGTTTTCTGTCTTATCCCTCCTCCCTCTTTTCAACTTTGAAAGCGTATAAATTGGTGATGAAAAGTTAAACTAAAAATTGTAATGCTTTCATTTTCGATGCGTCAATTTTATAGTATCTCTTCTCTACTATCGCTCAAACATTAAAGTATGTTATTATCATCTATATGACCATTGTAATTTCAGGTAGTCTGTAGCTGATGAGAACCTGTGAAATAGAATGATGATATCATTTTATACTCGAAATTTCGTCTTCCTTTCTTTATCGGAACCCAGAATCCTTCAATAGAATTTGTATGAGTTCCAATTACAGGACCTACTAATTCAGAAGTATGATCGACTTTATGATGAATACAGTCTAATGATGATAGTTGCGAATATCCTTTCCACATGAATGTATGAATGGTTAGTGCCTAGAAGGACTAACTAGTCGTTGTATTATTGGTATTAAAACATCTGGGTGAAACTTGCAGCGACGATTATGAACAACTTTCAAGTATTGGTTTTTGTAGGAATTTTTTTTTTTTGATTGCATGGAGGATTTCATCATGAGCTGACATCAGTTGCAGAACCACTGGAAAACCTGGGAGTACTATCGTGAATTGGCAGAATTTATAATTCAAGGACTATTAGATTGGGTCCCAATGGCTCAACGGTCTACGAGCTCACCTTGTAACCAGAAGGTTCTGGGATTGAACCCTGGTGGCGGCGGGTGCGTACTGTGAAGAGTCCCAAACTAGGACGAGACAGCTGTCTAGTACTCTCAGCTGGTGGTTTTCCGATGGTTCTCTAATTGATGTCAACTCATGATGAAATCCTCCATGCGACTATGAACAACATCCATATGTAATGCCGAGTCATCTTATTGGTTAATTCAAGGTCATTTGACTTTTTTGGTGTCTATTCTTTATTGTTGCCCAATACGTTATGTAATGGATTTGTTGACAGCTGTATACTGGTAGGCTCATACACCAACTGAAGCAGTTACAGTTATAAATGGTATATCCAAACTGGTTTCATGTGTTTTGGTAATCATGGAGTCAGGAAAAATAAAGTCCTTCAGAGAAGCCTTACTTTACACTCAGAATCGAGGAGAAGTACAGATTTGGTGTAACCATTGTATCCGGTATCACCTAGATATCCCAATTTCATATAAAACTTAAATTTCAAATATTCGGCTATTTTAAAATTTTTGATAATCTTTTCTTGTTCGCTAAATTAAATGTAAAGAATCCCTACTTTCCTTTTTGTTTTAACTGTTTTATCTTTCAAGCTTACAATATAATTCCAGAAACAATATGCGCCAGTGATATCAACGCACCGCGTATTCTAGCTACAGCTTTAAAATCATTGATTCCATTAATTGATCTTTGTGCTCCAAGAACACTTTTGAGTACATTAAGGTTGGCTAAACAAAATGCAAATACACAATCCAACGATGGTATTAATCATAGTCAAATAATGAATACAGAAAGTGAAGTAAATCAATTGCCGTCATCAAATTCGCAATCAACAACAACTACTACTACAATCCATCAACAAGAATGTTTGTTGCCTATTGTTTTAGATTTAGCCAATGAAATAACAAAGGTTAGTTGTGTCTGATTAATAATGATTAATGAGTTATTCACCTATATGCAAAATTATTATTCCCGTACGTTCCGAGTTTCTGTAGCAGTTTCATTAGTTTTATGAGGTAGGGTCGCTAGCCGCACATCTAACCCTTCCTCTTTACCCTGGCTTGGGACCGGCTAAAAAATTAGCGAACTATTAAACTAGACGAGGTTCCGAGTGGAACTTACGGCTTCCGCAGAACATCGACACCTCACTTTGTTCTCTGTAGTCTTATTCGGCTGGCTCGCCGATCGCACATATACTTTCATTTCCTTGTCACAATATCTCCTCCATATTACCTCTGGAGCCTATGTCTCATTCAGGTTCAAGTGGATTGACTGGTGGGTGATGTCACTCAACGGTGTCCTCATCGTGTGTCTGATCCACTTCTATTCCCTTCAAAATGTTTTTTTTTTTGATTGATCGATTTCTGGTTGGTTCGTTGCATGCCAGAACTCCTTGCTGTGTATCGTTTCTGCCCATCTGATTCTCAGCGAAGACGACTGTAGATCAAAGCCTGCATTAGCCTGTTGGAAATACTTTTTGTGACGCACGTGCCAAGTTTCTGAGTTATATAGAAGCACCGATTTCAAATTATATATATATATATATATACTTATTGTGATATATAAGAAACAGCTTTTACATTTCTGATGAGTCTCAGTTTTGACAATGCATCTATGAAAAGTGTCTCTCACTTGTTGACTTCAACCCCGTTACCTTATTCAAAAATCTATTCTTTTTAAATTCCATAAGTGTATGTTGATTTCATCAGGATCCGATGCCATTCTATAAAGCAACTAGCCCAATTGGTTAAATAGTCAACGATCTTGATGTAATAATCTGAAGGTTGTGTCCGTTGACTCCCTGTGATGGGGGTTCGTGGATGCTGTGACAGGACAGTTGTCCAGCACTACCTGATTCCCAACAATCTCTAATTGGTGGTGTTAGTTCATGATGAAATCTGCATACAAAAATGACATGATTCTCTTTTCAAATCCCTCAGTTGATAACGTGAAGGACGAAAATCCGTCAGTATGCTTAAATCACTTGAATCACTGAGTTACCTAAGTTTCCTACTGTCAAAATGTATCACATTTACCTTACATGGTGTTGTTTTAATCATCCACAATCATGTCCTTGACTCCTGATCTGTACACATGCCTATTTTTAAAAAAGTAGCCTTCAGGGTACTGCTGTTCATTTTCTCATGGGGATGGCGGATGGGGGGGGGGGCGGGAGATATTGCCTAGGTATTGGAGTATTCTTGAGATGATATATTATCGATTATTATTTTCCCTCAAGATTCTACAGATGGAGTAAATCTCTTTTAAATAATACGTGCTGTAGTGAATATAAAAAGGCATTTCGCACAATAAACCTACTACTAAAAGACAGTGGTTATATTGAATGAAGTTCACTTCAGCCAAGTGACATTCAAATACACTTACAACTCCTCAGTCTTGTATTTTGATATAGTTACGTTCTCTGACATTGGGTAATTCAATTATATCACACTCACGGGCAATCCATATAAGTTGACGTCATATTAAAGTTTGTATTGAAAATGTTGTCTAGAAAGGACACAGTCGAAGCTTCATAGTTAAAATCATCCAACTCAGAGAACGCAACCACATGAAAATCATCCACTAATCTTCCTCATTTATTTTAGTCCTATATATACGTACAATATCTGTGCTCGTCAATCAGATTACTAAAGTAATCTATTCAAACTGTAAGAACTATTCGTGATGATATAGCTTCATTTAATGTTAGTAAAGAAAGATAGGGGAAAGATTCTGAAGTAAGGGATCTAAATTTCATGATATATAGTCACTTTCATATAGCTTCCAGCGGTGCAACATTCCCAACTTCTAGAATTTTTTGCTTGACAAATTCTTTATATTACTTAAAGAATGTATGTATCTTTTGTGGATATTAGCTGGTTGGAGGCGATCGGCCACAGGTTGCGTTGCTCAACCTAGATTTCGTGCTAGTTGGCACTCACTAGTCAGCAAGGCGCGTATCTGTAACCTTGGAAGGAACTCATATCCCTTCTGAGATTCGAACCTGCGTCACTCAGTGAGTACTGCAGTCGGAGACGTTACCACTGAGTTATTCGGGCTCGTGATTACCTCCATCCATCTAATATTAACAATTCAAAATGCACTGTGATAGTGAGCCATCTAAAATACTGGCTACATTGCAAATGTGACTGGTAGAATTCAGTCTGCACCAAACAAGGGGCTAGACACACTACACTAGTTACTGACTAGTGTTCAATCAAAATTGAACATTTTTATCGTATGCTAGACAACTTCCTGAAAGCGGAACATACTTCTGTGTACTTATAATATCACGGTATATATTCCCTGTCTTTGGGTCAATTATCTTAGGGTGATTCTAGGTGGTTCAGTGGTAGACTGCTTGCCAATCACATACGTGATGCTGGTTTGACTCCTAGCCTATGTATCTGTAAATCCTACCTAGCTTACTGACTGATTGTAAGCTCGAAAAGGATGTTTGGTGAGACATGAGAATACAAACCCTATCCTTCCCCCTCTAATAGAAACAACAACACTGCCCTTGTTGAGACTTCAAAGTTTAAAGCTGAAAGCTTTGTAACCAGAAGGTCCTGGGTTCGAACCCCGGTAGGTGCATACTGATGGAGAGTCCAAAATTAGGACGAAACAGCTGTTCAGTACTCCCAGGTTTTCCAATGGTTCTCTAACCAATGTCAACTCATGATGAAATCCTAGAACCAATCAACCAAACCCCTACAAACCAATACTTGATGAAAGCCTTCTGTTCCACACGGGATCCCAAAATCAATGAAAAACAAATTTTCTTTTCAATTATTCAATGTCATGTATGATTGTTTTCCTTCTCTTTTTTAAAAATCCTCTTTCCCGTTTTTGTTTTTCAGTGTGTATTGTTAAAACCATTACAATGTTCAAATGCGGCAAGTAATTACGTATTGAAGGATTCCCGAGTGATGAAATCAACTGAAGATAGCAGTAATACTATTACTACTACTACTAATAATAATAATCTAGTCAATATGTTCAAATCCTGTGATTTAGCCTATCAGTCATCATCGAATTCTTTCACTTCATGTCTAATCGGTGATGAGGATACAGAGATATCATCGACAACAACGAATTTATCTGTTGGCATAAATGATGGCGGCTTAGGCATAAAATCCTGCAGTAAACGTCAACATTATCGTTATATAGGCTATTTAATTGGTTGGACAGAACAATCGACTGAATTAGCTGAAGCTTTTATAACTGTGATGCAAAAATTAGCTGGACATCATTATCCTGCTATAGCAGCAGCTTCTGGTGTTGCTTCTACTGCGCCTGCTTCATCTACATACAACCATGATGTTTGTATGACTAAATCAACTGGTGTTGGAGATTCACAGACTACTGAAAATCAACCAGACAGTAGTAGTATTATAAATATGAAAGAAGAAATAATTGTTAATTCAAATCATATTGATTTGGATATGACTAGTCAGTCTATATGTGGTGAGAATAGAATGAAAGAACATGCATCAGAGAACGCTTGTATTGAATGGTATCGTTTAATTTCAATGAATTTATTGTCAATTCTTCAACATAATCATGACAAGGAGACTGAGGTAGGTTATTTTTTGTGTATAGCACTCTTCTTCAATAAGATTTGTTTTGTGTTTTACATTTGGACGAGTGTTAGGGGACTCGTTCCTCAGTCTGATCCTCAGTGTGGTGCAGCAGCGTCAGAAGCTAATTTCTTATGGTTGCTGGTGACCAATATAGTTTCACACACCATGGGTACCATAGGTTTAGAGTGAAGATTTGCCAGCTCCCGTAGTCGGATCTTCATGTCCACCAATTCAGTTATAAGCGCCACTCCTACCGCAAAAGGTAGTGAATGGAACTTACCTGGCATAGGATATGAAAGCGTGGTAGCAGCAGAGGAAGGATTGGAGTCTACCCATCCTCGGCAGTGTCAGGTCATTTATTGAAGCAACAAATATGTAACTGCGGTGAAATTTATTTTTCAATATTTTAAACGCCACAGATGATTTGAAGCGTACTCTTATTATTTAAGAACTCGAACGTAGAAGGAAAATATTGTTGATAGCTCTTCTTGGTTGATATTTATTTGTATGGTTTCTGAAACTTTAGGTGAAGTCATTTCTAGCATTCTTATTTGAAGATTCGTTTTATTTCCATGAGGCTATTTGATGGACGGTGACTAGCACTAGAGTGAATTCAGGATGCTCATTTCGTCCTATCTGTGACTTTTCAGCGAACTTATCTCCCATTCCTACTGTGTGAATGGTGCTCCCACTGGGACTTCAATGCAGCACCCATTGTTTTAAATGCGAAAGCATTGTCCACTAGACCATTTGCATCATGAGCAATTTCTTTGTAGAAGTATAGGGATTTCCCAGCTCACAGAGTGTACACATGATCCCTTATGATATTACCCATCGGTTTTTACTCCACTGACTTCGAATTAGATGGAGGGCTGTCATGACTCCATGACCCATTAGTTGTTGCCAATCATGGGCACTAACATCTCACACTTCCATAGTGTAAGTGGCCTAGTGAAATTGTGAACGACTTACCTTATCGGGTTGTTTAAATTCATGCATGTTACTGAATGAATCAGTAATTTACTATATGAATTGAATGGTGTTACCTGTTCTCCTTTAAATGATAGACAATAGATAACTATAACAGTGAGGAGCAAAAGCCTCTTAGATATATGCATAAATATTTATGTCACCAGTCAATTAATAATTATATAACTAATAAATATATCCTCCATCAAATCTGACTGCATATTTCTATCACCTCTGTTATGTCTATTCCTTTTCAGTATACATAAAATGCCTTTTATTCTAAATAATTTTGGAATAGATTAATATTAGTTAGAGAACCATTAAAAACTAATAAGTATTGGATAGCTGTTTCGTCCCGAATTGGGATCCGTCATCAGTACAATACTTATGACCCTACCGGGAGTTGAATTCATGACTGGTGGATCCCACCAGGTCGAGTGTGAGGAAAAATAACATTGGTTGGCTATAGGACTAGGCCGCACGAACTGACAGAAGTGTTAGAATTCATGAGTTATTGAATTCCAACTCAGTGGCTAAAATGGTCAACCAGTTTGTTTCATAACCCGAAGGTCAGGGGTTCGATCCCCAGTGGGGTCATGGGGGCGTGTGTGTGTTGTTGATGAGTCCCATACTGGGACGAAACAATCCGTGATCGAACCAATCATATCTGTACAAACTAACACTCGAAGATTTTAGAATAAATATTCTTTAAAACAATTAGTCCCTTTGATAAATTTGAATAAGGCATTGAGAAGACAAATGTAGTCCAGGGTAGGCGACCCTGGACTACATGACCTATCTAAATATGATTGGTCATTAGTATGTACTTTTGTTTTTATTTAACTGAGTAATTGTCATGAGCTTTATTTTATCATTGTTAACCATGTTAGTTGTAAAGCGGTTGTAAAGAAACTACGAAATGATATCATCTCGCGAAATTTGTCTTCTTAATGCCTTATTCAAATATTCTTTAGTCAGTTTAGAATAAGTATTCATTACATGAATTGTGTAAGGCACACTTCCTCAATACATTTCTAACATTTAGAAAAGAGAAAGATTGAGCGAAGAAATATTTGCTTTTCAATTAGATCATCATCTCTGGCTCTACTCTTATATATATATATATATATATATATATATATATATATATATATATATATATATATATATATATATACAATATACAAGAATTTACCAATCAAGTGGCGATATGTTTGTTAACAATAATTAGTCAGTGTCAAAATGTCAATGGGGTGGTAATTAACGAAGAAAAATTAATATGTATAATTAAAAGGTAGAAATGGTTACAACACGTGGATTGCATAATGCATAGTTTAGGAAAAATGAAGAGCAATTAAGGAATAAGCGTGTGTACAGGTTGATTACGTAACAGATTGTTAAAGAAAATAAAACAATTTGGACAATGACAATTTGTAACTAAAGTTGAAGTGGTCATAAGAATAAAATAATTTTTACAAGGATAACACGTAATTAAAGATGAAGTAGTCAGAAAAATATAAAATAATTTGGACAATTATAGTTTTTAAAAAGGAAAATATTTTAGGGGGAGGGGGATGAAGTAGTCCGGTTTATACAGTCATGTAACGACGGCCAAGGTAAGGAAAGTGGCTGTACAAATTTCTTCTGAACACACAAGTTTGGCTTCTTCAGGTGGATTCTTATCGCTTCAGCTGTATGTAGAAGACGAACTCGTAAAGCAAAATTAAGATTAGTAGGAATACGATAAATAATTTTGAATGCAGTATTAACGTAAACCTTATGCTCACTATCTACAAGGTGTGCTAAAACAGAGCTAGCTACGAATAGATCTTGTTTGTCCCTTGCTTAACCATGCCGGATGATGTTCGGAAATACGATGATGAACCTGCCTAATTGTCCGCCCGATGTAGCTGGCTTCGCATCTGCAGTCAAACTGGTAGATACACATAGAAGAGGCGAATTTAGGTAGTTTATCCTCATTTCTCGAACGTAGAATAGGTGTGGTTGTGAAAAGACAACGTATCTCTGCTGCATAATAAGTTCTTTTAACTACATTCTTCAGTCGTTGTGATATTATTTCGCTGATGTTGTCACCGAGGAACTGAAGTTTTATGAACAATTTTTTCTAACAATTAAGTCACACACGTATTCGTAATAGAAGTCTAAATGGGAAAGATTAGTAATGGGTTGAGGGGTGAGAGAATTAAATAAAGGTCAAGTAAAGTGGCTTTGTTAAAGGTCAAAATAACAATGGTGATCAATAATCCAGAAAAAAAGGGTGGAGAGGGAGAGAAAGAGTAAATTAATTTTGTTTTCAAGACGAAATTTACCAACAAAGGTTTGATATAGTGACGAATTGCTTGTGAATAGTCAAGTGTTGGTTTAAACTTCCTAATCGCAACGGTTACCGCAAACTTAAGGACACACCCTCCTACCTGCTCCCACCCTACTATAAGCCATAGATATATGTTTAAAAGATATCAAAAACATAACGCCATCCACATAGATAACATCCATTATTTTGTCGAGATTCATACAGGGAATTAGTTGTTTCAGAACATTTATTTATTTATTTTTAAGTGGAACGGTTATCTGCAATATATCTTAGCCTTTAAATTGAGCTGTATGTCTGTACAAATGCTTGATAGGAGGAATGGCGGTGTCCAGCAGAATTATGACTATTGTTCACTTGGGTCGCCATACTTTACTCTAACTGTCCAAATAACTAAGTGTATTATTATTATTATTATGATGATTGATCACCATTCCCTTGGGTTCCAATTGAAACATGGCGCTATAAACAGCACATCTTCATTGCATTCGGTTCTCCCACATCAATTCTACTTGGCTCCACGATTACCATCTCGGCACACGTCTCCTCCTCCATGTCACTTTCGGAACCCCACCCAACTCATGGTTTCCCATTCGGGTTCCACTCAAGGGCCTGTTTAGCGTGTAATGTCACTCGACGGTCTCCTCAGCGTATTTCCAATCCATCTCCATTTTCTGCGACATATATGTTGAACGATATTGTTTTTGTTTGGGTTTTTTTGCCAGGGTTTCTTCTTGCGTTGTGAGTCACTTGACATATGCCATCATTGCATAGCTATTGAATGATGTTGGATAAATGTTCGGGAACCTCCATAGGGTTAAAAAACAGTTCCCAAATTACTTCACTGTCGATGCTATCGAGGCCTTTTCAAAGTCGATGAAGTTGATGTAGAATATTTAACTGCCATTCTATATTCTGCCTGATGATCATAATGATGCATAATGTTGTAATTTAATCCGGAAATGATTTGCTCTCCTTGAATCCAACTTCAAAGCATTAACTGTAGCATTTACTTGTCTAATCAAAGTGTGCTAGATATTTTTTTCAATAAATATAGTTTTTGGTTACAGGATTTCCTCATAAGCTGACATCAGTTAGAGAACCATTGGAAAACCAACTGGGAGTACTGGATAGCTGTTTCGTCCTAGTATGGGACTCTTCATCAGCACGCATTCAGATGGGTTCGAACCCGGGACCTTCTGGTTATAAAGTGTACTGATGAAGAACCCCATACCAGGACGAAACAGCTATCCAGTACTCCCAGTTGGTTTTCCAATGGTTCTCTAACCGATATCAGCTCATTATGAAATCCTGTAACCAACCTATCAAATCCCTACAAACCCATACTTGAAACACAGTTCTACTAGTTTTAACACATGTAGAATTAGAAACAATCATCTCTCTTTTAAAACAAAGGAGTCTTTTCAATGAATGAGTGTACAATAGGTAATTACGTCTAAAACAGATAGAACATTGTTATTCTGCTTTCAATTATAATATCATAAGTACTGCGTGCGGGTGTCTGTGTGTTTAATATTTTTGTACATTTTCCAACTGTGGAACCTGTTGTTATTATTTCTTTTATTTCTCCTTCCTCGAGGCAAGTAGACCTTAAAAATGTTTCTCTCCCTCCAACCCTCACCCATCGGCTTTCCTCTCTCTTAAAACTATAATGCGGAATCCCTGACTTATTATTATTATTACTTCTGTTATCAGGGTTTATACGGCTGATTACGCTTCGTCTATGCATACACGCACACACACAGACATGCGCGCATGCATCAGTGTGTATCTGTGATCAAATTTGCTGTACATGTACACACACACACATTTCACTTGGAAAGAAAGATTTTTTTTCTTGTTTCAGTTAGTTAAAAGACTAGTATGGTTTTTTTTTACTGTATTATTTATTAATGTGTATGCATCGGAGTGCGATTTGAATGTGTTGTGTGTGTGTGTGTATGCGAACATGTTTTCCGATAGTTTCACATTCATTTTTAGACATCCAACTACTAGAAGTAACACAATCTACTTTGTTGTTTCTTTCATTTTGATGATTTATTCACCATCACCTGCAGCAACCCCTCCCTGTCGTTGTCGAACATCACGACCACAGTTACTGTGTCTTTGAGTGTTGAATACAAGATGAGCAGTAGTCATTTTGCTTACGCCACCATCAGTTAGTTATATCATAGAATCAATCAATGGTTGGTTAGAAGATGGATAAATATCGATTGCATAATTATATATATATAGGCCTTCTTTTATTTTAGTGTAGTTAATGAGTTTTGAATTGTCTTCCATCTGTATTGAATGATAACTTTAAGTTGAGTTAGGAACTGACAGCAGTTAGAGAACTACAGGGAACCAGTGGCCACTGGAAGACTGTTTTGTCCTAGTTCGGAACTCCTCAGCAGTACTCATCCGTGACTATCCACTAGCAGTCTAATCCCCGGACCTTCAGGTTATACGGGGCGTATCCATTGATGACTCAGCTACTGGGATGAAATTTAATAGCCCGTGGATTCTTACTTCCAATTCTCACTAGTAACTGACTATTGACTAAAGTTGGCTGAAGTTCACTAATTCGGGTTTGTGGAAAAATTCTCGCTTGTGACATCGACTAGAAATTAAAATTCATAGTTCATTGGATTCCGTCTGAGTTGTTGAGGAATGGTCAACGGGCTGGCCTCTCGTAAACTGGAGATCTTGAGTTTGATCTCTGACAAGTACATACTGATGAAGAGTCCCACAATAGGATGACACTGTTGTCTAGTACTCCATTTAGAAGAGAAAATGAAGATTCTTTTTGATAACTTCCTGAGGTCGCTTTACAGTTATATGTACACATGGTATTTAAAGAATAGTTGTTATTCACAACATTGATATGTTTGCTTAAATAGTAGTCGGTGACACAGCGGTAGGATACTCGCCAGCCATGCAGGTGGTCAAGGGTTCAGTCTCTGCCCGGGGATCGCCAAGCCAGTTACAGGGACTGGCAAAGGGGGGAGGTTTGTCATGAGGCTAGCAACCCCATCCCGTTAAAGCAAACACCACTGTTACCGAAATGTCAAGCCTCTAGCTTGAAGCCCTATGTTCCACTGGGAAGGTAAAGGGAAAAAAAGATCAATAGAATTACAGTTGAAAAATATGTATGATTGATAATATGCATGAAGGCATAATATTAAATTGAATATCAGTTAAAATTGAGGAGGAAATCTATACGAAAGTTGACGGATGGTTAAAACAGTGATTACTTGTAAAAGGTGTTTAGGGAGAATGAAGGAAATATCCCCATAATGTGAGTCATAAGAAAAAGACTTAAACAACGAAGAAAATTTTCTTTTCTGAGATTCATTTTCACAAGCTGATGTACAATCGTAATTGTATTCAATAAAGAATTCATTCAAAGAGTCAGATACTGGTAAAAATTTGTCCTCAAAAAACGTGTTACGTAATGTAAGGTAAGGTGTAACCTAGATATAGGGTGATCAATTGGAAGGTTAGAACGGAGGCGGAAGTTGGTATGACGTAGTAAGTGTGAGAAAAAAAGGGAAGACGAAGCTGTCAGATTATTCTAATCAAGATAATGATGGTGAATATAGGCAAAGCATCTAAATGAACTTTTCTGAACACTTAATTTAGGCTTCTCCAGATGGATTTTGAAGACTTTAGCTATGTGTAGAAGAAGCACTCCTCCTAAGGCAAAATTAAGATTAGTTGGAATAGGATAGATAACTTTAAATGCCTTATTAACATCTGCAAATGTAGGCTATACACAGATATGTGAAATACAACGGTAAGCATGCCTAATTGTACGCCCAATGTAGCTGGTTCCCCAGGAATAATGTAACTGATAGATGCACATAAAGGAGGCGAAATCAAATTATTATTATTATTCCTTCGCGTTCCGATTGGAACATAGGGCTTCAACAACACATCTCCACTTTGTTCTGTTTTCTGTCATTCTCTTCAGCTGGGGCCACAATTGACCTAACTCTCATCTCTTGCTCACACGATCTCCTCCATGTCATCCTCTCATTGACGACCCACTCGTCGCTTTCCGTTGGGATTCCACTCGAGGGCCTGGCGTGCGATATCACTCGGTGGCCTCCTCAATGTAGGCCCGATCCATCTCCACTTTCTCCTATATATTTGTTGAGCGATCGTCTCTTGCTTTTCTTTTGTTTCCATAATTTCTTGTTGCTTATTCTTTCCGTTAATGGTTATTGGTGCTAGTCGCTGTTGTTGTTGTTGCTGTTCGTTGGTTACCTTCATCACCTCCGTTTTCTCTATGTTCACTCGGAGTCCTTTTTTCGCCTGCAAGTCTTCGAGTTTGTGTGACATTAGACATAAATCATCTGCGAAATCCAGATCTTCTTCCGTCTTCTTATCTGTGGTCCAGCGTATTCCTGACTCCTCGCCTCCAACAGTCTGACGCATAATCCAATCCGCCACAATTATGAATATCATCGGTGATAATAGGCAGACAGCCAGCTTTTCTTACTCCTGTATGCACTTCGAACGCCTCGCTAAGTTTTCCTTTGTGAATCACTTGAGACTTGGCATTGTCATATAGATGTTGAATGAGGTTGACAAAGACTTGAGGTACGCTGTAGTGTTGAAGTGATTTCCAAATTACTTCTCGGTCAACGCTGTCTGTCGAAGTCCTTCTCGAAGTCGATGAAACTGTTAAGGTAAAGGTTTCACTACCGCCATTCTATGCTTTGTTCGGAATCAAATAGTTTATCCTTATTTCCCAAACATTTAATTGGAGTAGTTGTGAAGAGACAAACAGTGAACTTCTAACGTCGTATTAATTACTTCTTTTTTTTGACTGCATTGTATTATTATTTGTTTATTATTATTCTTATTCTCTTATTACAGACTGATGTTTATCCATTACGGAGATGTTGTTTAGCCTCAGCGTATCTAGTAAGTCGTATATGCAACAATTGTCCTCTACAAGTGTTCAAATCATCAGAGCTAACAAGTGTATTGTCAAATTTACTTTATCGTGGATGGAATCTACCTAAACTGTTGGATAATTCACAGACAGATGTCCTAACAAATGGAAATGTTAATTCATCCCCTGAAGATCCACTAATACTTAATAATGGTAATAATGTTATATCAAACTTGCTGAATTCAAATTGTTTACAAAGTCGAATTATCTGTTTAGGATCATTTGAATCGTTGTGTAGTCATCATGAATCTTCAATTAGTGCATTGTTCATAAAAACACTAACACCTCAAGTAAGTAGTATTAACACTTTTTTCCTTTCAATGAATCAGTTTTCTTTGTTTATGCTCATGAAATAGTACAATTTGATGTGTGTGTGTGTGTGTGAGTGAGTGCTTTCTTTGTATACTGTTCGCCAATAGATTATAATTTACCTTTTTCATACAACACTACTTATTATTTGTTAGTAGTTAAAAATTTTAGAAAAAGGATATTGAGATTCCATATTGATTTGCAGCTTATTGGATATATCACCCACAGTGAAACACTTTTATTTAGTGGATGACGTTTCCAAGACAATTTATTATTAAAAAAATCCTATCAACTGTAATTATACAACTCCAAAACTTGATTTGCATAGTTTTCATTCTTTATTCCCATATTTTGAAAGTGTTAGTAGAGTTTTCCAGATGTTCAGGACACAGATGTTGAAACATTACTAGTGCACTTATTCTCAGCTGATTCAATTATCGGTTTTCCCCTGATCCTGTTACACTCAATTTTAAGATTGTCACGTTGTCCCATTTTATTGCATAGTTGTATGTAGCTGTATGTGGTGGTATACATAAATCTAGTAGATCTTTATAAGATAAGAATTTCAGTTATGCTGTTACATGCACACTCATAAAATAGGGTGATACATGATGACAGTCCTAAAATCCAATGAAACAGAGTGAAGAGGGAGAGAGAGAGAGACAGAGATTGATAACTGCAGCTTTATTTATCGAATCATGTGAGAATATACGTCATTGAAATGTTTCAACACCTGTCCTGGACATCTGGAAAATTCTCCTCCCCTTATCAAAAATTGGAAAGAAGATAAGGAACTATCAAAATCAACTTTTAACGTTGTGCAGTTACCATTGATGATATAATGATTGAAACAGTAAATCGTATATGAAACGTGATCACCCAGTAAATATGATACTAGGTATGATATAACAATCGGTTCCAATACAGGTAGCCTAGAGGGTGTGAAAACACAAAAACAATCAATCACGTTCAAGGTCACCCGTCAGGAGAGATGACTAATAAACTCGTCGAGAAATCTATTAGCCCACCATTAACAAATTGAAGTATGAGCTGAAGATGTTGCCTATCAGGGCGATGAAAGCTTTGCGAATAAACTATCCAGCTCATAGAACACAATTACATCGAAAATGTGATAATGTTTTACTGTGGTTGATATATCCAATATAAAAAATTAATATGGAATAACATTTCATTTGATTATGAGAAATTATGGCATTTGTTGCGATGTATGTTTGCTGCTGACTGTCCTTTGAATTCGAATATCATTCGTAGTACTCGAAATGTGTCTTGATAAATTTACACAAATACATTTTCGATAAGAAGTCTTTGGTAAATTCTAAGGATAGAAGAATACATTAACACAGGGGAAGGTGTTTGTTTGTTCATTCTTCTAATTAACAATAATTGAAGTTGTTATGGGTGGTTTCTACTGCAAACGATACTAAAGGCACTGCAAGAACTTCTGCTGAATTCTTACCACGAGACTGAATCAGCGTATTATCTCTATGATGGTTTGTTAATTTCTGATATTTGTCCGCAGTGTCTTTCAAGGTCATTTGTGGATCTTGTTTAAGTCCGCTCAACAAGCGTGTCACTAAAGTAGAAAGACCCATAGATGAAAATAAAGACTCTGAACTTATCTCCTGTCAGCAACTTGAACTTGCCCTATTCACGTAGGTAGTTACCTGGGGTTCTAGTGAGAAGTCTTGACCAGTAGGCTGCAGCAGGTCGGGTGTTAGGACAAACACTCACCGAAGACTTTGGCTAGAGGTCGTGCTATGTCGTGAATTGGCAGAAGTTAGAATTCATGGGCTGGCCATTGGGTTGGGTCCCAGTGACTTAATGGTATACGAGCTCGCCTTGTAACCAGGAGGTCCGGGGTTCGAACTCCGGTGGGTGCATACTGCTGAACAGTCCCAAACTAGTGTGACGAAACAGTTGTTCAGTACTCCCAGATGGTTTCCAATGGTTCTCTAACCACTATCAGCTCATGATAAAATCCTGTAACCAATCAAATCCCTACAAACCAACACTTGAACTTGAACTGTTAACATTAGTGGTTAACAATGCCCATCGCTTTCGTTCAGCACCGGTTTCATACAGTATAACATGTTGAACAAGGATCTATGGTCACCAAACTTCTAACGGAATGTTTGGTTGCTTTCGTCAAACGTGCTGTCATTGGGTTTTTGAGGAAGGATCAGATTGCAGTATTTGTCCAACTCAGCTGCATCAAACTTCTAGGCATCATCTTTGCTTTCAAAATCCACTCTAAACAGGTTTTCGTATCTTACAAACGAGTTATCGAATGTAATGTTTGCATGTGGATTATAAATAAATTCAGATAAGCCGCCTGCGGTATTGTCATGGTCTGGAGATGATATCCGTCCCTGTTTCAATCTCAGTGTTATTGAGAAATATAAAAGTGGTGACATCATAACGACTTTATAACCTGTAACATTTATAGTGGAGGTTGATTTCGATTGTTTGATTTTTTTGTATTTTCCACGTACTTCTATGATTTCATTATTTTTTTTAAATGTTTTAATGTTTTTCAGGTGTTTCGTTGGTTGTACGATCTAACAAAAATTGTTGAAATGCACTCTGCTTCTTCTTCTAAAGACCAACAACAACAATATCAACAGAAACAACAAAAGTTATTCGATAAATCCTCTGATATATACCATAATCAAATTAATCTAGAAGAATTAACAATTTGTTTAAATACCTCATTTGATTTACTTACTTCATTAATCAATAAAGCGGAAAATTCAAATCGTCAGGCTTTATTATTAATCTATTTATCATTATTATGTAATCTACTTTCTAATGAATCATCTATGCTATCGAATCAATGTCATAGTAAAAGCTCTACTTTATTTATCCCTTATAATTCATCAGATTTATTTTATTTTATACATACAATTACATTGAAACATGTCATTACAATAGCTCCATGTTTTCCAAATGAATTTCGTTCTGCTTTTCAAATTCTTGGTGATTTAAAACAACGTTTAGAGAATGCAATCAAATTGTCTACTCCATTGACGAATACTAATGCTGCTGTTAGTGGTGGGGGTGGTGGCGGCGGTGGTGGTAGTCATGGTAACAATAACAATATGTCTGTTCAAAATCAATTAAAATCTCATGTAATAAAAGGTATACCATTTAATGCCTATCATCAGAATAATAGATCTGTTATGACTAAACAATCTCAAGTTTCTTCACCATCGATCAAGCTGAAAACTGATTTCAGTAATTTCACATGAAACGAAGAATGAAGACGACGTAAAAAAAGTCAGAATGTCAGATTGTTTGTTCAACGCCTGTTTATATAACTACTTATACATAAACATATTCCACTGAAATATATGCAACAGTCAAATTACATACTGACCCTTCCCCCCCTCTATATACCCATCCGTATGCTCTATATTTAAAAAGCGTGCTTGTGTGTGTGTGTGTGTGTGATCAAGACGTTGCTTCATTTTGATCTTCTGTTGTTGTTGTCGTCATCTTCATCTTCTATACGTTTATCTTCTGTTCGTGTATGCGTGACACACACACGGACACACACTCAAAAATTGACGAACTCTGTCACCACCATGAGTATACTATGAGTATATTGATTGGTGAACAGTGATTATGCATTTTTGTCCGGTTAAACTCCATGTGGTTCGCTACTTTTTTTTCTCTTCTCTCCCTTTCTAAAGCCTTTACTCTTTACTTCTTCATTACTATCACAGTGCTTTTTACACAAATTATGAGAATATAAAATGCTTTCATTTCTCGTTATCCTCTCTTGTGTTTTTGTGAAAGCAATCTAATTACCTCGTTGTGTTTTTATTATTTTCTACACTTTTAAGAAATGTTGAAGCTTAACACTTACTTGTATATTCATGATCAGGTGTGTGTTTGTATGCACCGCTGTGAATGCGTACAAGAAGAGTTCCTCATAGGAAATATGACACAGCCATACATACACACACACATGCACTGAAACATGCGTGCGTGCGTGCATGCATGTGCTCACACTCATTTCATTATTACGTTTTATGTCTTAGATAGAAATGAGTGTCTCCTCCACCCCACCCCGTTACTAATATCATCCATCTACTACCATTCATATCATATGTGAAGTCTGCATATATACCACATACGACTTGTCTTCCCTAAAAGACGTATATATCCTCCTTTCCTGCGTCGTCTTCTTCTGTGGAGTAGACGAATACAAACCAACTCTTTGATATAGCTTGTCTTTCTGCAGAGAATTAATAATAATAATAATAACAATACATCATAATGCATTATTTTATGTGTTCAACTTCTGTGTTAAATGATATTGTCTTATATGTATGATACCGTTGGCGCGCTTACTTATGATTGTTATGTGATAGTCTTTTTATTGCTTCTTTTGTTGTTGTTATCGTCTTTATCGTTGTTGTTGTTGCTGTTGCTGTTCTCATCATCAAACAAAACACACATACAACCCTTTTCTTTCATTTTCTTTAGTTTTTGTGCTTACAGTCAAGATAATATAATATTGATTAATCAATTGATTATGTGTGACCACTTTGAGTTTTTTTTAAAAAAAATCAATATTTTTATTTTCTGATTTGTTCGTTTCTTGTGTGTTTTTATTTTATTTATTTATTTAATTATTTGCTTTTTTTGAAAACAAATATTTTTTGTCTTATTTTTCTTCTTTTTTCTCTCATTAAATATACGTTAGTGTATTCTGTGAGCTAGAGGAAGGATTTTTTGCTGTCGACAAGATGATCGCCAGTTAATTTCTGTCACCATTAATTATATAATATGATATAATATTATTTATTTATACATTGTTATTATTATTATTAAATACCATATATAATCTTTATTTCAATCGCGTTCATTTTAATTTTGTCATTAGTGTGAGATAATAACTAAGTTGTTCTCTTTTTTCTTCTTTTCTATTGTGTGTTTTCAACAAACTTAAAAAAAATATACATGAATATACATATACAACGTATATTATGTAACTCTTTTCTCTCTCTCTCCCTCCTCTGTATGTATCCTCAGTGGTGGGCGTCTAGCTTTCAATTTTCGATAGTGATGGTGTTGTGTTGTGTTTCTTCTTTAACGAGGTAAGGTCTTACCATCTATCCATTAGTAAACTAGACGAGATTTGGGAATACGTCGTCCGGCCAGGCTTCGAACTCGGATCTATTGGCGTGTGCTTATCTAACATTCTACCGTTGAACAACTGACACTATATATATATATATATATATATATATATATATATATATATATATATATATATATATATATATATATACAAAGTAATTTTGCTGTTCAGTTAATTATGAAGTCCAGGTGTATTTTCTATATCACTGAAGTTATCTTAGGGTTAAGATGCGTTTGTGTGTGTCTGTGTGCGTTTGGTGTGTATGATAGGTTGTGATAAGAGCTGGCTACTAGCCAAATCGGTAGACAGTAATTTACATCAGTGTTTATGCCCCCAATATTGTTCGTGAGAAAAATAAGAACAAAGACTGATTCGATAACCAATCACAGCAGACTTTGCGTAGGCGGATACAATTTGCAGATAGATAATCTGGCATTCAAAAAACAGCCACAAAGAGATGAAAGATTAACTTTCAGTGAGAAACAACCAATCAGAAGACTGTTCTTCTGCTAACAATAGTCTGTAATAATGTACATGAAAATCTATAAATATGTGTTGATTTCCTTAATAAAGGATCTGTTGCCTGGCCCTTATCTTCTGTTCTTACAAGATTACCAATTCAACGAGCAATGTTAGCTGAAATAGCAGTGGTTTTGCTGATGAGTTATGAATAGTCAAACGAAAAAATGACATCAGTTAGTGAAACCATTCACTGTTGGTTTAGGCCATATTAAAAACGTCTAGTCTGTCTATCTGGTATCCTCAAGATACTAAGAGGAGGGTGCTGAGGAATAGGCTAAGAAGCAGTCACCTTCCAGATTGAAGTTTTCCTGCATTTCCCCCTACTCCTACTTTTTATGTCTGTTTTTCCAAAATGTGGCAATTTCAGCTGAACTATTCATATGAACTGTGGTCAAGATTTGACAGAATAGTTCTAAAAAATAATTAGGCGCCGAGTGAGAAGTAGACATTTGTAAAAAATTATATTTGTAAAGTTTCAGCGAAATTAAAAGTGAATAATTCCTACGTTCCGTTCGACAAACTGATTCGAACTTCATCAAGGAAATTAATGAAAATTAAAATAATAAAGGCAGATCTCGTCCTTAAAAACCTTGTCCAATCATATGAGTCATGAAACAGACATCAAAATATAATAGACAAAATTGTATGAGCTGTGATCAAAATTGGTTCAATCCACTCTTGAACCAAATAATTATCCTGAAGACTTCATAAAAAGATATTTAAAATGTGAAGATAAGGATGATTCGAAACTTGCTGCTAAGATTTGTGTTAGTACAGCGGTGATTCCTTACCGCAAAGAAAAATCCGATGAAATAAAGCGAATCCTTAACGATCATAACATAAGAGTGTATTATCGTGCAACTAACACCATACGTTCATTGCTGGTGAAGGTTAAGGATAAAATAGAACAAGAAAACCAGCAGAAGTGCGTATACCAGATCAATTGTGGGGATTGTAACGCCATATATATAGGAGAAACTTCCAGACAGGTAAATATAAGAGTGAAAGAGCATAAACAATATCTAAAGGTGGTTCCAAAGACCTCTGCAGACTTGAAGAAGCTAGAAAACAACTCAGCGATCGCACTGCATTCGACAGAAACGGGACACAAAATCGACTTTGAGAAGACTAAGGTTTTACAGAAAGTTTTTGGTTCATATCAAGAAAGACTGACTGCAGAAGCCCCTACATATATGTGTGAATCCCAACAGTTTGAACAGACGTGAAGGTGTGATGTTAGCTGATGCATGACAAATCCTGACTAATAAATAAAATTTGATATGTATGATCAAGTAGTCACACTTGGTCAAATTTCCGATTGTCTATGTCTTCTTATGGAGAGAACAACAAATGTTTTATGACTGTTCACCCACACACCGTATACTGCATATTCACATATATTTTAACAAAAGTAGACTAATTCTTGGTGCGCCGGTGGCATAGTGGTTAGGACCCTCGCCGACCATGCACATGGTCCGGGGTTCGATTCTCGGCCACCGACTCACTCCTTTACCTCGTTAAGTCAGAAATAATGCTGGTAAAAAGGAAAGGTTGTGCATGAGGCTACCAACCCCAACCTGTAAAAATAGTCATCACTGCTACAGAAACTTCAAGCCACTAGCTTGAAGCCCTATGCTCCACTGGGGAACGTGAAGGAAATAAAATAAAAAGTAGACTAATTTAGAAAGTCTGAGGTTAAATTTTGATCACAGCTCATACAATTTTGTTTATTATACATGTTGATGTCTGTTTCACGACTCATGATTGGACAAAGTTTCAAAAACAAAAGATGTTCCTTTTATATATAAACCTCTGTTATGTTAATTTCGATTAATCTCCCTGTAGAAGTTCGGACCAGATTGCTGGACGAAACGTTGGAATTAATCATTTCAATTTCGCTGTGATTTTACAAATATAATTTTATAAAAATATGCCATAGAAGTTTACCAGCTTTCATCACAACCTTTGCTTGAAAATTAATCATCGTCTTTACTGTTGAAAAATATAAGAGACTGGTAGTTTGCATCTACCACTACTACTACTACCACTGGTATTTTAATACCATTGTGGTGAGAGCTGTCTACTAGCCAAAATCGGCAGACAGTAATTTACGTCAATGTTTACGTCCCAAATCTTAGTCATGAGAAAATAACAAGAACAAAGACTAACTCATTGATTTGAAGATATCAGATGGTTGAAGGTAATCGGCAGGAAGCCTTGGACCTAGATTTCGTGCTAGTTGCACTCGTCAGCAGGGCGTATCTGCAACCTTGAAGGAACTCATGTCCCTTCTGGGAATTGAACCAATCACAGCAAACTTTGCGTGGGCGAATACGATTAGCAGATATACGGTCTGACCTTCAAAGAAACTGCAACAAAGAGATGACAGAATAACTTTCAGTGAGGAAACAACTGATCAAAAGACGCTGTTTCTCTGCTAATAATAACGAATAATTAATGTACATAGAAATCTATAAATATCTGTTGATTTCCTCAATAAACGATCTGTTTTCTGGCCCTTGTACTCTGTCGTTACACTATTACGAGTAAGCAACTTGGTGACACAGTAACGTTGAGATTGAAATAGGACAAGGACACTGATTCTAGACACAGAGGTGTTGACAACGAATGCCGGTTGACTACGCCGACATCATTATACGATAATTACGTGTTTTCCCAGCCGTTTCTACTCAAGCCAGAACACATGATGTGAAGTGGAAAGTATATTTATCTGTATAAAAAAGTAAGAAGTCTATCTGATGTATACGGTAATTTCCTACACGTCATTTTTACACGTAAGTTGGTACTTCTCCCACCACACTTATGGCCTTTGGAATCCTGTTCTTTGTTCACTGTCTTAATTCATTAAAGACATTAGTGCTTCTCAAGGTTATTTTAAACGCATATATACGCAACCACTTTTGGCTGTTGTTATGAGACAGTAAAAGCTATTTTACCAACGTCCAGTCTTCTCTTCTATCTTTGCAGCCCTGCGGTATTACTGCTGTTGTTGTTGACGTGCGATTATAACAGATTAGCCGGAGCATTCAAGTTATTATTTGCCCAGGTCATAGTTCCGGTCATAACATTGTCAGACAACTTTGGTCCAATTTCGCCATAAATGTGTGACATATCTGACTGCATATCAACTACTTATTAAGATAAAGTACTAAAGTTGATGATTCTTTAAATTGTCTTAGTTTCAGCACACATTGAGCTAAGCTCTCTAAACAATCAGGATTATAGTTGAACTATAGTTTGTACATATCAATCCTAATGTATGTAGATAAATTAGATACCATGTAGAATACCATTAACTGTGTCTTTTTACAATTCTGCTTATCAGTGATCACAACCGCTAGTCTACACTTAAACTCTTGAAAATGTGATGGCGTCTACCCATGGTGTAGCGTGTTCCATCACCACCGTCAGGTGTTGACTACCACTGGATCTCTGAGTGAAAGAGTTGATTACATCCGCGGATCACGACTAGAATCGACTGCAATGACGGTTCTACGCACTGATCCCCCTTTTCAAATAATGCTGCAGACAGTCCAGCACATATTGTGGAACATCTTTCATACCTGGCCGGTACATGCTTTGCCTCAAGAAGTCAACTGCTCTGGTTACACTTGTATGCTCTTGTATCATTTCACGGCTTAAACACTGAGGTATCATCGCCAATCAACTTCCATCATTCTTTCGTAAAGTTAAATTTCCGTAACCGTTTGACTTTTAATACTACACCTATTCCATAATCACTCGCATCCGTAGACACTGTGAACTATTTTCAATGTACACATAGTTTTAAAAGCTGTTTTATGCCATTGAATATATTCTGGGAATTTGCTAACCGAACAAACACATCTTTACCCATCTGGTAGCTCATACAATGGGGTTGTTATCTCCCTGAAGTTTTAAAAAGCGACTATAAAACGCTAGTGTTTCAGTCTTCTTCATCGACTTTGAAAAGGCCTTCGACAGCGTCGACCGAGAAGTCATTTGGCAACTACTTCGCTACTACGGAGTGCCACCGACAATTATACATCTCATCCAACAGTTGTACGACAATGTTGCATGCCAAGTAATCCACAACGGGAAACTTACAGAATCCTTCAAAGTGAGGACTGGAGTAAGGCAAGGCTATCTACTGTCACCAATGATTTTCCTGAGTGCAGTAGATTGGATAATGCGACAAACAGCGGGCAATGAGGAAGAAGGCATAAAATGGACTCACGCAAAAAGAGACTTGGAGGATCTGGACTTCGCTGATGATATATGTCTGATATCCCACAAACTGGAAGATATGCAAGTGAAAAGCAACAAGTTGACAGCGGAAAAAGCATCAAAGATAGGACTTCACTTCAGGTGAACATAGAGAAGGCAGATGTGGTGATGAAGATTCCTGGTCAACACCAACAGCAACAACAACAGACAACAATCAGCATAAATGCGAGGAACCTGAAAGAAACAACCTCCTTTACCTACTTGGAGAGCATAGTTTCAACTACAGACGAAAAGACGAGGATATCAAAGCCAGAATCGGAAAAGCAAGACAAGCTTTCACTACTCTCAAGTCTGTTTTGAGGTCAACAGCACTCATCATGAAAAATAAGATCCGGATTTTCAACTCCAGTGTGAAGTCAGTGCTACTATACGGATCAGAGACTTGGCCAGCGCGTCATGAACGGCACCTCAAACAAATTACAGACCCTCATCAACAGCTATCTTCGCTAAATACTCAAGATCAGATGACCGGCCAGAAAAGATCATCAACAGGGATCTCTGGTACCAAACCAACCCAGCAAGGAACCGAATGTGAAACAAATAGGCAGGAAGAAATGGAGATGGATTGGCCATACGCTGAGGAAACCATCAAGTGACATCACTAGAGAAGCTCTGGAATGAAACCCGAAAGGGAAGAGGCGAGTTGGTCATCCTAGAGTGACACGGAAGAGGTCATGTGAAAAGGAAATGAAGGCATGTGGGCAGACTTGGAGCCAGGTGAAAACACTAGCAGAGAACCGAACGCAATGGAGACGCGCGGTTGAAGCCCCATATTCCTCTAGGAATTAAAGGAAATAATAATATATCAGTCTTCTCCTCCAATTCGGGACAGCAGTGGTCGTTATAGTTATGATTTTCTCCACACTACTACTGATAATAATGATATAATACAACTTAAAGGACCTAAACAAACTCATCGACTGAAAGAATAATCCTCATAGTTTTATTTCCATGTGTTAGTTTGTAGGCATTTGACTGGTTTCAAGATTGACCACTAGTGACTCACTACAGGAGGACTTTGCCTCGAGTTCTAGTGAGAAGTCGTGACCAATTTGCTTGACCTTCCATGCCCAATGTGACATTGGTTGGAGGTGGAGCTAAAAAATCACGAATTGAAAGTAGTTAGAATTTTTGGCGAGTTGATCACGGATTGATATCAGGTAGAGAACCATTGAAAACCAACAGGGAGTACTGAACAGCCAGCTGTCTCATCCTAGTTTGGGAAGCATCGGCAGTATGCAACCATCACCAGTGTTCGAACCCTGGACCTTCCGGTTACAATGCAAGCTAGCTCTTATACCATTCAGCCACTGGGACCCGATTCAATGGCCAATCCATGAATTCTAACTTCTTGGTTTTGAATGGTCCTCTAACTGATGTCCAATCCGTGATCAACTCGTAAAAAACAAAATTAACCCTTACAAACCAAGCTATAGAGAATTTAGAATTATTCATGGATCATTGGATTCCCTTTCAATGGCTGAATGAATAGTGGTTAACGAGGTCGTCGCCTAATCTAGAAAATATGAGTGCATAATGATGAAGAGTCCTATCCAAACTAGGGTGAAACAGCAAACTGTCTAGTACTCCTTGGTTTTCAATAGCTCCTCTATTCGATATCATCATCAACCTGTGATCAAACTTTCAAGACTTCACAGATCTACCCGATCATCATCATCATCTAATATTCAACCACGAACAATGTGAGAAATGTGAACCTAGCATAGAGAAGAGTTAAACTGAAGCCTTTCTCATCTTTAATAACTGTTTGTTAACAGCTAATATCAACAAAAAAATAATAAAGGAAGAAATCACAAGGAAATAAACATGTATAATTTCGGTGAAGACAAAATGTTTCTAAAATATCACTTTTACAGAGTTTCATTCTGCTTATACATATATTGTATATAAGTATACATATGAAGGAGAAGCATTATACGCGAAAGACAACTATTTTAGAGTAAATGTAGGGGAGAAGAGGAAACTATATTAAAGCAGTAGTACACATATTCAAAAAAGAAGGAGAATTAATCTAAGAATTATGTTTGCAATGAAACAAAAGACAGAAACAGGCAAGGAGAGAGAGAGAGAGGCGCTAGAGACAAAATGTATGAAAAACACAAAGAAGTCTATCCACGATAGTGTAAGTAAGTAAGTAAGTAAAAATAACACACAATTTGAATAAAGAGGGTATACATAATTTTGAAAGGTAAATCAATCTTGTCAACTGTGAGTTTGGTAATTATTGTCTTTATTTTTTGTCTTCTCAAAATAAAGTACTAACCAAAAAGCGTCAGAGATACACACAGCGAGGCAAAGATAGACGGGTGGCAGTGGGGAGATGAAGGGAAAACGCAATGCTCTTCATTAATTAATATTTAATAGACATCTTTTATCGATAATTTACATTTTTCTTCGTCTCATCGTGTTATCAAACATTTGAAAGAGAAATTTAAGGTCGTTAGCAGTAGAGTAAACCAGAGAAAAATGATAATAATAACAATAGTCATAACAATGATAATAAGGGCAAATCAGAAGTTTTCAGCTGCACTTCACCCACACCACACACCGTGAATATATACATATACATACATACATGAAGTTAGGATGGATTCACTTAACACTTAAGGAATCCTTTAACACACGTCGATTGGTAGGTAGGTAGGTGGGTAGGTACTTATATATATATATATATATATATATATATATATATATATATATATATATATATACGATGATATGAAATAAAGCAAGAAGAGGGCAGTTTAACACAGGGAGGAACACAGGCATTTTGGGACACATAAACTCGTATATAAATAAACGAACGAAAGAAAACGCACAGAACATGTTAGGCGGTGATAAAACTAATTATGATAATACTGATTTCATTTCCTTAAACAATAATCTATGAATACATAAATTTTATCAACTGTGAGCAAAACTATGGATAAAACAAAAGGGACGAGAGCAGTAAAGAAAAACTAAAACACAAAAAAAAGTTAAATAATTAAGAGAAAGTGGTAACTGCACAATGTCACACAGTAAAATTGGGCAACAATAACGACAAGAAGAAGAAGAAGACGAAGTAAGAGAATGATAAATTAATTAATTAATTAGTTGCCATTGAATATATTGGTCAAAATTTTTTACTACTTTTCAATTTGTATATCAAATGAATTTGAAGATAACAAAAACAAATAAAGTTAATTGTGTCAGTGATGAACACATTAAAAATTGAAAAATTCCTAAACAAAACATTCAAGGAAAATGTTGAACAATAATAATAATGATTTAAAACAATTAATTTATATAATAACAGCAACAACAACATTGAATATTGAGCAAAAAATTGCGAAAAAAAGATGGGTAAGGAGGAGGAGAAGTGAGGGAAAGAGACACAGAGAGAGAGATTGACAGAGGAGAAGGATTGTGCACATATATATATAGTAGGTATGATTTGATTTATTGAAGAATTATTCAAATAGTATTTGTTTATTATCATAGGATTCAATTAAATGCTCTTCAAAACATATGAAACGTGAAGGTGTCATCGAATGTGAACTCATCCCACCAGTAACTAAAGGTGAGAGGTGATGATAGGAGGGGTTGTTAAATGGAGATAACCAAGCAGCCGCAGCAGCAGCAGCAGATCGATGTCTTACTGATCCGGGAACCTACGACAAAACACGTTATAATAAACAGTGATGTATAAATAATACCGAAGGCAATCATCGAACTACTGAAGATATATATATATATATATATATATATATACTTCCACCTCACAACATATTTTAACTATACAGAAGACGACAACATCAACAGATGAACATTGATCAAAGTATAAATACAAACAATAACGCAAAAAGGACTACACGTGTGTATGAATTCAACATTAGGAAAATGTGTTAATGCCCTTTGTCTCGTGTGTAAGCTTTTCTCATCTAGAAAATGAAACTTCAATGAGATCTATTTTATAGGATTTCATCATGAGCTGACATTGGTTAGAGAAAACTATTGGAAAACCAGCTGGGAGTACTGGACAGATGTTTCGCCCCACTTGTCTGGGACTCTTCATCAGTACGGACCTACTGCCGCCAGGGTTCGAACCCAGGACCTACTGGTTACAAGGTAAGCTCGTAGACCATTAAGCTACTGGGACCCGATAAAATGGCTCATGAATTATAACTTCTGCCAATGGTCTACGAGCTCACCTTGTAACCAGGGTCTGGGTTCGAACCCTGGTGGCAGTAGGTGCGTACTGCTGAAGAGTCCCTGTGTGTCGGTGGCACAGTGATTAGAACTCTCGCCGACCATGCACATGGTTCGAGGTTCGATCCCCTACCAGTGCACACCTGATATCTATGGTCGGCCTGCGAAATTTGAGCTACTGATATCCGTGCTGAAAATTCCATACTTGTACCAAAAAATACAGTGTGGAATCAAACTGTAATCAAAAATTAAAAAAAAATAGTGGGACGAAACAGCTGTCCAGTACTCCCAGGTTTTCTAATGGTTCTCCAGTCAATGTCAGCTCATGATGAAATCCTGTAACCAATCAAATCCCTACAAACCAACACTTAAAGACCTATTTTAGGCAAGCATAAAGAATATAGCAGCCGTAGAGTGTGAATGTACGCACTAATGATGACCTTGAACACATACCGTTGGTTGGATTACAGGACCTGTTATCGTTGTATTCTACATCAAAAAGTCGTTTTTACATTTACGAGAAATATAATGATGATAATAGTAACAATAATGAAAAACTGAAGACGATATTTTACCCTGGTGTAACTGAAAAATACTTTTTAATTACAATGAACGGTAATTCTATATTAGTTTGTTTATTAGATATATCACACAGTGATGAAACAGTATTACTGTTTACTGGATGAAAAAGTTTCGAACACAATTTATTGCTGTTCACAATCATGCCATCAATTATAATCACACGACTTCGAAACTTAAGTTTTGTAGTTTTCTTTGTTCTCTCTTATTTCTCCTAGGCGGAGTGGAACTTTCCAGATGTCTGGGTGTTGAGTCATATCTATAGCAGGTGCTTGCAGTTGATTCAGTGAAGAAACCTTTCGTTATCAACCTCTTCCTTCACCCTGTCATCTTATCCTATCATCCTATTGTATGGTTGTGTGTAATTGCATGTGATAAGCGCTATAGCTGAACAAAAAACTTAACTAAATCCAGATTGGTTGACCCGAATGAGATAAGAAATCTGGAGAATAGTTCAGTTATAGCAATCACCCACCACATGCAATTAAACACAACCATACAATAGGATGATGGGATAAGATGACAGTTTTAAAAAACTAATATAGCAGGGTAGAGGAAGAGATTGATAACAGGAGCTTTATCTACCGAATCAACTGAAAATATGTGTAATAAGAATGATTCAACGCCTGTCCCAGATATCTGGAAAATTCTACTATCTCTACGACAAAAGTTTCAAAGTTGTGTGATTATAATTAATATGATTATGAACAGCAATAAATTGTGTTCAAAACTTTGTCATCCAGTAAACAGCAATACTGTTTCATCACTGTGTGATATAACTAATAAACAAATTAACATGGAATTGCATACTAGGACAGTGCCCAAGTTTTACAGATATATTACGATGAACAGTACGAGTTTTCAAGTCCCATAACTATATGATAGGACTCAGCATAAAATAGTATATAATCCTTTTTTCACGAATTGTGATTTAGCTTGTGATGGAATTTCCGTGTGGATCTATTATTTCTCAAGCATATTGCGATTTAGTGTGTGAGATGAGTTGATTGTCTTTTATATCATCTTAGTCTTCGTCAGATCACCAACCAATCAGAATAGAAATGCCCAGCTAATAAGAACAGTTCATTCTGACGGTTGTGAAGCAACTGTATTTTGATAAATTAAATATATATAAATGTGATGTTTTGTTTCCTAATAGACGTAGAAAATACAGCATCTTACAGTCACAGACCAGCCCTTTGTCTTTTAATATTTGCATGACTCAGTAATTGGAAGGTACAACAGACAAACAGACGTATTAGCTTACCAGTCTAGTTCATTACCGTTAGAGTAATTAACAGGCGCAGACATAACAAAGTAGCGACGGGGTTTATTCAGTTCAATTCAGTTATAACACTATCAAAACAGTTTCCTCCTCATATTTATTCATTTGCCTAAAAAGTGCACATAATAATAGTCCTTACTATAATCCTAATCCTAACCACAACACTAAGCCTGATACTAATCTTAACTCTAAAGTACTATCAACCCATTGTACGAAAAGTACGTAGAAACGAGATCAGGATAAAGTTTGTACTATATTTTTTATATTTTGCGATTACAGCTTGATTCCACACCGTATTTTTGGTACAAGTATGGAATTTTCAGCACGGATATCGGTAGCCCAAATTTCGCAGGCCGACCATAGATACCAGGTGTGCGTCGGCAGGGGGTCGAACCTCGGACCATGTGCATGGTCGGTGACAGTCCTAACCACTGTGCCACCGACGCACATCAATTTGTGCACAGCATTTATACTAGCGGTGTAATAAACAATAGACTCTGTAATCCAACGAATGATATGCGTTCAAGGTCATCATTGGTGCATATACGTCTGCACTCTCTCCTCGCTATATTCTTTAAGTTAACCCAATTTTAGATTATCTCTAAACAGATAGGAGATAATAAGTTGCTGCAGACAATGTGGTTAATCTTTACAATTTCGTTTATAAGGTAAAAGAGAACCGATAATCAAGCGTAACAACAAACACAACAATAACAATAAACAAAACTAAGATATATCAATCAACGTTAAATATCAGACATAGAGATCTCAGTTAGAGTACTCGATATTTCTAAACTGTGATCTAATCTAAATAGAAAAAAAAATTATCGAATTTGTGGAGATTAACACTTGAAAAAGAAAGGTGTAATTGAAAAAAAAACTTGCTTTCACTGATAACTAACTGTTCGATTAATGTTATGATGATTACGATTATTCTGTTGGGTTCTGAGTAGAACATAGAGCTTTAGCAGCACATCTCCATTCCAAACCTGTTCTCTGTAATCTTTTCTTTTTATAGCTGGCTCAACGATCACCTCTATAAGCTATCATCTTCCCGTTATATGAGATACCGACCTCTGACAACTAAAATTAATCCAAATCCCCACAGATCCCATAATCTAAATACCGACCTCCAGTACATTGATGGCTATTCGACCGATGTCTTGAAGCTGTGTAGCGAGAAATCGCGACCAGTAAGTTGCATTACGTCAAGGTGAAGTGGATGGATACTCATCCAAGACATTGATTGAGGGTAGCCGCTATATCATAGGCTGACAATGTAATAGAATTCACAGGTCACAGAATTCAGGCTCAAGTAACTGGATGGTCAACGGACTTGGTCTCATAACCTGAAGGTTCTGGGTTCAATCCAGAAGGGGGTTGTGGGTGAGCACTGCTGAAGAGTCCCAAGATAGGACGATGAAACAGCTGTCCAGTAGTCCCTGGTTTGCAATGATCCCTCTAACTGATACTGTTTCATGACAAATTCAAATCCCATATTCTAAATTCTTTAGTTATTATTGGTCATATTTGACTTTAGAACCAAATGATGAAGAAATTATTAAATAGAATAATCTTTCTTCACTACTAATCTCAGTCTTTTGAAATGCATGGAGACTTAATGCAAATTTTAGATCATTTTATAGTATATTATAATAATAACAGCATCTTTATTCTGGATAGTGTTGATAAAATGTACAGAATTTTCAGAGAAGTTTATTGATTGCGTAATGTTTTCCGCTCGTAAGATTTAGATATGATGGAGAAGATTTGTAGCTCATATGGGTTGATTTTGATGTAGTTGTGTGTTCTCTGAGATGAACAGTTAATTTGCGAAGCCTTCGTTGCCCCAACACTAGGCAACATATTCAGCGCATACTTCAATTTGAAGTATCTATCTTGCTCAGAGAACACAACCACATCAAAATGATATTTTCCCTTCGTACAATGCCTCTAAGAAAAATATTAATTGACAGTATATCCCTCCTATAACACAATGCTCTCTGAGCTGAAGCACAAACCATTCCATTATGTGATATATCTGTTTTGTCTCCTTCAAGAAATCCACCATATCTAGTTGAAAGTCTAGTTGTAAGATGAGACCCAAGGATAAAACTGAAGAACAGTTATCTCATGTATTGAAACATGTTGCCACCCAGCAATCAGGCCGCGTTTTTTCTCAAGTTTACAAGGAACTTTCCAATCAGAAGCTTGTAAACATTTTCAGTACACACACACACACACACACACACACACACACACACACACACACACACACAAGAGTAGATAATACCAAGAGAGGTCATATCTCAACGGATTAAAACAAGACGTACGAGAGAAAATATATATGCAATAGAGATATATGCGTTGGTGGCATAGCGGTTAGGACGCTCGCTGACCATTCACATGGGCCGGAGTTCGATCCCCGGCCACCGACGCACTCCTTTACCTCGCTAAGCCAGAAATAATGCTTGAAGCCCTATATGTTCCATTGGGGAACGTGAAGGTGAAAAAAAGAAAGAGAGATATGGAAGATTTTGGTAGCCAAAGTTTTAAGCAAAAGAAAGTACTTCCTTCCCTCCTTCCTTCCTTCCTTTGGTTATATCCTGTTATAATAAACTTTTAATAAGCGACAAAAGAAAATCAGAGGGACTGACACAACACTCACAAAAACAAAGAGGAACATAAATGGGAAAAACGAAAAACGTGGTGTCTACAACATTGAATATCACAGATATTTTTTGATATATACTGATAAAGCCATTAAACACATTCAGTAATCAACGATAGCAACAACTACATTATTAATTACACCATTTATTATTATTATTATTAGTGATGATGATAATGTATGGCTGGCTGGTGATGATAATCGAGCTGAAATCAGTAGACATAATTTACACTTACTGTAAGCAAAGGTTTTCGTAGACGAACACTAGGGATGGATATTATTTTTGTAAATAGTAAAATGCAACATAATAATACATATGAATAAAATAAGGTAAAACAAAAATATACACATATTCAATACACAATAAATTGATATAAGAATAAAACTTGTGCACTGTGGTAGGGTATAATTCCATTATGAGTACATTATTGTTTTGATAAAGTCTCAGTGTTATACAGTAATGTTTACTAATGACCACGTTTCGAGCACAATCTATTGCTGCTCATAATCATATCAAGGCAATCACACGACTTCTTAAATTCATTTATATAGTTCCATTCTAAAAAGTAATTCTAAAAAGTAATATAGATAGGTGGAGAGAGAGATTGATTACTGAATCCTTGTTCATCGAGTCTACACCAAACACATGCAACAGGAATGAGTCATCACTCATACCTGAAATATGGAAAATACTACTGCCAATCAAATCAAGTGAAAAATAATGGAACTATATAAATGAAGTTAGGAAGTCGTGTGGTTGCCTTGATATGATTATGAGCAATAAATTGTGCTCGAAACGTGGTCATTAGTAAACATTACTGTATAACACTGAGACTTTATCAAAACAATAATACACAATACACTTTATGAAATTTCTAATTTTTTTAGTCGAACAATTTTTCTTAAGAAAACACCTTTTATCAAATTCAAATAAGACGAATATTAAGTCAACCGAATGATCAAAATCAATACGTATATGGGTATATACGAAGGCCTTTGACAATTGATTTGAGCCAATCATATAGAGAGAGGTAGACTGCTGTCTGATTGGCATCCACAGGGTATTCAGAATGATTGACTTGATGCTGTTGGTTGGGGTAATATGGTCGAGGGTGGGTGGAGTTCGGTCCTCCTCTCGAAGTACTTTCATGTAGCCATGCGTTCATAGACACTGCCAGATAAGTTATAATGACTGCTTTCAGGCGGCAGGCGTGTTCCTCACAAGGGGGAAAGGTCGAATGCGAACATTTCACGCTTACAACCATACTGGTGGACATGATGATCTACTTAGGAGAGCTAGAAAACATGAGCTACAGAATCCGACACGATCGAATGACATACGAATCTATTTTGATCCCAGTCAACTGTGGGAACGTACCTCCTGACAGTGATCCACTTTCTTGTGGATGGGGCTTCAATCAAACGGTTTGGGGGGGGAAGATGGGGTTAGACCCTTAAGACAGTTAAACTTATTTGGTCTTGGCGTCTAGGAAGTATCTGAACCATCCCATAAACTATGAGAACTTGGGTGGCACAACTCATGGTGGTCAAAATAAACAAAGTTTGTTATTGAATAACCAAAATAATTGGTGATATGGCTTAAGACTGTTCACGACGGAAGAGATGTCGGGAAAGCAAGACAAGCTCTCATTACCCTCAAGTCTGTTTGGAGGTCAACAGCACTCACCATCAAAAATAACATCCGGATTTTCAACTCCAATGTGAAGTCAATGCTACCATACGGATCAGAGACTTCACCAGCGCGTAATAAAGAGCACCTCAAACAAACTTCAGACCTTCATCAACAGCTGCCTTCGCTCAGTAATACTCAAGATCAGATGGCCAACAGGCCAGAAAAGATCAGAAACAGGGATCTCTGGAAGTGAGCGAACCAACCAGGAACCGATTATGCAACAAATAAGCAGGAAGAAATGTAGGTGGATTAGCTATACTCTGAGGAAACCATTAAGTGATATCACTAGACAAGCCATTACTCGAGTGGAACCCGAAAGAGAAGCGACCAGTTAGTCTTCAGTGCAAGGGTGACTTGGAGGAGGTCATGTGAAGTGAAGATGAAAGCAGGCGGGTAGACCTGGAGCCCGGTGAAAACTTTAGCAGAGAACAGGACGCAATGGAGAAGTGTGGCTGAAGCCCTATGTTTCTCTAGGAATTAAAGGAAATAGTAATAATCTTGTTTTTCCATATTACTGTTATTTTCCTCCAATACATTTATGCTTATTGTGGTTCTTTTAAATCTAAAGTTTTACCTTTCTCTACCTTTGTGTGCTACATGCAGCGTGTGGTTGCCCTACTGCGCAAAGTTCTATGTTGAAATTCAGTCAGTCATATAACATGAGCGATTACCTAAGAGAGGTTATATGAGGTTATATGGGAACACTTTTGATGAAGTGAAAGAAAGAGAAAATGATTGAACAAAGATATATGACAAGCTATTCACCACTCCTTACCCGATATTCACATCAGCATTTGTACTAACTTTTGGTTTACGTGTACACATAGTCCTAAAAAAAAATATAATACATGATGGTTAGTTATACATTCAAAAAAAGATAATGACATACAGAAATTCATGACGCAATGTAGTGCAAGTTTTCAGTATTCAGCAAGGCGTACATGTACCCTGCAAGGTTACCCACCATCGCTGTACACCTTAAATTGATGTTAGATGATAGGAGGAATCAATTAACGTAGTGATTATAAAGCCATTAGTTTAGAATTTATAATTCTCAAGGGAAATATTTGAGTACTGTACTAGCTGTTATATGCATAAAATATCATCTATAGATTCCTGAACAACTGGAGGTACCAGCGATGCTATAATGAATTGCAAAAGGTAGGTTACTCAATGAAAAACCTTAAATACAACAGATGGTTGAAGAAATTTTATGCATCTGTTGATATTACTTGCAATAATAAGTAGTATTTTTTTAATGAAGCAATTTTACCATAGGGTACCAATACAACGATGAAAAAGCAATTTGCAAGAGTTTGAGCACTGTATTAAAAATGTAGTTTCATACTAGGTAAATTGATTTGAAATAATACACGGTGATACATTATTTTTAACTGGATGTTACTGCAAACGAAAATCATTGCTCATAATCATCAATGTATTCACACGACTTCCTAACTTGTTTAATAATATAATAATAATAATATAATAATAATAATAATAATAATAATATAATAATAATAATAATATAATAATATAATAATAATAATAATAATATAATAAGTAGCTTAAGAGGCTAAAACAAAAATGCACCAATCAAACTATTGGACAAGATATTTGCTATAATATGATTGGTCGACCGAGAAGCCCGATCTAATTCAACCACTGTATTCGGTTATTTTTTAGCTTAACTTTCCGAAGTAATGAGTGATCCTCATTAGTATCGAATCAACCAATCAGCAGTGTTGTTACAACGTAACAGACGTAGTCTTACTTTCTCTTGTTTTTAAAACAATTTCCTACCTATCTGGTACTGACGTTGAATCACTTTCGTTACATGGGTTGTTTATTGATTCGACAGACAATGATTTAGTGATTATCCTCAGTTTTCGCTTAGTTATATTACATTTTAATACTCTATGGTATGTGCTTGCATAGTAATCAGTATTTAGGACTTTCCAGATTACCTAACAACTTAGTTTCCTGATAAGATAACTGACCCTGATATATGTGATCCTATAATCAGACCAATAGAAGCATTTAGTCTCGTAGAGTTTATTAGTGAATTAGTTTGGTTAGGTTTAAATGACACCTTCATTTCCACTCTATTAAAAATCCTAAATAGGATTTCAGGGTTATGATTGCTGACTCGTCTCACACAAATGAAATTCACGACAGTGTATGCTTGATGAATATAACCTAGTAAATTTTCCCTGACTTGAACTGGTGATTTCAAGAAAATGTGTATTTCGAAACGAGCAATTGAGCGGAAGTGTAATTACAAATATATAAGGACAATAGTCATACAAAAAGTATCATGAACTAATTATACGCTGCAACATTGGGCCGACTAGTGAGCAGCAGCCAACCAGATGAAATCTGATTGGTTGGTCATCTGATTTAGGCATAGGCAATCAATAGTTGTACAGGCATCTATAGATTTAGTCTGTAGTCAATCATGCATAATATTGAGACTTCTGTAAACTTCTTTACGTTGGATGGCATAAATTCCCTTTGAAATTTTGTTTTTAGGTGTGACAATAGATTTTTGTTAAAAGCAAAACAAATTAGTCATAAAAAGAGGCTATATATATATATATATTGTCTTCAATGATTACTGCTTCAAAGGGAAACCATGGAAACAACAAAAACAACAAATTTTATTTGATGGATGATGACCAGTAGTGGGTTCCAGGGTGTGTATTTCGTTCTATTTAAGAATCATGAGCTGAATGTACCACCAATCCCCAGTGAGTGATGGTGTCCCCACTAATAGTCAAACGCAGCACCTATCGTTTCAAATACCAAAGCACTATCCAACAAATAACATCAAGTTAATCCTCAAACAGAGGCATAAGCTGGATGAAGAAGATACTTAACTACAAAAAACACAAGAACTAATCGCCCTTAACAGGAGAAATCTAAGAGATGAGGATTTCAAAACACACTAGCGGGGAAAGTCAGAGGAAATCTGCTGCACTCAACATAACAAACAAGATCAGGATATTTAACATTAGCGTCAAGTCAGTGCTCCGATACATATTTTTTATAGACTTGGCACCCATGTCGCCAAAAATCTTTTCAACACGCTTCAGACTTTTATCAACAGTCACATTCCCTGGCTCCATACTGAAGGTCAAATGGCCGGAAAGGGTAAGCAGCAAGGAACTCTGTCAGGTAACAAACCGACCAAGAAACTAACCCCGCCCCCAGCCCAACAAGTTCGTTCACGGAAATAGGGACAGATTGGATATTACACGCCAATCAGGACCTAGAATGGGAACCCGAATGGGAAACGACGAGTTGGGCGTCGGTTCCAAGGATGATATGGAAGGGGATCATGTAAGGAGGAAAGGAAAGCTTATGTGTAATTGTGAGGAAAGCAGAGAACAAGGGTGAAATGAAGATCTCCTGATGAAGCTATATATTCTACTCGGAATCCTAGGGAATCCCAATATACAAAAATCTTCAGATATCGTCAAAACGTCTGTTTTAGGAGCCAATAATATGTCAATAGAGAGACTGAACATTTCAGTCCGATATCATAAGTCAACGGAAAATACTAAAAAAAAAAATAACAAGTATGTCTAATGATAATTTTGGTTTCTAAAATTCTCTAATAAATAACGAACGATAAAGTAATGGCTGATTTAAACAGAAATAAGATATGTAAGGAGAAAAGGATATGTGAAATAAATCACAAACCTGTATCGTGGATTATTACATTGACTTGGTCTTGGTTTTCTAAGCTTACAACCACCAGCAGAAGCAGCAGCTGTTGCTGTTGATGAGGATGATGACGATGGTGCAACATTACCATTATTTTTCTTTTGATTTATATACCAACGATATTGATTCTGAATTAACAATGCAGCTTGACATAGACGTTTATAATATGCATACTGATAGAATTAGAGAGACGAAGAGATAAGGAAGGGAAAGAAAAGGATTAGTGTCGGATACAATATATATATATATATATATATATATATATTAGTAATTTGATTATCCCTATAGTATAATCAGAACAATATGATTTTCCAGTGAACAGTTGTTTTCAATAACTTCTTCTTCAGGCTCCACGTTTATAAATCCATAAATATATTAGAATAGTAATAGCCGCCAGTAAAGGTAAATGAAAACTGTATTGGGGTACAATTCTGACTGGAGGATGATGATGAAGAGGGTCTTATGGGCTTTTGGAAGTGTGTAGGCGGTTGCTACTTTCCGGCATGGTAGAACCTTCAGGAACATTAGTTCCAGCCAGTGTAGCTTGATGGGTCATTGCAATATGTAAGTCTGACCACCACGTCAAGGTAGCAGCTATCGGTCGGATGGGGTAACATGGTATGAGATGGAATAATAGTCCGTTAGTTAACACCATCAACTGAATATATATAAGATGTATAGTCGCTAGGATCATAAGATTTAATGTGAATAGACAACTGAGTGATATAGTGATGTATTAATAGTTAACCAAATATTTGGAAATCGTCAGCGAGAATTTACCTGGATCCCCGTTGAGTGATGCTGTTCTCGCTGTCATTCGCATCTTATACCTGTCATTCCAAACGCCAAAATCATTTCAACAAATGACTTTTGTTAATTTACAAAGGCATTTATGACCCCGGAGGAGCATTCTAGTGTTTATGAGGATAATATGTCTCTTAGTTTATCCATATTGTAATTCAACATGTACAAATAATTGTTTGCAAAAAGTGGGGGAACATTCGAATTTTCACTTTATACGGATCTTCATCCTCTTCGTCTTCTTTTACCTTCCTTTTGATGCTTTTTATCTTTTTTCACAAGGACCTTTCAGTTCCCCTCTTCGCAACTTTACCCATCACTGTGCTACTCAAGATTCTTTTGGAAAACATTACATACACAATACACAACTTATAAATTCCTTTTCCTTTCTTACGAGTTTGACTATGGATTCATATCAGTTATAGAACCATTGAAAACCAGGGAGTACTGAACAGGTGTTTCATCCTAGTTTAGAAATCATCGGCAACACACAGCCACAGCCAAAGTTCGAACCAGTTACAAGGAAAGCTCGTATACCAATCAACCACTGAGACCCGATTCAATGGTTAGCCCATGAATTCTAACTCCTACCAATTCGTGATTTAGGGCGACCACCAACCAATGTCATTGGCGGTCAAACTGGTAAAAACAAATTTAATCTTTACAAACGAACTCTTGAAAATTATAAATTCTTGTCAGTATTACACGCCACACTGTAACGTTTAGTGCTATTCCTGAATTGGGAACAGATATCCAGTGAATAACAAACTCCGGCGTTCCAACAGATGTGCGCATATTTTGCCCCTATTAACGATTTGGTACGATCAAGGGTGGAAAGACTTCTGTTTTCCTCCTTGAAATGCTTTCATCATGTGGCCACGCAATCATAGCTTCTTCCAGGTAAGACTTATTCACTGCCTTCAAGCAGCGATGGCGTGCTCCTCACAAAAGTAAAGGAGTGGATTCGAACGTCTTACCCTTAACAACAGGACTGGTGAACATACACGTCTGGAAGAACCTGATTCCAAGCCTGTGGTGTACATGGGCTACAGATCGAGTAGTGTATGAAGCTGTTCTGGTCACCAGCAACCATAGGAACGTAGCTTCTAACGCTGCTCCAATGCATAGTGGATTAGATTTCAAATCGAAGACTCAGGAAGATGTGATCCTTTAAGACAACCATCTGCATCGGTCTTGGCGTCCGGGCGGTATCTCAGCCCTCGCACGAACTATGAGACTTTGTGTAGTGCATCTCTTGGTGTGCATAACATATCATGTTTGTGTTCTAACAGTATCAGTTATAATAATAATTATTATTAAGATTTATTGATTACGTGATTTCATCATGAGCTGACATCGGTTAGAGAACCATTGGAAAACCTGGGAGTACTGGACAGCTGTTTCGTCACACTGGTTTGAGACCTCTCGTCAGTACGCACCCACCGGGGTTCGAAGCCAGGACCTCCTAGTTACAAGGTGAGCTCTTAGGCCATTAAACTCACCAGCGACTGGCTCTATTCAGGTAGGTAGTTATCTGGGGTTCTAGTGAGAAGTCGCGACCAGTAGGGTACAACAGGTCGGAGGTGAGGACAAATACTCGTCACCGATGACACTGGCTAGTGGTCGTGCTATGTCATGAATTGGCAAAAGTTAGTATTCATGTACTGGCCATTGGATTGGGTCCTAGTGGCTTAATGGTCTACGAGCTCACTAGCCTTGTAAAGTGAAGGTCCTAAGTTCGAACCCTAGCGGCAGTGGGTGCGTACTTCTGAAGAGTCCCAAACTAGTGGGACGAAACAGACGTCCAGTACTCACTCCGAGGTGGCTTTTAATGATTCTCTAACTAATTTCAACTCACGATGAAATCCTGTAACCAATCAATCAAATTCCTACAAACCAATACTTGAATTAAGATTTACTTTTAGCAACTTAGAATAAACAGAAGAACATTAAATTATAGTTAAAATTATAATTTTGAGACCAAGTGTACTTCAACAATGCCTTAGTTTCTACCCTAATCCAAAAAAATATAATCCTAACTCAGATCATAGTGTTAACCTTAAACGTGACCGTAAATCTGAGTAATCTAATACACTATAATACAAGCCCTATAATAATAATAATAATAATAATAATAATAATAATAGTAATAATAATAGTAATAATAATAGTAATAATAAATACTCGCTAAGAACATCCGCATATCTATACTGATTATGATTGGTCGTTAAAAGGATAGAAGAATTTTGTATTTTGTAGTTCCACCTAAATCAAACAGTATTCAAAATATTCCCTATTGTGATTAATTTCTTTCATGAAAAGAATAATTCAAGGAAACGCTTAATTTCGTAGCATTTTTTTAAACAATAATTTATACATGTAATTCGCAAACATTAAAATTTTAACCCAAGCTATCACAACGACAGTCACAACAATAATAAAACAACAATGGCCGGGGGAGGGGGAGAATGAATGAGGAACGTCATCCAGAACAAAGGCATGCCTACTTGTCAAGATTATTCAACGTTTTATCACATCATGTTACTTTCAAAAAGTGGAAAAAAAAGAAAGGCAACTGTATCCTAGGCGTAATCAGGGTGTTGTAATGCACCAATTGATGTTAATGTAATACAAATATCCTTCAACCCACGGCACCACAGCATAAGCTGACCACCTCTCCTCTTTTTTTATCCAGCCCTCAGAGCTAACAGACACAGACCGGTACGTAAACCTCTGGGATGACATGCTTAGAACATGTTCAAACCACCAAAGCCCTTGCTTGTAGATGACGACACCCACGCAATGAATGGTGACCACTGTGTCGAAACATGCGCTGCGGGGCCTTAGAATTATTTGCACAACTATATCATCAGATGCAAGCTATTCTATGTAGACATAAGTGATCGAATATGCGGAGTCACCGTACATCCTCAGCTCAGGGAGGTCAGGTTTTACAGGGTAAAGCAAGACTGAGCACACAGAAGTGTTACAAACTCAACCTTTGATAGTCAGGTTGACGTCAAAATGGCGCCAGGAGAAGCCGAAACTGGCGTGTGCCACGCTAGCTTTCACTACATGACAAGATATTTCATCCATTACACCTGTACCAGCACTCGAACAACTGCCTAGATACTGTCAACCTGTAGGCAGTGCTTGCCAACCGGATTAAATTGACCTAAACAGCAGACCATTGTTTCGCCTGTAATTCAACATTCACCAAAAATTATAGTCAGTTGAATAAATATAAATAAAGTTATAATAACAATAATAAAATACCTGTTTATAACGTCTATAATAACTTTGAATAATGATTGCAGCTTCAATTTCTTTACTGCATGTCCCTCCACTGGATGAAGGTGGTGGTGGTGGGGGCGGTTGCGGTTGAGATGGTGATGAAGTAGATGAATTCATCGGAGAAACTGGAATCGACTTTGTAAAGTTATTATTTGTTGATTGTAGACAACAGTTGAAATCAGATCCTTCTATGACTGATGATGATGAAGGTGGCTGTGAATTATTACTAACTGATGATGTGTTGTCATAGGATGTTTCTATTTCAACTTCTAAACCAACAGAGGTATCATTTTCAAAACTTAACAGGGCATCATCAACATTCCATTCCTGTTTCATTGAAGAATCAACAGCGGCAGTAGTGGGAGTAGGAGAGACAACGATAACACCAGTATTCGGATCAATTTGTTGCACAACCTGATTACATTGGATATCACATACACTTTTAGTATAAGGATCATTATTAGTAGGGCAATTAGAATTAGGGATATATGTTCCTGACATTGATTGATTATTACTACTATTAACACAACTGTTATTACAATTATTACTGCTGCTGTTATTATTGCTGTTATTACCATGTACAATAGATTGATTATGCTTTTTATAAGCTCTATAATATTTCTGGATAATTTTAGCTGCTTCATATAAACGTTTTTGTTCTTGATCCGATAATGTTAATCGGCTTAAATCATTCTCCATAAATTTATCTGGTACAGCATTAAAATGTTCAGCTATTTGAGCTGTAGACGGTGGTGGACTATTCAAACTGAATGCACTTAACGATTTCCCTTGACAATTATTATACCAATAATCATAATCACTTTCATAGGAGGAAATACCATTCAATTCAGAACTGATAAAACTATTTGAGCTTAATGGGGTTGTATTGAATATTGAATTCGATGTGATAATTTCACTGAAACAAAAATTTTTTTTAAAAAAAGGAGGAGAAAGGGAAGAGAAGTATGTAACACTGAGGTATATTTTGTACAAGGATATATATATATATATATATATATATATATATATATTAGTATGGGGTGGTGGGGACACACTTCTGAAGAGCTCCTAACTAGGACGAAACGCCTATCCGGTGATTTCTGGTTTTCAATGATCTCTAAATGATGTTGGTTAATGACGAAAGCTACATTGAAATCTTCATAATAGTTTTATTCTTTGACATTTGGTGTTTCCGTTCTGTATTTCATCTCACACAGTTATTATTATTATTTAAACACAAAAAACTTGGTATAATACGGCACCAAGAAGAGGCACCACACAATAATAATAAAACAAGATATATTACAAGTAAAACTATAGATAAAGAACGGATAAAGAACTTCATTTAAAAGGAAAAAAGTCATACTTAACAAGTTCAAACGGAATTCGTCAACTATCATCAGGAAGGGAAGAAAGAAGGAAATTGCAACATGTTAGTCATTGATTACGACTCTTGGCCATATCGGATAACGTTTGGAGCCATCGATTCGAGCTATCAATCGGACTCCAACCAGGGAGTCGTGATGCACCAACAGATGTTGTTAACCTTAAACAAATATCCTTCATCCCATGATGCCACGTCTTCGGTTTTCCATCCCGGTACGGAAGCCTCTGGGATGACATTCGCAGCACATATCAAAGCCACTGAAGCCGGTGTTTTCAGATGATGACACTCAACGGATGGTGATCCTCACCACTGTGTTCAAACACACGCCGCCGAACCTCAGAATTACTCACACGATGATGCCATCGAACGCAAGCAATCCGACCGAGACAGTGATGATTGAATACGCAGAGCCGCTGCACATCCTCAGCTCAGAGAGGTCAGGTTTTACAGGTGTAGAGCAAGACAGCCCGCACCAAAGCACTGTATACGCGACCTTTGACGGCCAGGCTAACGTCACAACGGTGCCAGAGGTGGTTCAATTTAACGTATGCCACCCTAGTCTTCATGATACCGTTGGAAATCTCATCCGCCACCCCTCCGCAAGCACACACAACAACCCAGATACACAAACTTATCAACAACTTCAAGCGGTTCACCTGCAAGAGTAAGTACAGGTACAGGCTCCTGCCAATCTTGTAACAGTACTTTGCATTTAGACGGTGCAAAGCATATACCATACGTAGAAACCATGATCGCCAACTGATTAAATGCGATTTTGGCAGTATGATATGATGAGTCATTTTTAGATTAGGCATAAATTTGTTACGTAAGGAGGGTAAATCAATCGAAAAGGTCTATTAATAATAATAATAATAAAACTTTATTTCAGACTATGTTGACACATAGTAAAGAAATTCTCAGCAAACTTAGTTGCAAAAGATTTCCTCTCTGTATAGGATCTACAAGCAAAATAGTAATTTGTAGTATATCATGTGACACAATTTTGTTTTATATGAAGAAAAGACAGATTCTTTACCATATTATACCTTTCTTTCCACCAAAAACTGTACAAGTTTCTCGTTGGAAGCTAGTTAAAAATGTGTGCAAGTTTATGTCATTAAGGAAGGATATAATTACACAATTAAAACAGTAAGAAACGCAGGAGAGACAAGGCATCATGATGAATGGAAATTTTAGTAAACCAGTGAATTAAGCACTCTGGCTTAATTGAAGCTACATCAGTTGAATTGGTTAGAGCACGAGTTGAGTAAACCAGGCTATCTCCTGCCTCGTCGAGAAGTGTCAGAGGATATAGAATTAGGTTAAAAAGAGTTAAGGGTAGTCAAACCAAAACCTGGCATTAGTCCATGAAGTCACTGTTGGTTTGAGCCAGCCATGTATGGAGTTGTATACCACATAGCTGGAGTCCTCAGGATTCCTAGAATCAATGACTGGAGACTGTTGATGATATGGTTTAAAATCGTTCTCGATGGAGCATATATATATACATATATCGCCGGAAATTAGTGTGGATTATCAGAACTCGGACGACCACAAAATAGTATATGAACAAATCGCATTGAGAACCTAACCAAAATGCGTTTGCAAATATTGATCCTCAGTAACACAAGTTCCTAAACCAGGCAATCAGAAACTCCCTCCGTTACTAGAACTAACGGTCAAACGTTTCCTCAATGGATGAGTACCACGTTTTTTTTCCTAAACACCACTAACTCTTTTTCAACTTAATCCCATTCCAGCTAACACTTTTCATCAGAGAAGATGAAGACTCGACGCGATGAGTATGTGTTCTAACCACTTCAATCGACGCAGCTGCCTAACCTCACCCATCCACATTTCTTCCTCACCTAATACTATCCGCTTAACCTTAATATTACTGACCACAATTCCTCATTTCACACAAGAGTGAACAAAGACAATTTTGCTCAAAAGCTACTAATCGTTTCAGATCTTCCACTTACACAGCCTGTGTTTCGGTAGGATGCTCGCCAACCACGCCTCACGTGGTCCGGGGTTCAACCCCTGACCGACGTACTCATGGAAGATTGGGCGTGAGGATAGAGACCCCGTACCGTGAAAATAAACCATTGCTATCGAAAATTCAAAGCTATAGCATGAACCCCTGTGTTCCACTGAAAACATAAAGGACAAAGTTAAACTTTAAGCACCATTAACCACCAATCGGCAAACGACCTTGAAGGCACCAATCACGAGAAGGAGGCATTTTTGTATATGGAATACATATATTTATGAGAAAAATGCATAAAAACTGTAGAAAAGTCTTACACAGGATACCTTCCTATCACATGTGATAAAAATAGCTCTCAGTTTTAGGTTGGAGTATCAACAGAGTGTACTTTTTACGAGTTGATCACGGACTGATATCATTTAGAGAACCATTGAAAACCAGCACTGGAGTACTGGACAGCTGTTTCATCCTAGTTTGGGAATCATAAACAGTACGCACCCACTGAAGTTCGAAGCCACGACCTTCTGACTACAAGGTAAGCTCGTATACCATTCAGCCATTATGACCCGATTCAATGGCTCATGAATTCTAATTTCTACCTATTCGTATACGAACTTGTCTTGTAACCAGAAGGTCCTGGGTTTGAACCCCAATGGGTGCGTACTGCCGGTGATTCCTAAACTAGGATGAAACAGCTGTCCAGTACTCCAGAACTGATTTTCAATGGTTCTCTAACTGATACCAATCTGTGATCAACTCGTAAGAACAAAACTAACCCTTACAAACCAACTATAGAAAGTGTATTTTCATTGTGGGTAAAATTTATTTTGAAAAAAGTCCCATAGCATTATACAGTAATATTTACTGAGCTCGAAACGTCATCAGTTAGTATTACTGTATAACACTGTGAAACTTTATCAAAATAAATTTTATCCATAGGGGAATTATACTCTACCACAGTACCCAAATTCTATTCTTATATCAACAGAGTCTGTCGACATAGAACTATGCACTGATGTGCGACAGTTCGAGTCACCACACTCCATGTAGCACACAAATCAAGAGAAGAAAGTAAAAAGAAATGCATTATAGAGATAGTAATCAGAGGCGTGAGACAAAGGAATAGTAATAACGAAGAACAATATAGTTTCATTGTAAGTCATAAGTCACAGGGAGTGGATGCATCTGAGTCACTGAGAACAATTTTGAGCCATATCATCAATTGTTTCCAACCATTGGTTTTTACCATCCCGAGGACCTTAACCAGGAAGTCTACACCTCCCTACGTGGCTGGCTTAAACTAACTGTTGTGGATTTCATTGACTGATGAATCCATGTTTCGATTTGACCTTCGCTAGCTCTTTTCCAGCCTGACCCTATGTCAACTAACATTGCCCGATGTCGAGGAAGGCGATGACTAGGCATACTTAGCTAGGCATACGTAACACATGTCCTAACCATCTCAGTCGATGTAACTTCACAACCTCGTCGACTGATTTCCCCTCCTTACCTAGAACTCGACCAAAGCCTAACCCCAATATTGCTCACCTTATTACACCACTTCACAAGGGAGATAGAGCGCAGGCACCTATGATCGAAGACAGCTAATCTTTTCATGTTTTTCACTCTCAATGGCCAGGTCTCACAGCCAGCCACAAAGGAGGACGGAGCAGACTGATGAGCAGTACACTCGCCCTTTGGTCGATAGCCGGATATCACGCCTACGTAAAGTAATTACAATAATATATGGACTTACTAATAAATTATTACATATACATTTATTTAAAGTATAGGATAAGATTTAGGGAAACAAAACTTACGGTTCATGTGAAGTTGATTCGAAACTGATTACATCATCCGTGTCAAAAGTATTATTATTATTGTTATATAAAGGTTTATATTTACTCTTGAATTGTTGAACAGAAGATAGATGAAGTCTTCTACGATTTAACGGTTCATGAAAACTTAACAAAGCACTTTTTAATCGATGATTCGCTTTATTCGTATGATTACTATATCGATATCTAAAATTATCATATGGTGTTGTTAAACACTTATTATCAGGATATGGTCGTTTTGATGGTAAAGAGTTAAATGAACCAGCTGACTTATTTTTAGGATGATGATGATGACTCATTGATTTAGTTGTTATATTTGATAAAATTTTAACTGGATACAGCCTAGGTGTGTTAGTCAATTTACCACCAAGATTAGTATTATAATTGTTGTTAGTAGCAGCTGACGATGACGATGAAGGTTCATAACGAAAGATTGATGAATGGGATATATGTTGATCAACTGGAGCACGACTACTTAAAACGATACTTTCACCTAAAGCTGAATCAGAAAATTGTATCGATGAAGAAACGAAGTCTTCAGCAACAACGGCATCACCGTCATCCACAACATCCTCATCATAATCGTCATCGTCATTATTATCATCACCACAAGTTGACAGGTTATCACAATCTTGATTGTGTAAATTAACAATTCGTCTTGGCATAGCCTAGATATAATAGAAAAGTGAGAGAAGTTTATCAATGGTTATGCATTGAAACAAGCAATAAAGGTTAATAAAGCAGGATTTAATGATGGATTCATCAAATTTCGGTAGAACTCGTCAGCTGAATACTCTACATACACGGATATATATATATATACTTTTGAAATTATATTGGGAGATATAAGACTGATGAGTAAACAAACTACATTGAATTAGTCATGCAGAAAGACAGGTGCGAATATTTTCCAGGTCATGTTCAAATAGATAAGGGGAGAGAGAGCATTCATTCATTATACAAAGCTTTAGTTGCGTATCTCCATTGCCTTCTGTTTTCTGTCAACTTTCTCAACCCGCTCCAAGTCTACCCGCCTGCTTTCATCTTCACTTCACATGACCTCCTCCAAGTCACCCTTGCACTGAAGACCAACTGGCCGCTTCTCTTTCGGGTTCCACTCGAGTAATGGCTTGTCTAGTGATGTCACTTGATGGTTTCCTCAGAGTATAGCTAATCCACCTACATTTCTTCCTGCTTATTTGTTGCATAATCGGTTCCTGGTTGGTTCGCTCATTTCCAGAGATCCCTGTTTCTGATCTTTTCTGGCCTGCTGGCCATCTGATCTTGAGTATTACTGAGCGAAGGCAGCTGTTGATGAAGGTCTGAAGTTTGTTTGAGGTGCTCTTTATGACGCGCTGGTGAAGTCTCTGATCCGTATGGTAGCATTGACTTCACATTGGAGTTGAAAATCCAGATCTTAGTTTTGATCCTGAGTGCTGATGATCTCCACCACACAGACTTAAGAGTAATGAAAGCTTGTCTTGCTTTTCCGATCTTCTCCGCTTTGATATCCTCATCAGTTCCAATCTGCCTGTAGTTGAAACGATGCTTCCCAGGTAGGTAAAGGAGGTTGTTTCTTTTAGGTTCCTCCAATTTATGCTGGCTGATTGTTGTCTGTTGTTGTTACTGTTGCTGTTGGCCAGGAATCTTCATCACCTCTGTTTTATCTATGTTCACTTGAAGTCCTATCTTTGATGATTCTTCTGCCAGCTTGTTGCTTTTCATTTGAATATCTTCCAGTTTGTGGGAAATCAGACATATATCATCGGCGAAGTCCAGATCCTCCAGGTTTTTGTGTGAGTCCATTTTATGCCTGTTTCCTCATTGCCCGAGTGTGAGAGATCAAAATTAAGATAAATTGCATTACGCTTCAATTACATCACTTAGATAAACAATTAGACATTAGAGAATATAACAAGAATTCCAAACAGAGTAATATCAATAGTAATGGTTGTAATAACAATAATAATGGTGTTGAAGTGAGTTAAGATAATCCTACTGGTAAAGGATAGTTTTAAATGAATCAGGAATAATAATAATAAGAGGTAGAATAATAAGTAAGGCGTATTACCATGGTAGATTCAGAGTCAAGACGATCTCTTTTTGTACACAGATACCTGGTTTATACACTCGAATTGCACAAGCCTCTGCAATTGCTAGCATCTTCTTGTTTTTTTGTCTGCTGACAATAGTGAATGACTTCACCACCTCGATATCATGTCCGTAGTCCACAAGATGTTTTGTTATTGAGAATTTTGGCACTTCGCACTCAGCTGTTTTCAATCATTTTGGCAAATGCTCCTTCATGTGAGTAGACAATTGCTTTTCCGTACGACTTATGTATTTGCTTCCAAAAACACACTCAAATTGGTATACGCCGTTTGAAGTGTCGAGGATTGGCGACTGGTCTTCTCCAGATTGTTGAAGCACTAGCTTGGTGCTTGTTAAGGAAAACAAGTTTTGCAGCATAATAAGTTCTATGGATGGCTTTGCCGAGTCTGCGTTTGACTACCTCCTGTACATTATCTCCTTTGAACGGCTAACTGATATAGACAGGTTTTTTCGGAGCTGTTTTGATTGTTTTGCAGGGGCCAGTTTCTTTAGAGTATTTATTAATGAACTTCTCAGGATATCCATTCTTAGATAAAATATCCTTCAGAGATTTTATTTCATGCTCAATAGTACTGTCAAAACAAATTTTTCGTGCTCTATTGAACAGTGTTCTGACTAAGTTCTTTTTATACTGGATTGGAACAAAGCTCTTGAAATGCATGTGCTGTCCTGTCCCTGAAGACTTTCTAAATATAGATCTTTCGATTGCACCATCATTCATTTTGGCTAGAAAAACGTCTAGGACTTTAATAGTATCGCTTTCTTCATGTTCTACTGTGAAATTGAGATTTGGATGGCATGAGTTGAATTTTATCAACATGTTTTCGGCTTTTGATTTGCTTCCAAAGACAACAACGATGTCGTCAACATATCTTAGGTATACATCCGTTTCTTGTATATGTTGCTGCAAGGTACCGGTTTCTAGGCGTGACAAGAACAAGTCAGAGAAAAGTGGTCCCAAAGGGCTTCCCATTGAGACACCATTAACTTGACGGAATAGACGCCCATCGAATTGGAATTGCACATTTTTAGTACATAAAAGTCTCAAAAACTTTGAATGTACGACAATTTTTTTTCGCTTCTCAACTATACCTTCACAAATATCTGTCTACTGTGGAATACGTGTTTGTTTAAAAAAGTCTCAATCAGCTGGAAAAGAGCAACACTTATCAAGGTGACGGCTAGTGTTACAACCCAGCTGCTCAGGCTTAAGTAGGTGGAATGGGACTTAAACCCGTAACCCGTAGACTGAAAATCGAATGCTTAAGCCAATGAACCAAATCTCCATTTTACAGGACTTCACCATGAGGTGACATTGGTTAGAGGACTATTGGAAACCACCTGGGAGTACTGGACAGCTGTTTGGTCACACTGGTTTGGGATTCTTCATCAGTACGCACTCACCAGGGTTCGAACACGGGTAATTCTGGTTACAAGGCTAGCAAGTTCGTAGACCATTAAGCCACTGGGACCTGATCAGGTATGGGGACAAATACTCGCCGAAGACATTGGCTGGCGGTCGCGCTATGTCGTGAATTGCCAAAAGTTATAATTCATGGGCCATTGGATCGGGTCCCAGTGGCCTAATGGTCTACGAGCTCGCCTTGCAACCAGAAGGTCCTGGGTTCGAACTCTGGTGGTGGGTGCGTACTGATGAAGAGTCCCAAACCAGACTGACGAAACAGTTGTCCAGTACTATCAGCTGGTTTTCCAATGGTTGTCTAACCAATGTCAGCTCGTGATGAAATCCTATAACCAGTCAAATGCCTACAAACCAACACTTGAATCTCCACTTTTAGCTGAGAAGTTTAAATACAGAGAATACTATGCAATGGATCGATGAACCAATTATCATTATTTGACAAACAAAAAAAACAAATAAATAAATAAGTAACTCACTTCAATTATCCTATCAGCTAGACAAAACATTTGTGAGTGATCATCTTTCATCAGATTGGTTACACTAGCATACAATGGAGCGGAATCAAATCGATGATGATAATCATACTGATGGCGGTGATAATGATGATGAGGAGGAGGATGATGATGGTATTGTTGATGTTGAGATTGTTTACGCCAGGCATAAATATTCCTACGATACAATTGTTCATCAGTCATATTTGTACTGAAAACGCTTTCTTGACAAGTTTCATTGTGTACATTATATAGGTGATTGGCAGCTGCATTATTATCATGAGTAGGTTCAGTATTCTTTAGATTCTCTGGCGACAGTTGATTAGCTGTTGTTGTTGTCGTCGTCGTCAATTTCGATGTCTCAGTTAGATTAGGATAATATTCATTTAACAACAAGGTATCATATTCTTTTGGTTGACAATCTATACTAGAAATGTGATTTAATGGTGAAGACTCATAGGATGACTCTGTCAAATTTGCCCCGGCAGTAATATCGATTGGATCAACGCGATTCATATTTGTGGATAAATGTGAGTTATTTACACTCGAAATTGTAGTTGATTCATCCAGTAATGGAATAGAATTAGAGATTAGATCAATTTCATTTAGATCAATAGGATCATCAAAATGCTGAAGACCAGAAGATAACCATAATAATGACGATGATGATGATGTTGGTGGGGGTGCTGGTGCTGGGGGTAATGATGGCGACGCTACTGTTTCTGCATAATTAAGAAGTCTTTCTAATTTGATCACAGGAGTATCGGTTTTATAATTTTGTGAATTAGAAAAATACTGATATTCTAATTGTTCAATACAATTTTGCATTACTTCACTATGTATAGCTAATGCCAACTGAAAAACAAAAATTTAGAAAATAAAACATGGAAATTTATCAGTATATTTGCGTTAAACTAAAGGAAGAAAAGTACAGACTATAGTGGTAAGCGTATAATTCTAACAAGCTTGGAATTAAAACTTCCTGAAGCAAAACCTTTTGATATCCTTTAGCCATTCTTTTGTGTTCTGAGTGAGATGCAGGACTCCAGCTTTCGAAATCCTGGTAGAGGTGATGTTGGGTTCTAGATGGTGGGGGCGTTGCTAATCTCACGCTTAGCCTTTTCTCTCTTCTTCCAACTCAATATTAGCTAGTAGACTACTTGAAATGAAAGAGTGCGTTGGCGGAGAATTGAGCGTCGGACCACGTAAGTGGTAAGCGAGCATTTTACCCTTGAAACACCAATGCAGAAGTCCTTTACTTACTTTACTTTACTTCGGCTATCTCCTACGGGAGGATGAGCCGGCTTCATGAACGTCTCGAATCATCGCTGCCAAGGCGCGACAATTTGTAAGAGAGTTCATGAAGTTTCATGGGAATTTGGTACGAGTGATGTCCCCAGCATCGCTCGGCCTATTGTTTGAGAGTGCAGCTCTAGCCTTTACACAACCAAGTGTGACCTACAAGGCAGTAGGAGTGGAGTAAGGAGTCCACTATCCATTGGCAGCCGGTGACCGGAGTCCGGTTCATACGCCTTTTTGAATGGGGCCAGACACCCAACAAGCCCTTTGTCCATACGTCTGCCGGTGAGCTCCAGTGAGCTTCATACGCCAATCGTTGGAGGTTTGGAATCAGGGTTTAGCCATCTCCCCTAGACTGTCATCCAATGGACAGTCAACCCGGTGAAGAGCGCCGGGCATCCGCTTTCGCCCTCTCACTTTGGTGAGAAACACCTCCGTCACATGAAGGCAGTGAGTAGGACTTCCTCAGGAGAGGCTATGTAAGACGCCCGGTCATATGGGAGCATTTCAAGAGGTGTGCGGAGGGGTGGCCAACCCACAGCGCAAGGCACCCACCCCCGACCATCCTGAGGCTTTGGAGGCCAGAAGTCCTGTAGATTCTATTAAACAAAATAATTTAGTTTATCTAGTGCCATGGAATGGTTGTGGGGTCAAAGTAATATTTTGACTGATTGACTGACTGACTGGTTTCAACATAGAAATTTGTCCCGATGTCCAGCAGTAGTTCAATTCGCCACACTCCATGTAGTACACGTGTTGTGGTTATCTGAATAATTTTGGTTTTCGAAGGAAACTGTGGTGAAATCTCACCTCTTTAAACTGTGTGTGTAAATTGCTAATTAATTGGCAAATTTTGAATTTGATTTATAAAATGTTAAGTTATTTTCTCAGACGAACAACCGGTGAATTGGAATATATATTCATGTTTAATGTGTAAAAACTTTCTGATAACGAAATAAAAAAAAATGGGTTTCGTGCAATAGATACATCATAGAGTAGACAGCTGCATTGATTACTATTCAGAGCTCAACTTATGTACGTTGTTAAGTCCTTTCAGGAAATCATTGATGCTACAACAGAAAACTCAGCAAGGCGTTCAAAGTGAATACAAGAGTAAGACAAGGCTGTCTGTCTATTATCACCAATGATGATATTCTTAATTGTGGTGGACTGGAATATGCGTCAGAATCTGGGTAGAGAGGAGACAAGAATACGCTGGACCACCGATAAGAAGACTCTAGAAGATTTGGATTTCACACGTGGATGATTAGTGTTAAATGTTATACAAACTGGTTGAAGACCCCAGCTGGTAGCGAAGACAGGACTCCAGGTGAACATAGAGAACACGAAGGTGATGGAGATAACCAACGAACAGCAACAACAACAACAACCAGCACCAATCACCATCAATGAGAGGGATTTAAAAAAAGGGTACCTCGTTCACTTCTTTAGGAAGTATCATTTCACCTACAGACGGAACGAATGAAGGTGCCAAAGCGAAACAGAATCGGAAAGGCAATAAGCGTCTTTATCAGCCTGAAACCAATTTGGAGATCTTCTGCACTCAGCCAGCATAAAGAACAAGATTCGGATTTTCAACACAATTGTGAAGTTAATCCTCTTATATGGGTCAGATACCTGACATGTAACGAAAAGGATTTCCAACAGGCCGTTACAAACTTCTATCAATAGCTGCTGCCTGCCTTCGCTGGCTCCATACTGAAGATGGAATGGCCAGTCGGCTAGAAAGAATTAACAATAAGGAACTCTGGCTGGGAACAAACCAATAGGCGAGAGCCGATTGCTCGATAAATATGTAGGAGGAAATGGAGATAGATCGGGCATACATTGAGGAGGCCGTCGAATGATATTGCACGCAATGCAGGCTATCACTCAAGTGGAATCTCAATGGGAAGTAACAAGTGGATCGTCAGTGAAAGGGTGACATGGAAGAGATTGTGTGGAGAGGAGGAGGATGAGAGATTATGGGCAATCGTGGACTCAGATGAAGAGGACGGCAGAAAAAAGAACAAAGTGGAGATGTGTTGTTGAAGCTGTATGTTCCAATTGGAACCCAAGGAAATAATAATAATAATTATTATTATTGTTATAATTTAATGAAAGCCAAATTTATACTTACATCTTTTGGTGTGAATTCACCATCCAGTTTTGAAGAAGACATAAATGAATTGTATAAACACGGTCTGTGAAGAGCTTCTGGATCCCATACAACTAAGAATCGTGTAGTCACTATTTGTTCACATAGGATAGCTGATGCAAGTGGTGTTAAGACAGGTTGATTCAGAGACATGGAATTGTTTGGAGTTAAGTCTACAAATTTTGTATCAAAATAAAAAACACATGGAGAAGTAAGTGGTAACAGTACAATTTACTCATAATATTCATTTAATAATTCAATAAACATTAATTAATTCAATATTTTATGAAATCTAGTTATATCATTTTAGATAAAATGAAGTAAACTCTTAAATTCTTGCGTATCACTAGTGCGTGAAGTAGTATTGTAGTGAGAGCTTTCTGCAAGACAAAACTGTAGACGAAAATTGACATCAACGTTTACGTCCCGAATAGGGGTCATGAGAAAAAACAAGGACAAAGCCTAACCTTGAGAAACTCAACAACCAATCACAGCAGACTTAGCGTGGGCGGATACGATTCGCAGATATATCACCGGACTGTGTGAAAAAACGGCAACAAAAAGATGACAGAATAACCTCCAGTAGGAAAACAACCAATCAGAAGACGTTACCTCTCTAACGAATAATAATGTACATAAAAATGTATAAATAACTGTTGCCTGACTCTTGTCTTCTGTCGTTACAGTAGGAGATGGATTCAAACTATAAGAATAAATGTGTATGAGTGTAACATCTTGTAGTGCATAACTTCTCGTTAACAATTGGACCGGCCGGTGAATGACTCTAACGGTTCAGTTGTTGGATGGTATTAATCCACCCAGACATTAACTGTTCAACTGAAGAGTCTGGAAGAGAAAGTATTATACACTTAAGTAAACATCTCCAGATGCTGGAAATCAATGAATAAAGATATTACAAGTAATAAATCAAAAATTCAAGGTGGTCTACGTGTTTAGTGTGTAAAAATACGATTCCCCGTGAAATTGTGTTTATACAACTTAGTGTTTTGACTAGAGATATTAACTTCAATTTTCATGCTAAAAAGGACTATTTCTCTCTAACTGATATCAATCCGTGGTCAAACTCGAAAAGCACAAACAAATCCAAACGTTACAAATCAACTCTTGAAAATTATTCTGATGCTTCCTAGTGACTTGCTATGGGACTGACTTTCCTGGAACTGAAGTGAGAAGTGATGAACAGTGGGATTCATCCAGTCGGGAGTGAGCATGGAGTTCCCACTGATAACATCAGTTGGTGGTTGCACTACATCACGAATTAGTAGACGTTAGAAATCATGGGCTGGCCATTGAATCGAGTCCCAGAGGCTGAATGGCATACGAGGTTGCCTTGTAACTGGAAAGTCCTGGGTTCGAACCCCCCTGTGGTGGGTGCGTACTGCCGATGAAACAGCTACTCAGTACTCCGTAGTAACTTTCATTGGTTCTCTAGCTGATATCAATCCGTGGTTAAAATCGAAAAAAAGATGAACTCGTTCTTTAACCTGTTATAAGAAAAACTCTTCTAGTTTTCACTAGCAGTGTCCACATTCCAGTTGACTACTTACTGAGTTAAGATCATTTATGAACTCATTCTCTTAGATCACTATTAGTTAACTACGCTCACTTTTTGGAGTGAGTATATGAATTGTAGAAAAACAAACTTACCACACTTCGTTTCAACGTACTTACACAGATAGAACGGAAGCGTTCGATTATAGTTTGAATTTCCTCAAGTTGATCTTGTATTACATGATCAGGGGAATGCTGTAATACCATCAGATATTACATCTGGTTGTTTTTAAAAGTGTTTTATCAACATTCTTTTTGCACAGCGTTTACTATGTCATGCGTGAAAACACCTCACAGCAATAGTTATAATCTTCACCCCACTTTTTGTCATCTTTAGAATTTAAAGGACTTACTAATATAAGATGAAATAGCGTGCAGAACTATATACTGCTGAATGACTGAAATGAGTAGTTGTATGTCACTCAAATCAACTAGTGGTGTTTGGTAGCTAGATAGAAATGATCTAAACACCGGGCGGCCATTTCGCTCGTTCGGGACCGAGCCCATCATCAGTGGTGTATCCGGCTTGACTGAGCTCAGAGAGAGCTGAATCAGTTGAAACCACCCCCGATTACTGGCTAGCTACTTAGGAGGACTGGTAACACCTTAAATCAAGTTCGTGACTTGCAGTTTACTCAGTTAGGGAAAGTAAAATTCTCCGACGATTTCCTTTATTTCACTTATTGTTCCCTTGGGTTCCTACTGGAACATAGGGCTTCAACTGAACGTCTCCCTCCATTTGCTTCTGTCTTCCTTCTGCTGTACTTCTCACCTATATCTATGTTAGTCCATACTCTTTCAACTCCTCTTCACACGATCTCCTCCATGTCACCCACCCTTACACTGACGTCCCATTCGCCGCGAGCTTCCCTTTCGGCCTGGTTCCACTCAAGCAATGGCCTGACGCGCTCGCGATGTCACCCAGCGACCTCCTCAGCCGCGAGTGTCCAATCCATCTCAATCCACTTTCTCTTGCATATTTGTTGGTTGGCGATTGGTTCTTGTTTTGTTTGTTTGTATCCATAGTTTCTTGTTGGTGATTCTTTCCGGCCCGGCCATCTGATCTTCAGTATGTAGCCAGCAAAGACAGCTGTTGATAAAGGTAACGTCTGCAACAGGCTGTTGGAAATATTTTTAGTGAACCGCTAAGTTTCTGATTCGTATAGAAGATTTTCTTTGGAAACCAAAATTAGTCAGATCTGTTTGATACCACGAATGGTAATGGGAGGATACAGGTGCATCCGGATGATGAGCCCTAGGCGGAACGAAATATGCAATCCTAAATACCATAAATCAGTTCAGTGACAGAACACTGGCCAACCAGGGAAATGATTCAGGGACCGATCCCTGGCTGACGCACTCCCGAACCTCGCGTGGGACTAGCAACCCCCATATGGTACAAAAAAAACACTGCCGCTAGTGAAACTTCAAAGATTAGGTTTTAAGCCCTGTGTCCCATTTGGAGTGCAAAGGAATAAAATTAAAAATGAATCATTAGATCACTGACAATAAATGCACAGATGATTATTAACTCACCATGAAGTAACGATAGAATTCTACACAGCTCAGTATCTACATCAGATTTTGGTATAGTACTTGTATTATCGTTATTATCAATAAAGAATGACATTGACTGATTACAATAACTACGTACAGCCCATTGTAAAAGTCCTAGGATTAGCTCAGAGTAACTGAAACAATGAAAAACAAAACAACCTAGCAAAAGTAAAACAAAATAATATGAGATTAAATGTTCAAATGAATTAAATCGCATTTAAGCAAACACCTGATATCTATGGTCAGCCTGCAAAATTTGGGCTACCGATATCCACGCTGAAAATTCCATACTTGTAACAAAAATACAGTGTGGAATCAAGCTGTAAATCAAAATAAATAAAAAAAATAAATAATGATCAACTTAGGTAGGCTTATACAGACAGTCCATAGGGGATTGAACCAATGCCAGTCAGGTATAACTGTTGACACTTTTCCTAATGCAGCTTGTTAAGTTCTGTTGACATTGATTATTTTTAAAAGGTTGATGACTAAAATTGATTGAAGACACAAAATCGTGGTATAATCAAGCTAACTGGTCTGTCACTTTATCGCGTCTATTCCCCCCAGACAAACCAGACAACACGTGCCCAGTAAGTGATGGGGTAAATCATTTTACTAGACACATTTATCCAGTTGGTGAGAACGAAGCTTTGTCAGTTAAGATAATCGCATATAGTGTAGCTAACGATCAATCTATTAGTCCTAGCAACCAAAGCTGAATAGATGAGCACTTTTTGCTCATATAGGGTCCAGCTAGCGTTTGTTTTAATTATTGGGTGACAAGACAATTTATCTCAGTTATGTGTAGAAATGTGGCTCATTGGTTTAAGTACTCAAATAAGAGTAGAGTTTAGGTACTGCAGTAGGATATAATTACATACTTGATAAGTTTATTAGATATAAAACACGATGAGATAGTATTAACAACTGGATGACGTTTCGAGCACAGCTTATTGCTCATAATTATATCATACCATTCAGTTTCTAGCCTATAGGTCACAGGTTCGAGTCTCACGCATTCTACTTCAGCCTGAGCAACTAGGAAATATCATCAGTCGTCGTATAATAAGTTAGGCTCATATCCTGGTACATGAGGGATATGCTGTGAGTTATATGAGTCACTGAAGATAAACACCCAAGTGAGGACAGACTCGCAAATACAGGGGTGTTTGATAATATACTACACTTTAGCAAGAAACTATTTATTGATTAATAAATATTATTTATATCAGTATCTCTACTAATGGTAAATCGATTTCAGCCTTCTAGGAATACTCTGGTATTCTTTGTGCTTCTTCTGTCGAAGGTTTTTACATCACTCTGGTTGACTTAGCTGGTAGGTGTCCATATGAATTGATATGAAGAGATTTATGCCATGCCTTTTGATTGTTAGTTTGTGTTCATGGACGCAAAGATGGAGACATTGTTCGCTTTAGTTAATATAGCGTCTTCTTTCGTAGTTGACGCAACCTATTTTATCAGAGATATTGGTTTACCGGGTGACATCTATTCAGAGATGCTTAAGTATTCAAAGCAATCATTTTGGAAACGTTCTTTTCTTGTTAACTTGCATAAGGATATTGTGTTGGTTAGTTGGATTGATGGTAGAAATCTCCTGATAATGTGTCTTGGATACCCGGGTTTTCTGGAAGATGATGAAATAATGTTTCTTCAATATTCCTCTTCAAGACAGAAGTGCTACAACACCTTTTGGACCCTTTGAATAATATTTAGATACGTCTTATCTTGTGTGTTGTTGTAGCTGACTGTTGTTCGGGTTGACTTTCTATATACTAATGATTGAGTGGCAACTGAAATCACTAAGAGATAAAATGAAAGCTATCTCTAATAGCTGGTATAGACCTCGTTGAACAGCCACACAACATTGACCGGGTGTTAGGTGGTCCACAAAGGAAAACTCAGACAAACCTTTCAAGTGAAAACATTTGTAAGATAAGGCTGACAACTATCACCAATGCTACTGCTGATTGTGGTGGACTGGATCAAACGGCACACTGTGCATGGGGACCGAGAAGACAGAAATAGGTTGAACTGATAAGAAGATTATAGAAAGTCTAGATTTCATGAATGATTTACGTCTAATATCACACGGAGTTGAAAATCTACATGCGAAAAGTGATAAGTCAGTAGAAGAAGAAGCAGCAAAGACAGGACTTCAAGATGAGTGTGTGAGGAAAGTAATCAGCTAACAACAACATTAACAAACACCAATTACCATCAACGGGAGGAATCTGAAAGAGGTCACTTTCTTCACTAATCTAAGCAGCAGACAGACAGCCACGAATGAGGATGTCAAAACTAGCCGGATTCGAGAGGGAGATACAGCCCTCCGTTACAATCAAACCAGTTTGGAAATCTTCTACACTCAGCATAAACAACAAGATTCGGATTTTCAACACCAATGTTAAGTCGGTTCTTCTACATGGTTTAAAGACTTGGCGCGTCACGAGAAGCGTTTCCAACAGGTTACACACTTTCATTGACAGCTGACTTCTTGGCTCCATATTGAAGATCAAGTGATCAGATAGAATCAGCAACAAGAAACTTTTGGAAAGCACCAACCAAGAACCTATTGCCTAACAAATATAACGAAAATGGAAATGGGTTGGAAATAAACTGACGAGACTGACGAGTGAAACACGAGTGGGTTGTCCGAGAGTGACATGGAGACTGTGCAAGGATCAGATGAGAGACTATGTAAAACCGTTGGACCAGATGTAGAGGACCTCAGAGAATAGAATAAAGTGGAAACGTGCTGTTGAAGCCTTACATTCACCCAGAACCCAAGGGAACAATAATAATAGTCAAATGTTTTAGATAGGTCAAAGAATGTAATAAGAATAACACGATGGTAGATGAAATTGTGATTGGTGGTGTACAGATGACATAAACCTTGACAGTTCAATCTGAAAATTTTATGCCAGCAAGTACACAGGTGCACAGAATTGATGCTAGATGACCAGAGACAATCGGCAAGAAGCCAAGAACCTGGGGTTTCTTACTTATTGGCACTTGTCACACTAAGGAGGTGACCAGATTCGAACTTGCATATTAACCAGCACTGCAGTCAGAGACGTTATCACAGTGCTACTCCGACTCATTATTGATCCCCTGTAGGACTAGATAAACAGATTGATCACCTAACCAATGAAAGGAAGCGTATAGAGTTTTCGGAATAAAATCTGAAAATGTTGGAATCTTTTTTCAGCCTCAATATAACAAGCATTTTTCGCAAATCTTATCAACTAAAAAAGGTATCGAAGAATATGAGGAAAAGGGGGGGTGGAAAGGTGATTATAACCTACCCCAATGCAGCTGCACAACTTAACAATGACATATCTGTCTTCAGTGAAGTAACTTGTTCTTGTAATAACTGGATATTTAATCCATTGAATTCATTTTCAGCTTCTAATAAATAATTTACAGCTGTTTGATCTGTTCTACTACGTTCATTCTCATTAAACTGGTTTGTATAATCCATTTTCTTAATCCATTCAGTTAATTGTAGAGTTAAATATAACTCTAATTTATCCATGCATCGATCAGATCGAATTGGTATATTCAACTGTTGAAAAAATATATATAAAATAAATCAACAGAAAACATTAGAAACAAAAGAAAAACAAAATTAATTAATGAACTGATTAATTAAATATTGATTTAATTTTTTTCTTTTTAATTGAAAAGGCAGTTTACAAATCGCTTCTCATTAAGCTTTAACACAGAGAAGATTCAATTCAATTATAGATTTTCCTGAAGTGCTCAGTTTCACGTTGACATATTGGCCATTTGTGTTAGATACTTCGATGATGTCTGGTCATGTAACTTGAAGTCAATTGGTGGAATCCAGGATAATGCGCATTTCACCCTATTCGGGATTTGTCAGCAGCATTTAACTGCTTTGGCGTTTCAAACTATAGGCACTGGGTTTAAGCCCCGGTGGGAACACTATCACTCACTGGGAACTGCAGGCAAATCCAGATAACAAATCCCAAATGGGATGACATGCGGATCCTAAATCCCACTGCTAGTCACCATCCACACAAATTGACAGCGAAGATTCTCTACCTTTTTTCAGTCATTTCATTCATAAGCCATATCACTAAAGTTACCTAAAGGCGAAAAAGGAAATTCTCAATGTGGACATTTAGAAGTCCGAAAAAAAGAGGAGATTGAGTAAATAATATTCACACTTTGATAACTTTCTCATTTGCCTCTGCAATTGTATATATTTATGCATATATGTAGACAATATTTAAAGAGCATTTGTTATTGGCGACATTAATGTTTTTTTTTCTAAAAATTGCATTAAGTAGTCGAGATCAATTATGGAATTACAGTTCACAGAAGCATGTGTGGGTGGTATTTTGCATAAAAAAAATATATAACACTAAATTGAATATCCGATAAAATGAAGATTTATGCGGCAATTAAAGACAATCAAAACAATGATAACTAAAGTAAGGGAAGCGTATCAAAGAGAGTTTTCTTCTGCACACATTAGTTAGGCTTCTTCGGTTGGATTCCAACGGCTTGACCTATATGTGAAAGATGAAGTCATAAGGCGAAATAATTAGTTGGAATACGATAAATAACTTTGTGAATACCAATAAATCATAATTATATTTCAATAGTTCATACACAATGATAAATTTTTGTTTTTCGGTAATATTTCGAGCAAAGTTACTGCTCGTGATCACACCAACTGTTGGAATTGTTCTGTTTTTAATTCATACTTTTATTTTCAAGGGTTGGTTTGCAAGGATAAGATTCGTTTTGTTTTGTTTTTTTAGTTTGATTTCGGATTCATATCAGTGAGAGAATCATTGAAAACCAACTGGGAGTATTGGACAGCTGTTTCGTCCTAGTTGGGGAATCATCGACAGAACACAGTGGCTAAATGCTATACGAGCTCAGACTTGTATGATTTGTACTCATACTTTGTCCATACACTTCTGTTTATCCACAATTGAATATAATTGTTGACAGTTGTGCTGCTGAGTCACCCTCATTACATGTATCCGGTGTGACCTTAATGAATGCAGATTCTGTCATTGGTCATCTCTCTTTCCATTTGTTCATATTAGATTTCAGAATACAAACATTGTTCCAATCAATATTGTGGTTTTTGTTCCATGCATGTGCAGTTATAGATGAATTTTTTTCTAAATTCTTGTAAGCTTGTGTTCTTGTGAGATGACCTTTAGTTAGGCCTTTATGTTCATTCACTCTAATTTTGAGTGATCTAGACGTCTGACTCACATATTTAGTTGGACACTCGGTACAAGATATTTTGTACATAACATTATTCTTATCCATCATTTTTATTGGATTTTTTTAGTTGATTTATTTTATTTTTAATTAGACTATTTGGTTTAAACGTGGTGCTGTTAATCCCAATATTTATGAGGTTCCTTCGAGTTGCCTCTGATGTACCATTTGTGTATGGTATTGTGATTGTTTCATCGCCAACCTTCTTGTCATTCTCTGGTTTAACCCTCTTCTTTATCTTCTTTATATTATCTCTGGGAGATTCTTTTAGGTATTTAACTGATGAATGGTGACTAGCAGTGGAATCCAAGATGCACATTTCGTCCTGTTTGGGACTCGTCGTATGGATGTACCTGCATTCCCCAGTGAGTGATGATGTTCCCACTGTGGCTCGAACTTTTTCTGTACACAGAGATTTGGCTTTCCTGCTTCGATAGCCAAAGATGGCTTCAGCAATACAGATGAGTCGGGTACGTAGTGGTTTCGATAAATTACTCTTTGCATTGTAGATGACTTTAAAGGCGGAGGCTATAGAGATAGGGTAATCATTATCGACCAGATGTTCAATGTCAACCTGAGGCCGAGCACTTCAGTCCAATCAATCGATGGGAAAAACTTAAAATTCAATTAAATTCTGTAGATAGTTGTTATTGAGTAACATTTTGAATAGGACGTTTATTTCTTTTCTTTGGTCATTTGATATTGTTATAAATCTGCATATTCTGTCCGCAAGAAATTGTATTAATCACCAATATTGGTGGGGACAATGTTTGTATTCTGATATCTAATATGAACAAATGGATAGAGAGACGACTAATAACAGAATCTACATTCATTAAGGTCACGCCGGATACATGTCACGAGGGTGACTCAGCAGCACAACTGTCAACAATCTGGAATATAATTGTGGATATACAGAAGTGAATGGACAAAATAAAAAAGAACTACATATATGAGTACAAATCATAAAAGTGTGAATTAAACACAAAATAATTCCAAGAGTTTGAGTGATTATGGACAGTAACGTGGCTAGAAATATTACCAAAAACCAAAAATTTATCTATGTGTATGAACTATTGAAGTATAATTATAGTTTATAAAATCAAAAGTGATTCAGTGAAGAGACTCTTTTCAACGAATTTATCATCAAGCTGTACGGTCGTATATATATGGTTTTATATAGAAATTATATCCGGTGAGGGAATTGAATCATAGGTATGAATGCATAAAATAATAATAATAATAATAATATGAAATGCAATTCAAACTAAAATGTTTGTGATTATAATCACAGTTAACTGTCAAGTGGCGAAACAAACAATTAATGTCATATATAGAATAATTCATAGGATGGATAGAACCTGGATGGTGTAGGCAAATCGAATAAAATAAAAACGTCATGTAATATTGTGTGAAATTTAATAGCATAGAATTTAACGTTGTAAAAAAGAAGAGGTAGAAATGGAGCAATAAGAAGCACGATTATTAAATATCTGGTCGATAATGATCACCCTATCTCTATAGCCTCCGCCTTTAAAGTCATCTACAATGCAAAGAGTAATTTACCGAAATCACTACGCACCCGACTCATCTGTATTGCTGAAGCCATCTTTGGCTATCGAAGCAGGAAAGCCAGATCTCTGTGTACAGAAAAAGTTTATTCAACCCCTCCAGCTTTCATGGTCTTTATCCTTCTATGCTAAATCCCTAATCATATTTTGGCTCTACCAATTTCTCATTTTTTTCATTTTGTCTATTCAGTTTGTTTACTCTTCCTTTATTACATCAATTGTTACAACTACTATTCTCACTTTGAACTGTCCCTGGTATTATTTCACTTGTTCCACTTGTCATTCTAAATCAATTCTTTTTTTACAACGTTAAATTCTATGCTATAAAATTTCACACAATATCACGTAACGTTTTTATTTTATTCGATTTGTCTACTAATCCTATAATTGCTCACCCTTTCCAAGTTTTATCCGTCCTATGAATTATTCTAAACATATGACGTTAATTGTTTGTTTCGCTACTTGACATTTAACTATGATTGTAATCCCAAACATTTTAGTTTGAATTGCATTTCATATTATTATTATTTTATGCATTCACACCTGTGATTCGATTCCCTCACCGGACAAAACTTCTTAAAAACCATATATATATATATATATATATATATATACGATTGCACAGCTTGACGATAAATTCGTTGAGAGGAGTTGCATTATTATTTATTTAAACGCATAAAAACTTGGTACAATATGGCACCAAGAAGGATGCGCCACACATTAATAATAGAACAACATAGGTCAAAAGAAAAAAAGAAAGAAGAGAAGAAATATATGTATATAAGTAGAGAACGGAGAAAGAACTTCATCTGGAAGAAAAACAGTCATGCTTAACAAGTTCAAACAGTATTCGTTAACTATCATCGGGAAGGGAAGAAAGAAGGAAATTGCAACATGTGTAATAGCACGCGATAAGTTTCATTGATTGTTTGTTGCTTCATTCAATTCATTGTGTGAGGGCTGAGATACTGCCCGGGCGCCCAGATCGAAGCAGGTGGTTTTGTTAAGGGACCACCCCCCCCGAGCCTTTGACTCGGAGTCTAATCCGCAAGGCAGTGGAGCAGCGTCAGGAGCTGCATTCCCATGGTTGACGGTGACCCATTTGGGTTCATACGCCATTTGATCCGATTGGATACTGGAGCCCATGTACCCCATGGTAACTGCTTTTAGTTTAACCGCTATCCAAACAACCTTCCTGACATGGTAGGACCTGCAGGGACAGAGTCCTAGTCAGTTTAGCATGTTGGGTCATTACGGTATTCAAGCCCGACCACCACGACAAGATAGTAGTTATCGGCCGGGTCGTTGAGAAGAGTCTCTTCGCTGAATCACTTGTTTTGATTTTTTATATTTTACAATGGGAATTTTCCATGAATTATAGTTTATTTGATCGAATCTACAATGCTCAAACTTTTAACTGACAATAATAAATCCTGTTGTGTAGCCTTTGAAAGATGACTTGATTGATAAGGGAAAATTTCCTTCTCTGAATTGTCTGTTATTTACACCAGTGTACATCAAGTTCCTATATGATTTCTTATTGCAACATTCAGGTGAATGATGAGAGTAACATATATAGACAACTATCTTTAGAATAAGATCAAAACTTTAGAATGAAAAAAGAAAAAAACTAACTAACTAACTAACCTTAGGATAATCATCAAAATTACTTGTTAAATAGTTTGTAAGCGTTGGATCATAAATCTCTTCGGAATGTACATCTTCTGAATGCATTGATGGTGATGAAATATATTTTAGCATAGGATTATTATTATTATTATTACTATTTGTTTCACAATCAAATGATGATTTATTAAATATTCTTGATTTATGATTTGGTAGTAAAATGAATTCATCTTCACTTTCAATTGATAAATGTATATCTGGTGCTAATGAACTGAAACGAATGAACACTATCCAGCGTAATAGATCACCTAAATGTTGTTTTTTTAATTCAAAATGAAGAAGAGATAATTGAGAAAATAAAAGTTGAGTGAGTTATTATACGACAGTTGTATCACAAACGGTTATCTGAGCATTACACTATGAGATCGGATCTTTCAAAACGTGGAAGTTTATACAAAGGTGAAGTGGTTCAAGTTGCCCCCTCCCCCTCACTCACTCACCCAACCACCACTTCATATATAACATAGAAAGGTAGAGAAAAATACTTAAAGGAACTATGATAAAGGTGAATGTAAAAGAGACAGAATAAGTAGATGAAGTATAATGAGAATATATTGGTGAATATGGAAGACTACAACAAAGGAGTGAATGCATTTGAGCTGTATCACTAACAGTCTCCAGTGTCTCAAAGACCTTAACTAAACAGTCTATATCTCCCCATATAGCTGACTCAAACTAACATTCAGTGGCTTGAAAGATTGATGGCACATTATTTTAGTTGATAACCCTTAACTCTTTTCAACCGAATCCTATTTTAGCTAACATCGCATGTCAAGAAAGGCGGTGGCCATTTCATTCAATGCAAGCTTTACAGACTTATTAATCAACTTCCTTTCTTGGCGTAACACTCTAGGCCTAACATCAATATTACTCGCCCTATTATATTACTTAACACGGGAGATAGAAATAAAACATCTATGGTCGTGGAGAAGTAGCTTCCACATATCTTTCACTTTCAACGGTTATGTCTCACAGTCATAAAGGAGGATGGAGCGAACTGCTGTGCAGTAGACACACCCTTTGATCGAAAACCGAATATCACATCCACTCTAGAATGTTACTTTGGTATAATCTTACCATTGCATTGCGACTAAAAGGTTAGAACAAGAGAACAGACACTTCAAAATAAAGCTTTCAAATTCAACTGGACAGTATTTGTTACAGGATTTCATCATGAGCTGACATCGGTTAGAGGACCATTGGAAAAGCTGGGAGTATTGGACAGGTGTTTCGTCATCCTGGTTTAGGACTCTTCATCAGTACGCACTCACCACCAAGGTTCGAGCCGAGGACCTTCTGCGAAGTCGTGACTATTAGGGTACAGCAAATCGGACGTGGGAACAAAAGTCGCCACCGATGACATTAGCTAGTGGTCAGGCTATGTCGTGAATTGGCGGAATTCGGAACTCACGGGCCGGCCATTGGATCGAGTCCCAGTGACTTAATGGTCTACGAGTTCGCCCTGGGTTTGAACCCTGGCGGCGGCGGGTGAGCGCTGACGAAGAGTCCCAAACTAGGATGAAACAGTTGTCCAACACTCCCAGATTTTCCAATAGTTCTCTAACTAATGTCAGCTCATGATGAAATCTTGTAACCAGTCAATCAAATCCCTACAAACCAGTACTTGAATATCGATAGTGCTTGATAGATTATGGTTAAGAGTGTAATCTATGAGCTGAAATGCCTACACAGGGTGATCAGTTAAACTTAGCAAAATCTTACAAAATAAAATGTCGAACAATTATTTATAAATTTACCATTTTTAAAAAGTTACATTATCTTTGTCTTTCGATTGTGATTAGTAACTGAAAGTGTTGCATTTAAACTTAAGTTGATTTTAAATAATCTATGGTTTGGAACTGCCGGGTAAATCCTATTCACTACCTTCCCAGCGCGAGGGTGTTCCTCACGAAAGTGACAGGATGAATTCGAATGTTTCATGCTCACAACCGGACTGGTGGATATGCCGGTCATCTAGGGAAGCTGGAAAACCGCGATCCCACACCTGTGGTGTGTACATAGACTCTAGAATCCAAACATGTCGAGTGGTGTATTTGAGCATATTTTGGCTATCATCAACCATGGAGACATAGCTCCTCACACTGCCCCCACCCCCACTGCCATGGAGGATCAGACTTCAGATCAAAGGCTCGGGGGTGACCCACTAAGATAACCACCTGGTTCGGTTTTGCCAGCCCAAGCAAAATTATGAGATTTTGTGTGGCGTATCTCTTGGTGTCCATAATGTACCGAACTTACGTTTTAATAATAATAATAATAATAATATGGTTTGGAATAGATAAGTTCATTCTATTCGAGAGGGATTTGTAACACAAATTGTTTGCAGCTAAACATATACAGTTAGAATTCAGTTCTCATGTAAGCCTTGAGTATTGTGGTAATAATAATAATAATAATAATTCAAACAATAACTTGTATACAGAATGGGATTTACAACATCTTCAAAATGCAACAGCCTTTACTCTCTATAGAAATAAAGCGAAAATGGACAAATACAAAAAGGGAAGATAACAAAAATGTTCATTTAGATGATAATAATAAATAATGCTAGAAATAGGCAGCTGTTTCTTTACATATTATAAGATTGCTTGTTAGTTCTCTTGTGACATTCCTTTCATCACACAAAACACATGCTACATAAAGTATATGACCATAATGAAATTATTTCTTGTATTTTTCCCGAAGACGGAATTTGTGAAAAAAAGAGAGAGTGCTCATTATCCAACAAATGAGATGACCATCTTAGCTAACTGCCTTCACGAATTTCAATGTCTACTAACAACAGCATTCGCGGGTTAGTTCAAAGACACACCAGTAATCCTGCTTCAGTATCTTACCTAATACGATGAAGTCTGTTTTTTATAAGCCTAGGAAAAAAAATGAGACGGAACAGAAAAAGTGCATACATTCCATGTCCCTGTGTTAAATTTTTGCTTTCATAGAAAGAAGACACGTTGGCCATCTGACTTACCGAAGGTTCTCACCAGCCGTTGTCAGCCTTCTTCATATTTACTGTACTTTGAAGTTTCTGTAAAGATTTAGTTGTCTTTCCTGAAGTGGGGTCTCCAGTCCGACACCTCAACCTTCCCTTTTTTTTCCGGTTAGGGGCAGCCTAGTAAACTAGTTAGCCAGGCGAGGACACGAGTAAAACAAGTTTGCCTACTCTCACCAATGACCTTCCTAATTATGATGGACTAAATTTTGCAGCACACAGTAGGGAGTTAGAAGACAGACAGTGAACATTGCGAAGTGACTATAAAACATTAGAAGATCTGTACTGCAAGGATGATGTGTACCTATTGTAGCATCAGATCGAATATATAGAAGCTAAAACCAAAAAGTTAAGAGAAGAGGCAGAGAAGACCAGAAGAACTTCAGTTGGCCATAAAGAAATAGAGGTGATGAGGATACTCAACCAACAACAATGACAACAACAACAAGCACCAATCACCATAAACGGCAGAATGCCAAGCGAAGTCACCTCTTCCACTTACATAAGTTGCAACCCATTCAATAATAGGAGGTACAGATGAGAATGTCAAAGCCATGATCGGAAAACCAAGACAAACCATCATTACTCTAAAATCAGTGTAGAGATCTATGGCAGTCAGCACAAGGAACAAGATCTGAATTTTCAACACTGAAGTCAAGTCAGTCATTCTGTATTGTTCAATGACTTGACCCTCGTGTGTCACCAACAGCATTTACAACAGGCTACTGTTGACTTTGCTCAAAACCTACTCTCTTCTATGGCTCCATACTGAAGATCAAATTGGCCAGCTGTAGAGCATAAACAAAAAGGAAGTCTAGCAGGCAACAAACCAACCATGAACTTGTTGCCAGGGAAGTTTGCAGATGAAAGTGGAAAAAGATTAGAAATACACTGAGGCAACCGTGGAATGACATCAGACATCAGACCTTCAAATGGATCCAAAATTGGAAATGATGGGTTGGGCATGGGGTCCGAGAGTGAAATGGAAGACATCGTGCAAGGAGGAAGTGATAAGTAAATATATGTTTAAAAACAAATCCCTTTACTAATACATAACATAAAGTATTACACTAATCAATAAAATAACACTGGTATTAAATGAATTAGTCAATGACGAACCTGAAAGCTTCAATTTCGATAAAGCCCTTTCATCAGTCCCACAATATGTACTAATGTTTAAACATTGATCACTATCTATGCTTACGGAATTACGCAGAGGTTCATCCGGATTGGGGTTAGTTTGTATATCACATTCAAAACTCTAGAAACAAAATAAATAAATAAATAAACAATATCCATCATATTTTTTTAATTGATCATATATTGTGTAAGAAATAGTTATCAATATTCTCAGAAACTGTATATTACACATCTGGTGACAAATGAAATACAATAAGGGTATACGTATGCTCGTCAACCACGGACGTGGTTAGGGTTAGGGGTTCCTAGACAAAACGCTTGTGAACCTCACCAAACTTACTGACTGGTGCGTAAACCCAGAATAGAGTGCTTAGCAAACGCACTTTGTGGAAACAACAACACGGCTACCGAAGCTTCGTTTGAAGATATTTGATTGGTGTGAAATAAGATCATGATGTGATATTGTAACAACAGAAGACAAGGGCGAAGCAACAGATCGTTTTATTCTGAAAACCAACACGTATTTATATATATTTCACATACATTATTACAGCTTATGCAAGTAGACAAGCGCAGTCATCTGATTGGTTGTTTATCAGAAGTTAGGCAGACAAACGCAGGCTTCGGATTGGTTGTTTAGGGGTTCCTCGACAAATAGAGTTCTCTATCTGCGAATCATATTTTGCCACGTTAACTTTGCTGTGATTGGTTGTTAAATCAGCCTTGTACATATTTTCTCACGGCCTGCTCTCACCACAATATCAGTTAGATAACCGTTGATGACCAGGAGGTGTGCTGAACAGCTGTTCGATCCCAGTTTCAGGCTTTTCGGAGGTACGTGCACCCACTACCCTACGAAGACCTAACCCGTGACCTTCAGATCAAAAGGTTAACCCATTTATAGCAACTGGGACGGAATTTAATTGGTAGAAGTTGGAAATCATGAGTCACTGCATTCAGTTTCATTGGTTATAAATGGTCAACGGGCTCACCTAATACGATGAAAGGCTTGGGTTAACTCTTCAGTGGGTTCATGGGTGTGTATTGCTGATGAGTCACAAGCTAGAATGGAATGGCCCTCAAGCACTCTGTGGTTTTCGATGATTTCCCAAATCGATAATTTAATCTCAAACTTTCTACGAAATGATGAAACGAATATGTGATTCAGACAGATGTATTTGATACTGTAATATTTCCTGAGATGAATGATGCTTCAATTGTGAGGCATTTCATTGTCACTGTAGTTAACACTTTTAGTACACCTAGTTTTTATAAATCTCATCAACCTGAAACCAATCTGGAAATCTTTGTCACTCACCATCAACGACAAAATCCGGTAGGATTTTCAATACAAACAGCGTCAAGTCAGTCAGTTCTATACGGGACGGATCAGAAACTTGGAGGGTGGGTCACAAAGAATATTTCCAACAGGCTATTGCAGACGTTACCTTCATCAACAACTGTCTTCGCTGGCTACATACTGAAGATCACATGGCCGGGCCGGAAAGATTCACCAACTATGGGAACAAACAAAACAAGAACCAATCGCCAACCAACAAATATGCAGGAGAAAGTGGATTGAGATGAATTGGACACTCGCGGCTGAGGAGGCCGCTGGGTGACATCGCGAGCGCGTCAGGCCATTGCTCGAGTGGAACCAGGCCGAAAGGGAAGCTCGCGGCGAGTAGGACGTCAGTGCAAGGGTGGGTGACATGGAGGAGATCGTGTGAAGAGGAGTTGAAACAGTATGGACTAACATGGATTCAGGTGAAAAGTATATCAGAAGATAGAAGCAGGTGGAGAGGTGGAGTTGAAGTCCACTAGAAACCCAAGGGAACAATAATAATAAATAATAATTTTTATAAATCACATAGAGAATTACTAACACAGTTAAAGCGATAGGTTATAAGTATAGGGATATAAAAATTGAACTAAGCATAGTTGAGGTCATAGATATTCAATTTCATACATACACACATACGTACATACACACGCATACATACACACACACATAAATAGGCCATAAAAATAAACAATTTCACCAAATAGTGTAACAATCTTTTATAGCTTAATCACTTAACAGAGAAAAATTATCGATATATCAATAAAAAAAAATGCAAAAACAACCAAAAGGAGAATAGAACAGGAAAATAGTTACAGAATTCTATAAACTAACAGAAAACATATAGATGAACGAGAAAAGGAAAGATAGAGAAGGGGAAAAAAAGAACAACAGATTACTAGGTCAAATGAGAAACCGGAACACATGAAGTAAGTAAGTAGGCATAAAATGGAGGGAGAGAGAGAGAGAGAGAAAGAGAAATAACCCTATTGTCATTATTACTATCCCCTATTAGCGTATGGACAATGTTATAAAATTAAGGAAAGAGAGGAACTATTTATTGGCATGGAAGTCTTTAGACTGTAGACTGAAGTGTTAAATGGTTGTAGGTAATAGGCAGGAAGAATTGGATGTAAATTTCGTGCTTATTAGTGCATTTGTCAGCAAAGTGTATCTGCAACTTCGAAGAAACTAATTTCCTTACGGAGATTCGACTTCGTGTCATCTAGGACTACAGTTAGGAAAAAAAAATGTACCACCGAGATATTCAAAAATCATGATCGACCACCTGAAGAACTGTAATGGATAACATTGATTAGTAGTTTCTTTTGAGGTTGTAACTACACCGTGCGCTGATAAGTACCAACAAGCACGATACATTGGTCTAATGCTTCCTGTAGATTATCTTCACCCACCAACTCACACGAATTCAAAGTACACCACGATGACGAGTCGCCAAACTTGGTGATCACATTGGGAACTTGAGAGACACAACTCATTCATGGGTAAATACAAGATAAATACAGAATAGTGACCAATAAATTTTACAGGATTTCATCATGGACTGACATTAACTAGAGAACCATTGGAAAACCTGGGAGTACTGGACAGCTGTTTCGTTCCACTAGTTTGGGACTCTTCATCAGAATCCATGGGCTATTGGATCGGGTCCTAGTAGCTTAATGGTACGACGAGCTCGCCAGCCTTGTAACCAGAAGGTCCTGGGTTCGAACCCTGGCGGTGGTGGTTGTGTAGTCCTAAAGAGTTCCAAACTAGTGGGACGAAACAGCTGTCCAGTACTCTCAGCTGGTTTTCCAATGGTTCTCTAACTAATGTCAGCTAATGATGAAATCCTGTAACTAATCAATCAAATCCCTACAAACCAACACTTGAATTTCAATCAATTTTAACACTGGATGGTATGCTGAATAATGGCCGTTAGACAAGTTCGTCATTAAATTAAACTTATGGAAAATTACATAGTGACAGGAGAAATTCCACCGTAATTTCCTAAGAAAACTCAAAACACTCTGAAAACAGTAGGTGGTTTGTTTGATATTTTGAAGAGAAGAAAAGTGGTGCTCAGGTCTAAAACAGTTGAACTCATTAACGGTGTGTTCGAATGGATTCAACAGAAATAGTTTGACCGTTTAAACGGTGATCACAATTTCCGTTTAAGTAACGAATGTGAACCATAACACATTCTAAGTTATCTATATAATGTACGTCTCACTACTATAACTATTAGTATTTCTTTGGATTCCAAATGAAATATAGAGCTAAAACAGCACATCGTGACTGAACCCTCTTAACTACTGTTTTTTTTTTAAGCGGGCTCCAATACTGACCATAAGCTTTTATTTCTGAAACACACCTCCTTGTCACCCTCAGACCTATACTCAGCTCGTCATTCCTCATTCTCGAAGGATTTGTGAGTGATGTCACTCGACGATCTCTTCAAACTAATTTGTGGATGGTGACTAGCAGTGGAATCCCCCAGGATGCGCATTTCGTCCTATTTGGGACTCGTCAGCCAATTGGATGTACCTGCATTTCCCAGTGAGTGATGATGTTTCCACCGAGGCTCGAACCCAGTGCTCTTAGTTTCAAACGCCAAAGCGTTATCCACTAGACTACTTGGGCTACGAGAGCCATCTCTTGTGCAACAGGTCATATTAAATTAATTGAAACTAAGAGCACTGGGTCCGAGCCTCGGTGGGAACATCATCACTCACTGGGAAATGCAGGTACATTCAGTTGGCTGGCGAGTCCCAAATAGGACGAAATGCGCATCCTGGATTTCACTGCTAGTCACCATCCACAAATTAAATTCGAATTGCATGCCCAGACATCGTCGAGGCATCTGCACAAGAAGACGACATGTCAACCTGAGACCGATCACTTCGGTCCAATCAATCGACGAGAAAATCTCAAATTCAATTACATCTTCAAACTACGTTCAATCCATCTCCATTCCCTTCTACATATTTATTGCTCAATAGATTCTTGGTTAGTTCGTTGCTAGAGTGCCTTATTATTCATTCTTTCTGACCGACCATCTGATCTTTAGTATGAAGGGCGGGAAGGGGGCAGGTATTGATAATGGAAGTCTGCAGTAGCCCGTTGGGAATTATATTGGTGACGAGGGCCGAGTATAATTATAAAATACAAACCAATTAATATTATACTCACTGTTAACTCAAATTTAACAATATCACATGATTACTCCTGTTATCTGGGCCCGGAGTGGATTCGCCGTCGACATACTCCTAAACCACGCCTAGTCTACTGGCAGACAATAAACTCAGGAAAGAGGGAAAGGTGAAACATGAGGCTAACAACCCCAACCCATAGAGAGACAAGACCACTACAGCTAATAAACTTCAAGGGGTCAAAGCTTGAAGCTCTTTGCTTCCACTAGGAACGCAACGGAATGAAAAACAGCCTGTGAAAACTGATGGTCGTAAAACAAAAGGCAACCTATACAAGAATAAGTGAGTCTATTGCTTCTCCTGATGACTACTTGACTCAATTTCAAAGCTTTCATTGCCAATTTCAACGAAAGCTTCGTTACAATTAAACCATCCAGCTCACAGGGTACAAACATATTAAAATACATTCAGCTTAGCTACAAATTTTCTCTACTATTGTATCATTGTTAAAAAATAATATAATTCATCATTTTACATGAGATTAAAATCAGTTATAGCAATTAGATCTTTTTATATCCTTGATAGACAATAAATGTATAAATCAATAGATACGTTTAGAAGATATTAACTAGGACGTCAGGTTAGATTCGCTTTTTTTTACTAAAGATATCGATCGTGATCGTTCTATTTTTACATTACAGCAAAGTAATCATTCCAATAGATTACTTAACATCAGATTATCAGCTGAGTGAAGACCATACACTTAAAACGAAGTGTAACTAAATCAATTATTATTATTATTATTATTATTGATTTCTCGTTTTAGTCCCGATTTCTAAATAACAATATTTTCATATGTTAGCTTGCAGGGAGTTTAATTGACGAAGTGACTTCATTTAGGTAACCATTGAAAACCAGAGAGTACTAGGTAGGTTTTTGGCCTTCGTTTGGGGCTCTTCAGCGTGATGCGTCCACGTTCACACCGTGGATCGAATACAGAACGCTTAGATTACAAGACATGCTCGTAGATGATTCACAGCCACTGGATTCTGTCCCCAGTGAATTACAATTTCCACCTATTCTAGATATATAGGGGAAATCAATCGACGAAGTTGTGAAGTTACAAAGACTGAGATGGTTAGGACATGTGTTACGTATGCCTAGTTAAGTATGCCTAGTCATCGCCTTCCTCGACGAGCACTGTTAACGGATATAAAGTCAGGCTGGAAAAAAGCTAGCGGAGGTCAAACCAAAACATGGCTTCACCAGTCAATGAAATCTACAACAGTTAGTTTAAGCCAGTCACGTAGGAAGGTGTAGACTTCCTGACTGGTTGGGGTCCTCGGGATGGTAAAAACCAATGGTTGGAAACAATTGGTGACATGGCTCAAAATCGTTCTCAGTGGCCAGCGCATATGCATCCACTCCTTGTGACTTATGATCTCCAATGAAACTGTTTTGCTCTTCGTTATTACTCCTTTGTCTCACACCTCTGCTCACTGTTTCTGTTATGCTTTTCTTGTACTTTCTTCTCTTGCTTCGCGTGCTACACGGAGTGTGGCGACTTGAACTTCCGCACATTTGTGCAAATTTCTATGTCGAAAACAGAGAGACAGACAGCATGATCACTGCCTGTCCAGTGCTCCTTAGAATTCAACGATTCTTCAAACAGAAGTCAATTCATGACCAAACCTGAAATAAAACCAGTATTCGGATTTCATCTTTTGTAGAGGTATTTTTGGTTGATTTCAGTGCCAATTTTGCCACCAAACCGACATCATTTAGAACACCATGGAAAACCAAAGAGCACAGAACAGTTACAGGATGGGTGTCCTGCTAGGTGTATCTCGGATGCTCATCAATCTGATAAACTGGCAGTAGCGCTATGTCGCACAAATTGACAGCAGCTAGAGATCACAGGTTCTTGAAAGCCAACCCCTATTGGCTGAAAAGTCAACTGGCTCGCTTCATAAATCAATATCCTAGTTACGATTCCTGGTAGATTGTAGGTGTGCAGTGCTGAAGAATCCCAATTTAGGGCGAAACATTTTCCCTGCGCTCTTCATTAATTCCTAGTGATTCTCTAGCCTATACTGGTTCATCAAGGAATCTACGTCAAAATTACTATTATTACATGGGGTTGACTAAAATCATACCATGAAGAAACAAGAGAGAAAATAAATTACTGATTCGAAAGGCAGAAAACAAAAATATGAAGAACATATTGAATTTTATTCTGACCTAGTTAGCTACTATATCACGATATTGATACATTACCTATATAGGACTGACCATGCCTTAATCGATAATTTTTCTTTTTGTTTTTTTTCAATGAATGATGCCAAGTTAGCATTTTACAGAGAGTTTGAACTAATTGACGGGTTAGTGTTGCTAATCTGTGTCCAAGACGTTAACATCTTAGACACAATGATCAACTTTTAGTCATCATGAGGAGATTTCCCTAAAACCTTTTCGGCATACAAGTGAAGCGTTTAATTTGGTGAATATTTGTGTGCCTATGGGGAATTTTACTGTAGATACAAATATATATATATATATATATATATATATATATATATACATTCCTTCGCGTCCCAAGTGTAACAAAAGACTTTAGGCGTTGCACTTTAACTAACCGTGTTGTTTTGTTTCTACGGGGTTGGACAGCTAGGCCCACGCTCAACCTTCTCAGGCCTACTACCGGTTAGTAAATCAGGAGTGAGTCGGCTGAGAATCGAATCTCAATCAAGTGAGTTGCTGGCCAATATTCTAATACTGAACCACCACTGACTCACCATGTAGCACATATTGATACTCATTGATTGTTATTTTATAGGTGATGACCAGCAGTGGAATCCAGGATGCGCATTTCGTCCTATTTCGGACTCGTCATCTGTATGTATCTCCAGTTCCCAGTGAGCGATGGTGCGCCCAATGAGATTAAACCCAGAACCTATTTTTTTCAAATGTGAAAGCATTATCCACATTAGACCAATTGGGTCACTAAAGCCTCCTCTCTTGTGCAACATGAATAAGTTATTTCTTTGCTTAAGTCAATTTCTCGTTTCCTCGTTGGTTTACTGAATCGAAAATGTTCGGTTTTTGTTGAGACATATCGACTCCTAGTACGGACACTTCGATAATGTTACAATCCATTGGATGGATAACATCAATGTTAATTCTCAGACATCTCTGACTTCAACAGGAGAGCTATTGATTTCCCTAAGGAAACAAAATGTGTAAATTCTTCTCATTTTTTCATCCTCTATGTTCACACCGTACAATGAATGATTGCATACTCTAATTTAGATTGTTAGATTTTTACCGTAAACCAACATTAGTTAAAGAGATTATTGAAATTGAGGAAGCACTGAACAGCTGTTTCATCCTCCTGCTTTGGGTGTTGTTTTTACGAAGCAGGTTTGCTAGCCTCTAAGTCCAACCTTCCCCCTTTTTCAGACTTACTAGCAGTTAGAAAGGTAGGCGAGATTTAAGAGTACATCGACAGTGAATCGAACTTACACCTTTCGCATGGCTGGTGAGCATTCTACCGTTGAACTATTCATGTACACTGGAATTTATCAATATAATTAGTTATTTTTCAAGTATTGGTTTTGTAGGGATTTTGTTATTTATGTTATTAAAATTGAGAATAATTACAGGTATGAATGAAAAACAAATAAATAAATTAAAAAAACATTCAAATACGAGATAATTGATTCATTACACCTACTTGGTTGACTAGACAGTTGTAATCATTTGTCATGGGAGAGAACCGATGATTCGATGACCAAACACTAAAGAGAAGAAAATGGAGAGAACAAAACAGTCAAAGAGAATGATGATTTTTGTATAGTTAAATATATTCATTCTGCCTCTTAAATTGTGGTTGGCGTAATGAAGATTAGTCACCACTAGAAGTATCTACTCAATAAAGTAAAGTAAAATTCCAGTTTTGTGTAGAGACTAGTAACTAGTTACAAAGAATAAACAAAACGCATTACACATGATTTGTGAAGAACAAGGCTGATTTCTTTCAAGTCATGGATGCAGTGATCACAACATTGACTCAATAACTGCTTGAACACCACAGCATGCGTACACCAGTCTAGAGTCACCTCTAGTAATGTTAGTCTGGTTGTCAGAGGTTGGATTTACAAATCTTCGAGTTGTAAATTTACGTTCTTCGTTAGGAAAGCTTGAACACTATTATAAAATGTCCACAGATTATGTGTCTTGGTCATTTACTTCCACTGGAATTACATGTATGAAGTAGTCACATCAATGGGTAATTTTAAGCTCCCATGGAGTCTATGTGGACAACATGGGGTGAACAGAGGACATCAGTTCCAGCGGTTTGTGCATTTACCATGAATATCATTTAAAAATTGTCCATATTCCTCATTATTTGTTAACCGTTTGACTCATCGGGAGCGTAAAATTGATCAACTCATGAAAACACTCCGTGTACCACCTTCAATACTGTGTTGCACAGTTGTGAAGGAGAATGTAGCATACTGGTCCACAGTATATACACATCGTGGTGGATACCTGCATATCACGTCAGTGTCAAAGATGATGCAAGTGGACAAATGCCAAATGAGCCTTCTGTGTATCTAAGTTGAGATTTCGTCAGCAATAGTGCAACTTTCAAAATAAGTGAAGTGGTCAACAAATGCAATCACGTCACCACCTCCCCCCTTTAAAACTATCAGTCAATGAACATCTGTTATGAACCACTATCTTACATTTGTCATTCATGTCAAAAGTACCTAGGGTAGGGTTTCCTCATCATGCTCAAAAGACTATTTGTAGTCAGTGTTTCCACTTAGAAATACTAAGTCATATAAACCAATTAAACCTTCCTGTAGTAGCAGACTGATCCATAAGAAATAGAAGACGACAAGAATCATTTTCGTCATTACATAAAAATACATCCGAAGTCTAAGATGACAGAGTCAAACAGATTATCAAATTCAAAATACGACCCAGTACGAAGTTAGTGTGATTTTAAAGGATTGAAAGAAACTTTTATCTAGTTTAAGTCGATAGCAATAATCAAAGAATCTGAGGACCGAAATACCAACCTCATATCTGAAAAAATTGTTACTGAGATGCATATTTGGTGTACAACTTACCTTCAACGACGATATCTACAAACAGAAAGGTGGAACCACCATGAGGTCTCCCCTTGACCCACTTTTGGCAGAATACTCTATGGACAGTTTAGAAAATAGGGTCTTAAAATCAACAATAGACAAATTGCTAATGTACAAAAGGTCTATCGACGACACTTTTATCCTCTGTCATAATGATTCTGATTTAAACTTTTTTTACAGCTTAATTCCACACCTTATTTTTTGGTACAGGTATGGAATTTTCAGCATGTGATATCGGTAACCCAAATTTTGCAGGCCGACCATAGATATCAGGTATGCGTCGGCAGGGGATCGAACCACAGACCATGTGCATCGTCGGCGAGAGTCCTAACCACTGTGCCACCTTACAGGAGTTTAGCGATTGCTATCCTTCAATTATATTCACATTGGAAGTAGAAAATGAGTCAAAGATTCCATTTATGGACGTTAAACTGACGAGGAGAGACTATGGAACTCTGAAAACATCTATCCACAGTAAACTATCATGGAATAACCAACTGACAAACTTCTATGGTTGGATACCTATCACTCGAAAAAGAGCTTCCATAATCTCGCTGGCCCACCATACCAAAATTTGCAGCAGTGACTGATTAGAAGAAGAGCTATTTTTCATAAATATCTTGGTTCAGAATGGATACCCGGCACGCTTCGTGGAGGAGATTACGAACTCAAAGCAAAAAAGAGGAGAGTGCATTTCAGTACCAAAGAAAACACTATACTTGAATCTGAACTTCAAGGGAGACTAAGTTGCAGATATCCTTAAGAGGAGAATCTCCAGTTCCCTAAAGAAGATTTTTCCTACAGTAACTCTAGCCACCCACTGCTTCGAAGCAATGTGAAGGACAGACTCTCGCATATGACCACTTCAATATGAATGTATCAGTTCATCGGCTCGTGTAAATAGGTCATTACATTCGGGTCCTATCAAAACGTGTTAGAAAACATTACCCAGTATGACTACAAAGAAGAGATACTGGTTCAATCAGAAGTGTCATAATTGAGAGCCTCGTTAACACCTGTCACAGAATCTCAACTGATTCATCATTCCGAGTCATTTACAAAGTAAACAAAAATCTACCAAAGGCAGTGTGTTTTCTGATTCTTTGTTCTGCGGAAGCCCTCGCCATATGCATGGTGAAACCAGAGTTGTGTGTTCAAAAGAAACTAGTCCAACCTCTACGTTTACCATGGACCTAGTTCGGTTCCTTTCCTTAGGATTCGTTTTTTCATCCCCTTCATTTTCTTCGTTTTCAGTTAACTGCTTTCAGTATAATCACTATCCAACCAATATTTTCAAAATGGTAGAAGCTGTATGAACATTCATCTCTTTGTGTTATGTAGGCAGTCTTTATCATTTTGTCAATAGTAGTAGTCATAGGCTAGTATAGTGAAATAAAGCAATAAGAAGAAGGCTTCAAATTCAGTCAACCCAACAAGTTATTTTTAGTTTCTTTCTTTCTCTCTCTCTCTCTCTCTCTCTCTCTCTCTATATATATATATATATATATATATATATATATATATACAAGTAATACTTGTTACCTATCGTGTAATCTATCACTATTATTATTTCAGGTTAGACCACGCATCGATATCAGTTAGGGAACCATTAAAAATCAACGAGGGATTACAGGACAGGTGTTTCATCCTAGTTTGGAACTCATCAGTAGTACACACCCACTGGAACCTTTCGGCTAGAAGACAAGCTCGTATACCATTCAGCCACTGGGACCTGATTCAATAGCCAGCCTATGAATTCTAACATCTACCAATTCGTGATTTTAGCGCGTCCACCAACCAACCAATATCATCGGCGGGAACTCCATCTTCACTTCCGACTTACTTACTTACTTTACTTCGGCTATCTCCTACGGGAGGATGAGCCGGCTTCATGAACCATGAAGTTTCATGGGAATTGGGTACGAGTGATGTCCCCAGCATCGCTCGGCTTTTGTTTGAGAGTGCAGCTCTAGCCTTTACACAACCAAGTGTGACCTGCAAGGCAGTAGGAGTGGAGTAGGGAGTCCACTATCCATTGGCAGCCGGTGACCGGAGTCCGGTTCGTACGCCTTTTTGAATGGGGCCAGACATCCAGGGCATCCAATAAGCCCTTTGTCCATACGTCTGCCAGTGAGCTCCGGTGAGCTTCATACGCCAGTCGTTGGAGGTTTGAAATCAGGGTTTAGCCATCTCCCCTAGACTGTCATCCAATGGACAGTCAACCCGGTGAAGAGCGCCGGGCATCCGCTTTTTCCCTCTCACTTCGGTGAAAAACACCTCCGCCACGTGAAGGCAGTGAGTAGGACTTCCTCAAGAGACTATGTAAGACGCCCGGTCATATAGGAGCATTTCAAGAGGTGTGTGGAGGGGTGGCCAACCCGCAGCGCAAGGCACCCACTCCCGACCATACTGAGGCTTTGGAGGCTTCACTTCCGACTGGATGGATCCAACCTATTCCCTGAATGAATTCCACTGGTCAAGACTTCTCACTAGAACTCCAGACAACTATTATTATTATTAATTACATTAACAATATCTCAAACTAATCGAACTGATACAATAATTATCTACTAAAATCGATTATTATTAATGAAGAAAAAACGGTACCTATACAAAAATGAACTTTTCCAAGGGAATCATAGCAAATATGGAACAGTACAAAAAAAAGAGAAAACAACGCAACTATGAAATGATTAAACTATTAATACTGACTATAAAGTAATAGTTATAATATTCAGTGTAGAGATGATTTAGTTCGTCTGCTACCTATTATTCATCCTCATTCTTCCTCATCAGGAAGTCTTTTAACGTGAATCATGTTCTCATTTAATCGTTTAATCAACGTGAGAGAAGGAGACAAAAAAAAATAACAGATTGAATAGCATGCAGATAGGCACATATATACTACTGATATTATACATATTATAACAATGATTATCAGCATTTTATCTGAAAATAAGTCTTATCTACCTGTTTTGGATATAAATCAAAAACTGATTCTTCGTTACACACATACACACAAACGTTTAAATGCATATATGTACACAGTGAATTATTTATGCTGTTATCTAATACTTTTTTAACTCATCTCTAATAACATGTACAACACACTTGTAATACAGAAAAGAGTATAAAATGAATTTGATATCTGCAAGATTTAAGGCAAATAAACGAAAAGAGATGTTAGACTAATCGTTAAGTTTGTAGAATAAAGCAATTGGGATGAATCAGGCTAAATACAGTGTCAGCCACTCAGACTCGATCCAGTAGCCTGTAAATTCTAACTTATAATTCCCGATATATATATATATATATATATATATATATATATATATATATATATAGTTTCTTATGGTGTGAAGTTGCCAGCCCCACACCCAACCTTTCCTCTTCTTATGACTTCCATTATGGGTAAATTTTGTTTTGATTAAGTCTCACAGTGTTATACAGGAATGTTTACTGATGACCACGTTTCGAGAACAATTTATTGCTCATAATCATATCAAGGCAATCACACGACTTCCTAACTTCATTTGTATAGTTGCATTATTTTTCACTTGATTTGATTGGCGGTAGTATTTTCCATATTTCAGGTATGAGTGATGACTCATTCCTGTTGTATGTGTTTGGTGTAGACTCGATGAACAAGGATTCAGTAATCAATCTCTCTCTCCATCTACCTATATTGCTTTTTAGAATTTTAACCCTCTCCCATCCTATTGTGTAGTTGTGTTTTAATGCATGCATTGCAATTGCTGAGCTTTTTACCAAATTACTTATCTTCTCGGGGTCAACCATTCTTAACTTAGCTAAATTCTTATGTTCCGACAATCTGACTACCCCTGAGCTACTAGTTTGACTTATATAGTTGACCTCAATCACAGTCATTACAGAGTATTTTGTAAATTATATTATTTTGTTTAATTGGGTCTACCGGGTCTTTTAGCCTATAGAGCTTGTCTCTGAGTGAGTTTCTAGGTTTGAATGCCATCCTGATTCCTGCTTTATTTAGAATCCTACCTATTGTTTCAGATATCCCCTCTCTATATGGTATAACCGTAGATGACTTGGCGGCCTGTTTGAACATTTTTGGGCTACCACATTCCATTTACATTTTGCATCTATTTACTCGTATTTTATTGGTATTTACATATCACATTATGCATTCTAATCGTATTATCCACTCCCGGGATTTTATAAAACGTTTCAAACCCAAAAACTTTCATATTTGCAATAAACTCAAGAAAAAGCACCATGGAGGTTGGCAGCGTGCCTTAAAATCTACACCCATACATCACACCACTGTTCCAGTTATCATTAGTACCAACTGCCAGTCCCTGCCTAATAAAATTCTGGATTTTCAGTCCCTGTTGTCATCCAGTACCTACCACAACACTGGTATTGTCACTCTACAAGAAACCTGGCTCCATGACTCATACGATGACAATATTATGTCTCTAAACAACTTTAATGTTTACCGACAAGACCGTGTTTGTTCCAAGAAAAAATGTGGCGGAGGTGTTGCAACTTTTATTCACTCAAAATGGTCCATTTCTAACAAAGTTTGTTTCAAATTCTCGAATGACTACATTGATTGCATTACTGTGAGATGTCGCCCGAAACACCTGTCAAAATACAAATTCATTTATATTTCTAATGTTTACGTCTCTCCTGGCTGTACCATATTGGATTTATCTATGTTCGCTGATGAATTCACCGCTTTTGCTGCAGCTTGTCTCGAGAACTCTTTATCAATAGTAACTGGCGACTTCAATGGAAGCGATTGCTCCTTCCTTATATCACTTGGTCATGACAATATTGTTAACTTTGCCACCCGTCTTGGTAAAAAACTGGATCTAGTATTTATCAATGATGTTGGTATATATGAAGCTCGCAAACGTGCTCCTTTACTTAACTCTGACCACTGTATCATTCGTGTACTGCCTAAAATATATTCCAAATCACACAAAGGTGTCCTCTCTCACCTCTACAGTAAAGTTCAACAGAGATGCTACTCAAAAGACAACCTAGACAAGCTCAAATGCATGTTGAAAGACACTAACTGGGACTTATTTACAGAAAAAACAATAGATGAAACAATCATAAACAATACCGATTATCTTAAATTCTGTTTCGAAATATGTTGTCCTAAAGAAACATTATTCATTCGATTTGATCGCTTATCTTCGCCATATCTCAAAAAGCTACGTCTGTCTGTCTGTCTGTTTTCAACATAGAACTTTGCACAAATGTGCGGAAGTTCAAGTCGCCACAATCCGTGTAGCACGCGAAGCAAGAGAAGAAAGTACAAGAAGAGCATAATAGAAACAGTGAGCAGAGGTGTGAGACAAAGGAGTAATAACGAAGAACAAAACAGTTTCATTGAAAATCATAAGTCACAAGGAGTGGATGCATCTGCGCTGGCCACTGAGAACGATTTTGAGCCATATCACAAATTGTTTCCAACCATTGGTTTTTACCATCCCGAGGACCCCAGCCTGGAAGTCTACACCTTTCTACGTGGCTTAGACCAACTGTTGTGGATTTCATTGACTGACGCCAAGTTTTTGTTTGACCGCCGCTAGCTTTTTTCCAGTCTGACCCTATATCCGCTAACATAGCTCGTCGAGGGAGGCGATGGCTTGGCATACGTAACACATGTCCTAACCATCTCAGTCTTTGTAACTTCACGACTTCATCAATTGATTTCCCCTGTTTACCTAGAACTCTGCGCCTAACCTCCATGTTGCTCACCTTATTATGCCACTTTACACGGGAAATAGAGCGCAGGCACCTATGATCAAAGACAGCTACGTAGAGATAAAGAACTGTTGTTCAAAACAAATGATAAGCCTGGTGTAAAAAAGTTAAACATGCTGATAAAACTGGAAATGAAAAGACTAAATGTTTTATATAATCAAAGATTTTTGTCATGTAAAACCCCTTCTAATTTATGGAAACTTTTCAAAGAAATTACTAACGGTAAGCGATGTATTTCTGTTCCATCTCTTAATGTTGACACTCTTAATAAATCTTTCATACGCTCTTCTGTTGATACCCTTCCAAATGATACAAATCATATTGACAATAACTTTAGTGGTTTTAATACCCTTGATGTGCTTAAATGTCTCCGGTCTCTTAAGCCTTCTCAAAGCCTTGGTCCTGACGGCATACCTGCCATTGTCCTCAGGAATTGTGCTGATATTTTGTGTTATCCTCTTACTAACATTTTTAATGCTTCTTTTTCCGGTAACGTTCTACCTTTTGCATGGAAAAACATTAAAATTATCCCTATACCAAAACCATCTTCTGGTTCTGATATTAAATTTCGGCCTATTGCAATTACTTCCCCCTTTTTAAAATTGATGGAAAAATTACTTTTACTTCGTCTTGAACCCGCTTTGAAACCTTTTAATGATCCTAAACAATTTGCATACAAACATGGTAGAAGTACCTTGGATGCTGCGGTTGTCTTATATCACAATGTTGTCTCTTGTTTAGACAAAGGTGCTAAATATGTTCGTAGTGCTTTCTTAGACTACACATCTGCTTTTGACTCTGTACCTAGGGGCCTTTTGTTAAATAAGCTATCGTTGACACAAACAGGATCCTGGGCTAAGAGTTGGTTGCATTCCTATTTTTCTGATAGAATGCAGTATACTGTATATAACGGCAAATCTTCTTCTACCTCGCTTACAAAATCCGGTGTTCCACAAGGTGCTGTCCTCTCTCCTTTTCTTTTTTCTTTCTTCCTACATGACCTACCTCATTCAAACGAAACTAACTTTGTCAAATATGCAGATGATCTGACTGTATCACTGCCTATCACTTCCGAGTCTGACAGCTCCAAACTTAATAGCTTTCTGTTGGACATCAACAACTGGTCCAAGTCAAATGGTCTTATATTAAATCCTTCCAAATGTCAGGCACTTGACTTTACTTTCAAGCATCGACGTGACTTACTTGAACTAGTTAACTCGCATGATCCCTGTAGCATAGATGGCACGGAAATTGAAACCAAATCAAACATTAAATACCTTGGATCAGTTTTTTCCTCTGACCTTTCATGGTCATCCCATATCTTATCTATCTCTAAGAAAATGTTTCGTCTTACCTTCTACATTAAAAAGTTAAGACAATCAGGTATCAACCAACCTTTAGTTTTGCAATTTTTAAACTCCTGTATTTTACCTATTGTACTCTATTGCTCTCCATTAATCTTTCCTGGGCTTCTCAAAAAAGATTATATCATATTACGAAGAGTATTAAATGCTGTGAGTAGAGCTTGTGGTCTGCCACTGCATGAGCTCGCTAATACTATAGTCGAGAGGCATATAAATTCCTGTACGAAATGGGCAAAGGCTATAATGTCAGACCCTCTGCACCCCCTTTATTCACACCTGTCCCCTTGTATCTCATCAGGTAGGACGAGAAGTCAATATAAAAAGTTATATGCTCGTACCACTAAGTATAGAAATTCTACAATACCCTATTTAGCCCGTACTTTATGTGACGAAGACTCTGTTAGACGTGAAACTTACAAGTTACTATGTAATTAGCACAGTGAATCGACCCTTTCATCGTTCATCTTTCTGTATTTTATGGTGTCACACTTTCTATCGTTTAATCGTTACTCTGCTATTTTATTTTAGTTGGTATTACTATTATTACTACAATTTTGTACTTTATGCATATTTTTCTCCGTATGGCATACAGTATTTTGCTACGTAGCTGCTATAACAATCGTTTTATTACTATTATGTAATGTGTATTTTTAATTTTTTTTGTCGTTTTTGAATAAATTAGATGCAATATTGTACTGAATGCTGAAAATTCCTTGCTGTATCATGAGTACTGTTTTTGGAATAAAGCAAGAATTATTATTATTATTTATTTATGTTATTATTACTAGTTTCACAATTATTTTGGCCTTTTTCAATCTTCCTAATGAATTTTAAAGGATAGTTATTGAATATCAACGCTTCTTCTATCGTGAAACGTCATCAATAAATATTACTGTATAACACTGTGAGACTTTATCAAAACAAAATTTACCCATAATGGAATTACACTCTACCACAGTGCACAAGTTTTATTCTTTTTATGACTTATTATCAGTTAGTCGGGGTTCAGGAGTACGTCTGCCAGGAATCGAACCCGGACTCTGTGTATGTGTGTGTGTCTAGTGAACATTCAACCAGTGAATCACCACCACACTATGCTCGTCACAGTCTCGAGAGTAGAGAGAAGGGGAGTTGTAATACTAATCGTCAAACACGTATACATACACACACACACACACAATAAAGCACATGGACAAGACAAAGAAAGAGATAAACTCACTTTTTATTGTTTTGTGTCGCGCTTACAGCACTGGCAACAAGATTAGTATTGGCATTATTATTGGCATCGATTGTATTATTATTATTATTAGTAATAGTATTACCATGATCAATATGAACAGTATACCGATCATTATTAGATATTGTATGAACATTGAAATCAACAGATAAGATTTTATCCTCATTGATATACTCTTGAGTATATGAATCATGCGATGAATCAAACGATGATAATTGTTCTGCATGATTATAATAATTCGGTATACAGTAAGGATCATCAATGTCATTAGTTCTATGCGCATCATGAACATTATTTTCATTGGCATTGCCAACAGCAACAACAGGAGTAGTAATAGCAGTATTAGTGGTAGTGGTATCATTATTCACCATCAATTCATTTGATAAAAGTCTTAAATCTTCATCAGTATACGCAGGGAGATATAATGAAGAAGGTGTTGTTTCTATTGGTGACAGCGATGTTGTAGTCATTAAATCAGTGAAATTGAGCAAATCATCAGAAAAGCCAATATCTTGACATGTTATGATTGAATCTGTTTCATTCATACTATTATTATCATCACAACTACTCTGATGGTGGTTCTCATTGTAAGGATGCAGAACATGTTGAATGTCTTGCTGACAACTGGGAGCACCATCAGTGACAATATCGTCGATAGCTTTATAACAACTTGCTGTCGCTGTTGTTGTTGTTGCATGTGTAGGCTGAAGGATAGGATTATCCTCAAAGTATTCACCTGTTGAAGAGGCATACTGATAATTATCCGTCCAATTAATTAGGACATCAGATAAGAGATTATATGATTCTTCAGTATGATCATTCGCATTGGTATTGGCATTACTAGCAGTGGTTACATCATTATTGGTCAATATTTGACTTAGAGTATAATTATCTTCATCATTTTCATTTGGATAGTCATTACTTATATTATGTTGGTTATTATGCTTTAACTATTAATCCATATGAAATTTTATCAAAGGATTGAACAAAAATAGGAGAGAAATAAAGAACAACTAAAACAACAAATAGAACAGGAAAGAAAGTGACAAATCTTGTTTTAAATTTAATATAGGCCAAAAGGTTGTTTGTTAGTGCTGGTGGCCAACAGTAGAATCCGGGACTTATCAGTAAGTGATGCTGTTCACTACTCGTGGAAGCAGATAGATATATGCATCCAGTTGACGAGTCCTAAATAGGATGAGACGTACGACCTAGAATCTACAGGTAACCACTACCAAAGAAGTAACTTCAAGTTGTTTGTTCTTATAATATAGGCCGTATTCGGTCAAAAGACTCATATCTAAAAAGTTGAAATCGATCACAATTCGGTTCACAAGTAGTTCAACGGGAAACCATAAATAGGAATAAATAATATTAGTATAGAATTATGCATCGGTGGCTTAGCGGTAGAATGTTCGCCAACCACCCATGTACGTGGTCCGGGGCTCGATCCCCAGCTGACACATTCCTATACATCTCTAAGCCGGTAATAAGAGTGGTAAAGAGGTAAGGTTGGGCATGAGGGTAGCGAACCCACTCCGTAAAAATTTAAAAAACACCACTGTTACCGAAACTTCAAAGTTCTAGCTTGAAGCTCTATCACATCCACTGGGATCGTAAAGGATTAAATATAATAGGAAATAAGTAGAATTATTTAAACACTTTTGCAGCGAATAAACGAAATACCAAGCTAGAGAACCATTGGAAAAACAAGCTGGGAGTACTGGACAGCCGTTTCGTCCCACTAGTTTGGGACTCCTCATCAGTACGTACCCACAGGGGTTCGAACCCAGGACCTTCTGATTACAAGGCGAGCTCGTATACCATTAAGCCACTGGGACCCGATCCAATGGCCCATGAATTTCAATTAAATCCCTACAAACCAATACTTGAATTACCAAACATTTGACCTGGATACCACATTTATTAATTAACGTCATCATCATCAATAAGAATATATACTGATTAAAATATTATAAAAGAATTCAAACATACATATCAGAAAACCCTCCATCTGTCTCTGTCTGAATTCAACATAGAACTTGGCACCGAAGTGCACCAGTTCGAGTTGCCACCTTCCAAATAGCACACAGAGGTAGACAAGAAGATGAATGAAGAGAATCAATACAGTCTGACCAGTATAAGAGTGAAACAGAATGGGTAATGGTAGAAAGGAACATGGAAGATTACAGAGACTGAATACATCTCCGCCATTGACAACGATTTTGAGCCATGTCACCTATTGTCTCCAGCCATTGATTCCTAGAGTCCCGAGGGGCCCAACCCGGAAGTCTGCATCTCCCTACCTGACTCAGTTTAAGTGTCAAGGATTTCATGGACTGATGAGGCCAGGTTTTTGTTTGGCCACCACTTACTCTTTTCCAACCTGCACCTATATCAGCTAGTAATGCCCGTCGGGGGAGGCGATGGTTAGGCATGCGCAGCACGTGACCTAGCCATCTCAATCTATGTAACTTTATAGCCTCGTCAGAAAACGATTACACATGAGTATGTTAGATAACACACAAGACACACTTTTTTTAGATAAGGAAATTAACAAACACTACGTCACAGCGAAAACCTTGATACTAATGGTGACTAGTAACGAAATGAAGAGTACTTGAATTGTCAGGGTTTTCATCATCACATAATTTTGCTATTAATACCTATTATATGCTACCGATAGCTGCAACCTGGATGAGGTGACCCAATGAGTTACACTGACAAGGCCTACCACCAGGCTAGACAGGTCATTTAAATACCAGTTCAAAGCGACAACCAACGAGTGTGTCTCAGGATAATGTTGTACTGCTGCCAAATAAGCATGGAACAGTAGTGAAGTATTTCTCTCACACTACCATAGCAAGTCAGCTATGCTGTTTCTCATCTCTGGGAAGAAAGGGTTAGAAAAGGTCGCCGCCCGAAAATTGTACATCCCGAATTACCCTACAGCAGTCTGTAGCCAGCGGTAAGATATTCATATGAACACAACTCTAACCACCACTTCGAATAAACTGTGTGTTACTGTCCTCAATCGGTTATTCTTCGGGCTCTGTGGCCGCACAACACTTATGCTCCCTTTATTACAGGCAATGCAAGAAGAAATTAACTATTATATTAAAAGTGCACCTTTCAATTTGTGCACCAAACGAACATGCTTGAATTTTGGTTGTTCGTAGGGATTTAGTTCAATTTAATTTCGATACAGATTTCGTCACAGAACGACATTGGTTAGACACAATCAGTGGAAACCAGTATATCTGCTCCTGTGGAACCAGGAATACCGGTAACTCAATGAGAATCCTGAATAAATAGATTCAAGAGCACTATCCCAAATGGCAGCTGAAAGGTATCTACGGCTCTAAAAGGAGTGCACTAATTAAAAACATCGTCGAAACCCGCCACTCGACCTCAACTGATTCCTGCTTCAAAGTGATCTACAAAGAAAAAAGAAATCCACCAAAGGCAATGCGCTATAACCTTCTTTGACATTGCATGGAGAAAGCTTTCCAGCTATTATTTAATATCACATTTCCTTCGTGTACCTTGACTACAACCCATTGATTAAGCAATGTATCTTATTACGTAACTTTGCCACCCTTATTCAACTTCTACTATATTTCGATTAATATTAACAGCTACGTCGGTGGCATAGCGGTTAGGACGCTCGCCGACCATGCACATGGTCCGGGGTTCGATTGCCAGCCGACGCACTCCTTTACCTCGCTGAGCCAAAAATAATGCTGGTAAAGAGAAAATGTTGGGCATGAGGTTACCAACCCATCCTGTAAAATAAACACTGTTACAGAAACTTCAAGGCACTAGCTTGAAGCCCTATGTTTCACTGGGGAACGTGAAGGAAGAAAAATATTAACAGCTACGCTTATGACTCATCACCTCGCCTGTTATTGTCCTGATTTGTGAAAAAAGTTACATAAAAGTGCGCTAATACAAATAAAAAAATGAGATTGCTGAAAACAGCCTCTTCGCTAAATTAATAGTTGTGTTTTATAAAATCACAGAGAATTGAAGAGTTGTTCTCTTCTACATTAAGACTCTTCAGAAATGTGCACCCACGACCCCATTGCGGGATAGGACCAAAAACATTAAGGTTACGAGGAAAGTGTGTTGGTCATTCAACCGCTGAGTTGGAATTCAATGACCAAGACTAAAAACGTAACAGTTGTTCAGTGATCGTTAGTTTTTGTTTACTCTTTTGCGTTCCACGTGGAACATACAGCTTCAAGTTTTGAGCTATGTAGTTTCAGTAGCGATGGTGTAATTGTTTTTTACGGGGAAGGTGTGATAGCCTTAAACCCAACTTTGCATTTTGCCAGGTTAAATACAGGCTAAGTGAGGTATATGAGTGTGTCGGCGCGGGGATCAAGCACCGGACCACATGCGTGGGTGGTTGGAGAGCACACTAGCACTGAACTACCACAATAATCTACGCACTTTTTTGATACAGCTTATTCAATCTCAATCGATTGTTCCTTCAAAATGATCTACAAAGAAAAGAGAAACCCAGCAAAGCCAAAACACTTTAGCCTCTTTTGCACTGAGGTGTTTTTTGATTTACAACAATTCTAATGTAGGTTCATCATAACAGTATCAATCTACATTCTAATATTTATGTTTCTTAGCATCTTAGATACATATCACATATTATTTCCTGATATTACATAATTTCAGAAAATCACTGTCTGTCTGTTTTTGACATAGAACTTTGTACTGATATCCAGCAGTTCAAGTCGCCACACTCCATCCATGTAGCACACAAATCAAGAGAACAAAAGTAGAAGAAATGCAGTATACAGGCAGTAAACAGGGATATGAGACAAAATGAACAGTTATAACGAAGAAAAACATAGTTTCATTGGAAATTGTGAGTCACAAGAAGCGGATGCATCCGAGCTAGCCATTAACAACGATTTTGAGCCATATCACCAATTGTCTACAGCTTTCATTGGTTTTTACCACCAATCCCGAGGAACCCAACCAGTCAGGAAGTCTACACCTCCCTACGTGGCTGGCTGGCTGATTGACTGGCTTAAACTAACTGATCAAAGACAGCTAGCCAGTATTTTCATGTTTTTCACTCTCAATGGCCAGGTCTCACAGTCATAAAGGAGGACGGAGCGGACTAATGAGCGGTACACCTGCCCTTTGATCGATACCCGGATAACATATCTACGCCAGAGACGGCGTAAACTGGCATATGCGAAACTATTTATTTCCTACTTCGAGTATTTAAAGTGTGAACGTAAGTTGGATTGTTAAACAACTTCAATCAAACGCTTGATTAGATTGAATTAAAATTACTACTCACTTCCTTCTAATAAGTAATAGAAGTATAATATTACTGTTTTTGAAGAACCTAGATAGAACATAGGACATCATAGTGCGTTAAAAATTGATGCAATTCACTTCACACACACAAACACACACACACACACGCATACATAGAATCCAGTTATGATCCAGTTAACTTATCCTGCTAATCATTCTCAGCATAAAATTCTTCAAGCATAACAGATTTTCAGACACACTCTTATATCGCTGTATACTGAAACTACATCCCAAAGCGATCGACTACAATTCACACTATGAGCAACAATATCATTTTATATGAAAACGAAAAAGATGAAATAAAGAAAATTTTTAAAAAATTACAATTGGAAAGTAAGAGAGGAAAACGATGGGGAGAACAAAAACGAGACTTACAAATTCACTATTTTGACAACGTTCAACGAGTGTTGTTGTTGTTGAGCAGTTAAATGTGTATGGAATGCTTTTCTGATTGTTGTTATTATCGCCATTATTACCGTCATTATATGAGATACCTTATGGATAGAATGAAGAAAATATAGAATAAAATCAATAATTAATCCAGAAATACCCGGAGACACTTGGGACGTTACTAACAACGAATATAACAGAGAAATATGACTGGTTGACTGGTTTCAAAGTAGAACATTGCACATATGTGCACCAATTCAAGTTCCTTCAGTTCAAGTAGCACACAAAGCTGGAGAAGAGAGTAACGAGAGAATCAATAGAGAGCTAATAGAGAGAGATATGAGGCAAAAATAAGAGTATTGTGGAAGAAAAAATATAATATTAAAGGCTATTATAAAATCCCAAAGATTGAATGCATCTGCGCCAGATAATGAGAACGATTTTGAGCCATATCACCAATTGTCTACAGCTTTCATTGGTTTTTACCACCAATCCCGAGGAACCCAACCAGTCAGGAAGTCTACACCTCCCTACGTGGCTGGCTGGCTGACTGACTGGCTTAAACTAACTGTTGTGGATTTCACTGATTGATGAAGCCATGTTTTGGTTTGACTACCACTAGCTAACTCTTTTCCAACCTGATCCTTCCTGTCAGCTAATATTGGCCACTGTCGAGGAAGGCGATGGCTAGGCTAGGCACGTGTAACACATGTCCTAACCATTCCAACCAATGTAACTTCACGACTTCGTTGATTTATTTCCCCTCCTTACCCAGAACTCGATCTGGGTTCGAACTCCTATCGTGGGTGCATACTGATGAAGAATTTCAAACTGAGACGAAACGGCCAAGTTCACCAGTGGTTCTCTAACTGATATCAGATCGTGGTCAATCCTGTAACCAATCAAATCCCTGCAAACAGACAATTGATATCTGAATATTCCTACATTGACAGAAAAATTGCAAAGTCAATCTAGTAACTTAGGTTGAAAGAACTCTTGTAAATTGAACTTTTTGTATGAAAAATTTCTTCATTAGATAATTTACACTAAAGTTAACAATCTTAGCGTCTCCAAGGTGGGAACGCCTGTATTAAAATCACAGGGCTGCCTAAGTTTCCATCATATATATATATATATATATATATATATATATATATATGTGTTTGATCATAGGTGTCTGCGTTCTATCTCCCGTGTGAATTGGCATAATAAGGTGAGTAATATTGAGGTTAGGCGTCGTGTGCCAGGTAAGGAGTGGAAGTAAATCGACCAGGCTGTGAAATTACATCGACTGAGATGGTTAGGACATGTGTTACACGTGCCTAGCCTAGCCATCGCCTTCCTCGACAGTGGCCAATATTAGCTGACAGGAAGGATCAGGTTGGAAAAGAGTTAGCTAGTGGTAGTCAAACCAAAACATGGCTTCATCAATCAGTGAAATCCACAACAGTTAGTTTAAGCCAGTCAGTCAGCCAGCCAGCCACGTAGGGAGGTGTAGACTTCCTGACTGGTTGGGTTCCTCGGGATTGGTGGTAAAAACCAATGAAAGCTGTAGACAATTGGTGATATGGCTCAAAATCGTTGTTAATGGCAAGCTCGGATGCATCCGCTTCTTGTGACTCACAATTTCCAATGAAACTATGTTTTTCTTCGTTATAACTGTTCATTTTGTCTCATATCCCTGTTTACTGCCTGTATACTGCATTTCTTCTACTTTTGTTCTCTTGATTTGTGTGCTACATGGATGGAGTGTGGCGACTTGAACTGCTGGATATCAGTACAAAGTTCTATGTCAAAAACAGACAGACTGACAGATAGATGAAATGTGCCTTTTTGCATATTCTTTTAATCATTCAACTAAGAGTCCTTGAGACACATATTCTGTATTTTCGGCCCCACTTTAAAGTAGGTCCCAAACTACCAAAAAATGAAGTGTTTAGGGAAATAGAGGGAAAAGATTTTTTGCAGGGTATTGGAGATTGATTCGGATAGACTAATAGTGATTACTATTTTATCTGAAGATTCTGTATGAGAAGAAAATAGTCTGCAATAAAATACACCGGAGAATTCTTCACTGTATATAAACACACTTTTCAGGAGTAAAGTTATTGTTATTTCACGTTTCCTCATTAAATGATATCACTTAGAAAACCATTAAAACCAGGGAGTAGTGGAGAGTCATTTCAGTCTTGTTGAGGATTCTCTACAGCGGTACACATCGATGAATCCGCTAGAGATTGTTGATCATTGAGACACTGTGACGAAATTCAACGGCCCATGCATTCTAACTTCTTTCAATTAGCCATTTTTAGAGCTATTGGGGTCAGTTCCTAGTGACTGGATGGCTAGCAAGCTCTCTCCGTAGCCTGAAGGCTCTGGGTTAGATATCTATTAGAGTCAAGGGTGCGTACTACGGAAGGGTTCCAAACTAGGGCGAAACCGCTGTACAGCACCATCCTGATTGAAATCGATCTGTAATTAAAATTGAAACCAATATAATCCCTACTAACTAACACTTGTAAAGCTATCATTATCATTATTTTTATTGGTAAATTATGCCAAAACTTTAAATACTACTTTAACGTAGATGAGTAGTACTAACTATCCCATTTAATCACTTCTATGAATCTACTCTCCTTCTCTCTCTCTCTCGCTAGTTTATTAATTATTAATTAAGAAAATCCAATCTTTAGTGTTTTTAACATATAGGACAGAAGGATAGACAGACACTTTGAAATGACAAGGATTCACTGAGATTATGTAATCAATACCTACAAAAACACAAACACACATATATATGCGTTTAATGACAGAAAAGCTGAAATAGAAAAGTAGACGTCGATAGGCGATGAAGCTGAACTTTTTGTTCAGTTTACTGTATGATTTAATATTAATAATAGTAATAATAATAATAATAATAAATACAATACGGACAAAAATTTATGAGTAATGACAGACTGTCTCCATTCTTCTTTCATAAGAACAAACAGACACACAAACACACATGCACACACATACACATACACATTCATACACAAGAAATATTGACTGACTTTACAAAATTAACAAATTCTATGATAAAATAGTAGAAGTAATAGTAGTATTAATTAACAGACGAGTGAATTGTATTCATCCTATTCATCTATTTTTCCAACCATTGAAGTGAATAGAACTCTGTGTTCTAAATTACTCAATACTTATTTGGTTTTTTTTTAAAAATAAGAACAAGATAAATGAGATTTCTAGGTAATTTTGATACGCTAGTCACTGAACAAAATAATAATTTCATTAAAATGGAACAGATTTTAGTTGTCATACTAGAAGCTACTTGAGGTGGAGAATCAAAGATGGTGACAGAGAATAAAAAGGCTGATGGGTACTAATTAAAAATATGACAGGAATTACACAGAAAGACTAAAGGAGATAAATGCAAACAGGTATCTGATGAACTTAGGCCTAGGAGACCTTGTTTTATTCAATTTTACCATCTAGGAGAAGAAGTGTAGGAAATAAGCTACAGTTCAATGTACAGGTTAATGACATTAAAATTGTTCCTGTGCTTAAAAATTGCCAAGTGGACCAAGTGTTAAGTGTAGACCTATTACTATTACCTCATCTATTTTTTTTAAAAAAAATTGTGGTATAACTGCTTTTACTTAACCTTGAACCTTTATTGAAGGCTTTTAACGATCCTAATCAATTTGCTTATAAGCATAGTAGGTGTACTTTAGATGCTACTGTCGTTTTATATCATAATATTGTCTCTAGTGTAGACAAAGGTGCCAAATATATATTCGGTGTGCCTTCCTAGGTTACAAATCTGACTTCAACTCTGTACCTTGGCTCTTTTTTGTTGAACAAGCTTACTGCAACACAAGTAGATGCGCTGTACTAATAAGTGGTTGCATTCCTATTTTTCTGATAGTAGGCAGTATACTGTTTACAAAGGGGAAGTCCTTTCCACTGCTTCATTTACTCTAGTTGGTGTTCCTCCTCAAGGAGCTGTTCTTTCGTCTTACATAAATCGCCTTACTCTAATGAAGCCAAATTTGTTAAGTATACCAAATAATCTGACTGTTTCCATACCAGCGGTTACTTCTTAGTCAGATGGTTCTAAAATGAATAACTTTTTATCTGAAATTAGTCAGTGGTCCTTGTCGAACCGTCATAAGCTAAATACTTCCATATGTCAGGTTGTTAACTTCATTTTCAGCCGAAAGCGCGAGACTTATACGAACTGGTTAGTTTGTATGGTTCCATTAGTATAGACGGCAAAAAAGTTGAAACCAAATCGAATGCTAAATACTTCAGACAATGTATTTCCTCCGATTTTTCCTGGTCCTCATACATCATGCTAGTTTCTAGAAAGATATTCGGTTTGACGTTCCATGTAAGGAAGTAGAGACAATCTGGTATCGCTCAGTTTCTACTTCTTAAGTTTTTTAATTCTTATATTCTACTTATCCTTCTTTATTGCTCCCACCAACTTAATCTTTTCTCGGCTATCTAGGAAAGACTTTGTTATACTGCGAAGGGCACTAAAAGCCATCATGTAGGACGAGTGGGGTATGACTAAACCAACTCGTTATTACTACTGTAGGTAAACACATAGACTCATGCAAGAAATTTGCAAATATTATCTTCCCCGACCATGAGCATCCCCTCCACATACAACTCTCTCCTTGTCTCATCTCATCAGATAGGACTAGAACCAATTATGGATGACTTTACGCTCGGACGACTAAGTATTAAAAACTATACAATACCGTATTTGGCATACATTTTATATGATGCGGAAAGTGCAAGGCAATGAGAAAATTAGATGCAATATTGTGCTATATGCTGAAAACTTCATATTTGTAGAAAAAGTACTATTTAGAATAAAGCTATTATTACCATCACTATTAAGCAGATAGTTTTAGACTAAAGGGAATAGCCCTGAAGCTGCTTACTTTTAAAAAAGCTACTAACCACAATGTCAGAGAGTTTAATGGTTTTATTAATAGAATGCTCACCAACCAGGTAGGTGGTAGGTAAGTGATCCAGTTTCCATTTCCAGTCGGTAAAGAAGTCAGGCTGGGACGTCAGATCAGTTACCTCGCTCTGTTACGAAAAACAACAACACTACAGCTACTAAGACCTTAAAACTCAAGCTCCAAAAGCCGATATATTCCACACGGAAGGCAAAGGAATGAAGAAAAAACAATGTCGGTAGATTGGTTTATCGAACAGTTTCAGAAGAAAAAAACCTACAAGTTAGACAATACAACAAAACAGAAGAGGTAAGATCTATGCAGGATCCTAGGCAATAGGATCACTCGTTTTTGTGCAATATAAGTGTAGAGAAACTCCACAAAGCCACTGACACAGAGATAATGCCAAAAAGGCGTGAATTCAGTTTACTTGATGTCTTTTACTGAACTCTACACAACCAATCTGAAATGGATATACAGTATTTGTCATAGAATAAAATTAGCATATTTTAGCATTCAGACAGGCAGAGTAAAAGCACGAGATCAGGAGTTATAAAACAGGCGACGAAAGTCAAATGTTTTTTAAAATGTCAGCGCCATGAATTATATATTTAGTAGGCAGAAAAACATGACAATTGAGTGGTGGAAGAGGCAAAGATGACGGCAACATTTCTAGTCTGCTGACATTATGGAAGTTGGAGTTTACTTGAATTGTATATATATATATATAAGTCAAAAAGCAAAAGAGACAACAGATGTTTAAGGTTTTTCCCATGCAAATTATTCGATTTAGGAATTTTAACGATTTCAGAATCACATCTCTAGCATGATTGTTGAACACGTCGAGGTGTGAAATTTTCTCACGATTAGGCTTTCCAACACCTTTCTTTTTCAGACGAAAAGGTAACTCTTCTAGAATGCTAGTCACTTGAACAAAAAAGATATTAACACTTTTACCACAGACAATCCTTCCAGTCAGTCAGAATTGCGACCTAACCCTGAAAGGTGATTTTATAACCTAAGTTATTTTACACTAATAATAATAATGATAATAATAATTTGCTTTATTCCAAAACAGTACTTGTGATACAGAATGGAATTCTCAGAATTTTTACTACAATATTGCGACCAGTTAGTACATTAACAATAAATAAAATTATACATAGATTATGGGTAATCTCAGTTAGTTCTGACAACTACATATTAGCATATCGGTAGCAAAGCCAAAATTGAACAGAATGTTCGAAGCATATTCACTAGCGTAAGCAGCAACAAAAAGGTCGAGATATACAGAGTGTGAAACAACGAAGAAGAATGTTTTAAATAGAGTTTGTAAGGGAAGAAAGCAACTACGCAGCACACAACAGAAAAATAGAGAGAGAAAAGGAAAAGAAAGAAAGAAAATGTTGTACCTATAAATGATATGCGTTGGAAAGACGAGATCCAGTTGTTCTACTGACTATTTAATAAGTTATAGGTATCACGCCTAATGCTTTCTTTATAGCACAGAACACGAGTCAAGTAGGGTATGGTTGAGTTTTTGTACTTACTAGTGCGAACATATAGTTTTCTATATAGGCTTCTGGTTCTGCTTGATGAGGTACAAGGGGAGAGTTGTGAATGAAGATGGTGGTGTGAGTTAAATAAAATGGATTTAGCCCATTTTTCACATGAGTCCAAGTGCCTGTCGACCAGAATATTAACAAGCTGGTTAAGTGGCACGTAGCTTACCACCCTACTGACAACCTTTAACATCCTGCGTAATAAGGTATAGTCTTTCTTTAGTAGCCCTGGAAAAACTTAGGGTGGGGGGGACAATAGAGAATAATCGGCAGGATGCAAGAGTTAACTAATCGTAAGAGTAAGGGTTGGTTTGGGTTATTCCAGAATGTATCAACTTCTTGATGTAGAAGGTAAGACGGAATATTTTCTTGGAAATCATCAAGATATGAGACGACCAGGAAATATCAGAAGATAGAATGACGCCAATATATTTAATTTCCGACTTGGTTTCTATTTCAATTCCATCTATGGTGCACACCTCGTGAGTGACGATAGCTGCTTGCACAGCTCACAGTTACAATCATATAAATCTTCTTGTCATGCATGAAAAGCTCTCAAAAAAGTAAGCTATCCTCTCAGGCATTACGATGTGTTGATATCTAGTAAATATATAGGAGAGTTCGACCACACAACATTAAGACAGCTGTTAACAGTTGAGTGTCTTCAACAGACTAGAACAGATTATGAGTATTAATATTCACCTTAGATTCAATTATCACTTCAGAATGATCAAAAACACTCGCATCAGTATATATATATATATATATCCAAAATCATCACTCACCTGGTAACTGATACCCACAGGAATAATCTGTAGGCGATTTTCTACGATTTGATTTATCCCTTGAAGTAATAAATTCAATTTGTGACTGTGAATTATTTAACTTTGGAGTAATAAGAAGAAATCTATTATCGTGTTGATTGATATCGGATTGTTGTGGATAAGCGCTTTTTACAGTATTTGAAATATTCGCATAGAGATTATGCGAAGGAAATACTGTTGATGAGGATGTGGTTGTTGTTGATGGTGCTGATGATGATGACGACGCCGACGATGAAGAGGAAGATGAAGACGACGACAACGACAGCGATTGAAATAAAGACGGATTAGAAGAATTTACAGGCGTGTTCCAAATTTGATCGGCAAGAACACGAATTAAACTGGCGAAAGATAACTATAATATGAATAGAAAGAAAAGAAAAAGGTATACAATAATGATGCAGTGATTATAATATAGGGGGTGGGGTGGGGGGAAGACTTATTAACTATCAGTACGAACTTCGTGTGTGCCAGAGTGGTTCAATGGTCGCCAACTGCACCACCTACATGATGATTTGAGGTTCGATTCCCAACTGATATGCGCTCTCGAACCTCAGCTATTCGGTAGCAAAACTCAGGGAAGTGTGAACGTGTTAGGCATGAGACTAGCAACCCACTCAACTACTGCTGTTGAAACTTTACGTCAAGCAGACAATAGGCACACATTCCACTCGGAATGTAAGGAATGAGAGAAGAAAAACACTAATTCAGGTTGATCTCTACAGTAATCATGTGTAGTGGTACCTACTCTGAATTTATCTCAATGATAGCAAGAAAAACTCAAAGAGAAAATGATGAGAATAATTATATGAAGATTTATAAGGAGGAACCAAATATTTGTTAAAACGACAAACAATATTATTAATTTACTATTTCAACACAAATTTGATGCAATATGGGTACCAATGGATTCCCCCCCCCCACACACACACAAAGTTATATAAACACAATATGTGGAAAAAAACTCGAATTACTGAGGAACAGAATCATGAAAAAACGGATAAGCATACACATGGTCAAGAGTATTTCAATAAGCGTTCACCACTTCATGTTAACATTTGCTAATATAATGATTAAGATACTATATTTGATAACGTCTAGAGACACACTGACTCAGATCATCTCTCCGATCCTATCTTAGGAAGTTGTGATTCAGTGGGACACATGATCACACAATAATAACAACTATCCATCACATACACTAATCATGTAAGTTACACCTACGATGTAAAGATTGATGAGACACTATGTGACAGCTTGAATGACGTTATAATTCGTAGGGATTTCGAAGGTATAATCTACAGATTAAAAGCTTAGGTACTATGATCGGAGAGTTGCACGTTTACTATAGAAGATGAAAACAATAAAATGTCCTATGGATATGTATTATATATTATGACCAGGGCAAACAAAACAGTGTGATGTTCATGATTTTCTGCACACAAAATTCAGAATTTATTATTTACAATTTTTATTGATGCATCGGTGGCATAGCGGTTAGGACGCTCACCGATCATGCACATGGTCCAGGGTTCGATTCCCGGCCACCGACGCACTCCTTTACCTCGATAAGCCAGAAAAAAAGGTGGTAAAGAGGGAAGGTTGGGAATGAGGCTAGCAACCCTATCTTGTAAAAATAAACACCACTGCTACAGAAACTTCAAGCCTCTAGCTTGAAGCCCTATGTTCCACTGGGAAAGTGAAAAAAAACTTTTTATTAAGCCTCAATAAAAATTATATGAAATAATCAAGACTTTAATTACCGGTATTGATAATGGGATTGATTAGTTTTCAATGTAAAAACAGGTGAACATAGACAAGACGGAGGTTATAAAAATAGCCAACCCACCACCAACAACAACAGCAACCAATCACCATCAACGGGAGGGATTTGAAAGAGGTTACTTCATTCACTTATCTAGGGAGCATTGTCTCAACTACAGCCAGTCGGAACGGACGAGGATGTCAAATCGAGCTATAATCGGGAAGGCGAGAAACACACTCATCAACTTGAAATCAATCTGGAAATCTTCGTCACTCTCCATCAACAACAAAATCCAGTCGGATTTCCAATACAAACATCAAGTCAGTCAGTTCTTCTATACGGAACGGATCAAAAACTTGGCAGGTGGGTCACAAAGAATATTCCCAACAGGCTATTGCAGATCTTTATCAACCAACAACTGTCTTCGCTCTATACTGAAGATCAGATGGCCGGGCTGGAAAGAATCACCAACTATGGGAACAAACAAAACAAGTACAAACCAATCGCCCAACAAATAAGCAGGAGAAAGTGAAGATGGATTGGATGTTGGCTGAGGAGACCACAGGGTGACATCGCGCGCGCGTCAGGCCATTGCTCGAGTGGAACCAGGCCGAAAAGGAAGCGGCGAGTGGGACGTCAGTGCAAGGGTGACATGGAGGAGATTGTGTGAAGAGGAGTTGAAACAGTATGGACTAATATGGATGCAGGTGGAAAGCACAGGAGAAGACAGAAGCAAGTGGAGTCGTGCAGTTGAATCCCTATGTTCCACTAGGAAGACAAGGGAACAAAAATAATAATAATAGGTTGTAAAAACAGATGAAACAGAATTTCATCCTTCAATTTCATATTTAAGGAAAGAAAATACTTTCAATGAGAAAATAAAGCACATAGTGAAGATACGAAACGCCTTATACAGTCGACCAAGACTTTATAACTAACTCTTTCAGCTTTATATAATTTTCTAGCCCTTCAACGACAAACAAAAACACAAAGATATCTTTAATGGTACAATTACATAGTCCTCAAGTGTTGATTTATACAAATTTGACTGATTTCATCATGAAGTGATATCATTTGGGGGACACATTTAAAAATTAGGAAGCACTAATAGAACTATTTCATCCTAATGTATGACCCAGATTCCCAATTTGCAAATTACACAATTCAGAGTCAGATTTCACTGCAGTTTCCTATGAAAAACCAAAATTATACAGATTAGCATTATATGTAACCTCCTTGATACCATGAATAGTAATCAAGAAATCAAGCATAAAACTACATGCTGCTGACTGAGATGTCTAGTTGTGTACCACTCACAGAAGCTGGTAGTGTAACAACAGAAGACAAGGGTCAGGCAACAGATCCTTTATTAAGGAAATCAACATATATTTATAGATTTTCATTTACATTATTATAGATCATTATAAGCCAGCAAACACAATCTTCTGATTGGTGGTTTCTCGCTGAACGTTAATCCTTCATCTCTTTGTGGCCGTTTCTTGATGTTCACATTATCTGCCTGCAAATTGTATCCGCCTATGCAAAGTCTGCTGTGTTTGGTTGTTGAGTCAGTCTTTGTTATTTTTCTCATGACCAATACTGGGGACGTAAACATTGACTTAAATTACCGTCTACCAATTTGGCTAGCAGCCAGCTTTCATCACAGTAGTCTGTCTGTCTTCGACATAGAACTTTGCACTCATATGCACCAGTTCAAGTCGCCACACTCCGTGTAGCACGCGAAGCAAGAGAAGAAAGTACAAGAAATGCATATTAGAGACAGTAAACAGAGGTGTGAGACAAAGGAATAGTAATAACGAAGAACAAAACAGTTTCATCGGAAAGCATAAGTCACAAGGAGTGGACGCATCTGCGCCACTGAGAACGATTTTGAGCCATATCACAAATTGTTTCCAACCATTGGTTTTTACCGTCCCGAGGACCCCAACCAGTCAGGAAGTTTACACCTTCCTACGTGACTGGCTTAAACTAACTGTTGTGGATTTCATTGACTGGTGAAGCCATGTTTTGGTTTGACCGCCGCTAGCTCTTTTCCAGCCTGACCCTACATCCGCTAACATTGCTCGTCGAGGAAGGCGATGACCAGGCATACGTAACACATGTCCTAACCATCTCAGTCGATGTAACTTCACAACTTCGTCGATTGATTTCCCCTACTTACCTAGAACTTGACGCCTAACCTCAATATTGCTCACCTTATTATGCCACTTCACACGGAAGATACAACGCAGGCACCTATGATCAAAGACAGCTAATCTTTTCATGTCTTCCACTCTCAATGGCCAGGTCTCACAGCCAGTCATGAAGGAGGACGGAGAAGACTGGTGAGCAGTACACCCGCCCTTTGGTCGATGGTCGAATATCTCGTCTACGCCAGAGACGGCGTAACATATGCGAAACGAGCCCCCTGTATCCGTGCTGAGATTTCGTCAGAGATCAACCCGTTGGCGCTGGCTGATGGTACTTCCCAAATAAGAGAAGTGGTCAACGTGATCTACCACTTCACTTTCTATTTTTAAACTAGGAGTTGGTGTAGTCCAGTCCTCTAACATCATCCTGCATTTGGCGGGAGCGAATCGCATGCCAAACATTCGTAGATTCCAGCTCAAGGTGTTCAGAAGACTCTGCTCTATTTTTTCAGCGTTTTCGCCTACAAGGACTATATCGTCGGCATATTCTAATTCAGCGAGATTATTCCCTGGCTGCAAGTCAATCCATGAGTCACTGAAGTGAGTTAGGGTTAAGTCCATTAGTACATCTATGATCAAATTGCATAGAAATGGAGATAATGGGCATCCTTGATGGACACCACTAGTCGTCACCAGTTCAGATGACAACTCGCCGTAAGCACTCACCTGTTTGCATGAGTGCGAGTAGAGTGCCTTAATCAGTGGAATGTATTTTCTCGTCATTCCCTTTACAGCCAAGCATCTCCAGAGAACCTCCCGGTCGACAGTAGCAGTGCTCACTAGCAAGATTGAAATGATTTAAACACCGAAAGTCTGTCTCTCCTGTATAGGACCGAGTTCATCAGCGGTGTACCCGGTTTGACTCACCTCAGAGAACTAAATCAGTTCCAACCACCCAGTTTCCGACTAGCTATTTCGGCGAACCGGGAATACCATAAATCAAATTCGTAATTTACCAAGGGATGGTAGATAACTATTTCTTCCTTATTTATGGCTCCTCAACAGTATGAACGCATAACCCTACCAAAGTTCGACCCCAGGAACCTTGGATTACGAGGCGAACATGGGACCATCTAATAACTTGAGAACTCTAGCCTTCACCCATTCATGACATAAAGCACCACCACCAGTCAATTTCATCTCGGCAAGCAACTTTCCCCATACTACCAGTCAGAACTATTCACTTAAAACTACAGACGAAACGGTACTAACGTCGATTCGTGATAGAATCTAACAATTAAGTTTCGACAATAATGCCTGTTAGGATAAAAAAGAATACTCCGTCTGTCAGGGTATCGTTTGTTTGCGTGCTTATGTTCTTACTCCCATATATAAGTATGTAGCTAATTTTGACTATTTTTCCTCCAAGCTAATACCAAC